TGTGTGTGTGTGTGTGTGTGTGTGTGTGTGTGTGTGTGTGTGTGTGTGTGTGTATGGAGTGTATGTAATTTTTGATAAACGAAATCAAGTTGTGTTCAAACGTCGACAATAACAACTGGGAAGAAGGAATATCTTACTCTTAACAAAAGGTCTCTATGATCAGTAGCACAATATCCAAGCAAATCATGTGCGGACAGTTAAATCCTCCTCCCGTACTGCTTTAATATGACGAATACAACAATCAAGGTTCATTCTCGGAATCCCATAGAGCCGTGTTTACTACCCGCGGAGTACAAGTACACCACCATTAATCACGAGTATATGAATATGATACTTGTATCCGTACTCCGTGCAGCACGAGTACAACAAATAGCTGACGTGTACTTACTATAGGTACCTTGGGTACTTACCTAGGTAAGGTAAGGAGTAGCAACAGATGACGTTCACTCAGAGGCGAAGAAAACCGGTGCTTCGCTCAGCACATAACGTCTTACCTCACCATGTACTTCTCGACAAGTCAACACTCGAAAAGGAATATCGGCAGAACGAGGTCAAACTCCGTTAATTGTATTTTGGATGTCAAGGCGATGTCAAGGCTCAAGTATTGTTCAAGTCCTTTTCAATCATACCCCGTTGCTTCCATTTCTATTCTACCCTACATAGTCGGTGAAGTTGATCTTCGCCAAATCACCACAGCTGCAGCACCAGCACAAACCACAACCCCCAACACCAAACCATACCTCATCAATTGACCACCATCATCCTCCTCCAGAAGTCGTGTGTAAGCAGTGACCGGGTCAAGACCTGCTTCTGATAAAACCACAAACAAGTCCTGTATCGAAGGCCAAGTCACACTGGTAGATATTGGTGGTCCTTGAGGCATCCTTTGGATTTGAGCAGTGTATTCTTCCGGTTGATGGTCGACTCGTTGCATTGTTCGATCAAGATCTGCCTTTAATGCCACGTACACAGACGGTAAGTCTTCGAGGTAAGGATAATTCTTTCGAATGTTTGGGATGTACGCAAACGAATCTGGATCCGAAGAGTCGTAGGTATACACAATGACATCGCATTGATCAAGTAATTTGCTCTTATTGTCAAGAGCAGCCGCTTCTGATTCGCCAAATTCTTTGAGAATGAGATAGCATTGTCGACCTCCTGGTAATTCAACAGTGTTGACTGCAACTCGAGGTTGGATGGTAGGGTGATAGAGTTCGTTGAATGGACGAGCGAGAAATGCGTCCAGCAATGCCGACTTTCCAGATTGCGGAGCTCCCAATACATGTGCAAGAAGAACGTTCCGACCGACTCGCCCTGGTCGCCGTCTTCTCTTTCGAGGCTTTGTCAATTTTAAAGCGGCTATAGTGCTGGAATTCGATCGATCTGGGGACTCAAAGCCCAGGTAGGCGAGATACTCGAGAGTCGTCTTGGGAGACATGAATGTGGTCATGGACCATTGAGCCAACCAGCCTTGTAGTGTGACATGACCTGCATCGTTGCGCACTGTACAAGAAGGAAAGTTATTGTCAATCCAAAGCTGAGGAATTCCTGGTGTTGGCGCAAAGAGTGCCCCAAGCTCCTCATCTTTGAGACCGCCGTCGTTATCGCGGTCGGATGTGAGGAACAAGTCGACCAGGAAACGATACCCGGCAGGAGACAATTCGGCTGAAGCATATTCTGGCACCTCGAACTTGGGGTGGACGAATGATTCCTGCAATGACAAACTGTCGGTGTACTGAAATATTCGGAGGATGACCCATATTGTTTCATGTCGACCTTTCTCCGCGTAGAGCTTGTTGAGCATCAAGAACCCTTGGGAAGTTATACCTCGACCCAGGGCAGCTCCTGGCAGGTGATGCTCGATGGTGTCTTTGATGTGCTGAAGATCTTCTGCGCTCAGACTCTTGTCGAAACATTTCAACTGGAAATCCTGCATTTCCTTGTCATTCAGCAACCCATCTTTATCCTTATCACACAAGTAGAATATTCTGAGCAGAGCAGCCACCGCAGCTGGCTTCAGAACCGACTCTTTTGCATCAAACAACGGAGCGATGGGGTGTGTGACGGCTTTCTGACACAAAAAGAATGCTTCATTGACATTGTAGTGTTCACGGGCACTCGTCCGTATACATGAGTCGATCTCTTTGAACTCTGACATGACCGGTAGCATCTCCTCTTCCATGATCTGAGCGGGCGTGCTGCTAGTGACCAGGTCCGACTTGTTTGCGCATAGTATTACCGGTAGATTGACACCGAGCGAGCGGAAATATGGCAACCAGAACAGAGCCACCCTCTCATAGCTGTAATGGTCCGAATAGACTAGGAGAATGACATTGGATTTTCTCAATTCTCTAGCAAGGTTCGTTCGATCTTGAGGCAATGCAGAGGTATCGACGATGGTGGTGGTGACATTTTCGGGAGTTCCTAGGGTGGGAGGAATGGTAATTGGAGGCAGAACAGCTTGGATTCTGTTGCTGATAAAGGTGTCTTTTACTAGGGAAGTGATAAGGCTGGACTTACCACAACCCTCGTCACCGCAGACGCATATTCTGACGGTGGCCATTGGAGGGTGGTTGAGGATGCTGTTGTCGACAACGGAAACTCATGCTTTTGAGGCCTTCTCAGCAGGGACCATGTACTGGGACTGAGTTCTTCATTGCAAGCAAAATTCCTTAAAGGGAGGACAATCCAGAGCCTCAAGAGATCACGTTGCTGCTGTTGGTCTTGGTGGTGTGAACTTGGAAGTGCCTGCGACGCCAAAACATCCAAATAACGAGACGTGACATTCTCCCTGCCGAGATTCAACCGGGGACGCTACAGAGTCATCAAGGACTCAGTTTATCATACAGATATATTCCGTCTACCATCTCACTTACATCTACAGAGTATGTCCTGCTCCTCATAACTTGACCTCCCTAGGCATACCGACCTGTCCACTCTTCCAACCCTTCTCCCTCCATCTTTTGCCCCAGATACCATTCCTTCCAGGACTTATGATCCCATTGGGATCCAACGCGTCCTTGATGGTCTCATTGAATCGACCCAATGCACCGTTACCCCATTTATAGGTTCCTGCGACCTGGTCCATATACAACAAATGAGTCCTGTATTCTCCATACCCTTTCTGAGCCCCTTCGTCGATGAGCTCCCTCATCAGACAAGCAGCTCTTCGTTTGCTGTCAGCGTCTTCGCGGTCAAAGACGATCTCAGAGATAAAGTGCATTTCTCGACCCGCAACGCATAAGGTGCTGAATGAGTCGAATCCCCATTTCGCATACAACCTTTCGGCTATCGTCATCATCGTCCGGGCGTGTTTCCCAGTTGTGGGGAGGATAGGACTGCACGCAATATGACCACCGTTCGGGAGCCAGTTTAACCAGTCCAATTCCTTCAAGACCGGTTCGCCCATGTTGACCTTCGCTCGTTCATGAATGTAATGATCGTCTGGCAGGTCTGAGGGAAGGTAGAATTTGGAGCCTTTGACCTTTGCAAATGTGGTCTTGATGAGGTCAAGTTGGGACTGAATGGTTGCTGGATCACCATATTGACAGCCATAAAAGATCCAGCTCACATCGCCGCAAGGGAGCTTTGCTGCCTCGCGAGATATGACTGATCGCGGCATTCGCCCGCCTTTGTCATTTCCCTCGGGCCAGAAATGACTCCGTGGCTTTCCAGTGACTGCCAGTTCTTGAACGACGTGTCTAATCTGAGGGACATTTCCGAATACACGGCTTGCAGCCAAGGGTCCGATCAGGTCGACAAGCTGCTCGAAATCGTCCTCCCGAGGGAATGTGACCAGGTACGATTGGCTTCCGGTGGCAGGCATAAGCCAAAATCCCATCTTTGTCACGATACCATAGTTCGACTGGCTGAACATGCCATCAATGGCGGGGCCATATGCATTCTGGAATGACTGCCACGTCAGATTGTCTGTGTCATCTTCACCTGGTAAAGCTCCCATCCCAGTCCGAAGTAAAGTGCCATCCGGGAGGACAACTTCCATCCCACAATGCATACCGAAATGGTCACCGTAAGGAGTATAGCCGACGCCTCGGTCTAAAGCATTCCCCATCACGCTCCCTCCTCCAAGGTCTGGACAATCAATCCAGAGACTGTGACCACTCTTCTTGACGGCTTCGTACAATGCAAAGTAAGACACACCAGGTTCCAGTAGGCACGAGTAGTTCTGACCGTCGATCTTGAGAATTTTGTTCATGCGCTTTCCCAAATCGACCACCACTGATCCAGATACTCTGGGTGCAGCGCCACCGTATCCCAGATTTCTACCCATTGAAATGGGATGAATTGGTATCAGGAATTCATTAGCCCATTTGACAATGGCTTGGACCTCTTCGGTTGTCGAAGGGTATACCACCGCACTAGCCACCAGAGCGTCTTGGTTCGCCACATGATTGCTGTCGTGAGTATTGCTGGAAGATAGGTCAGTCAAAAGTCTGTTCGATGCGAGAGGGCAGTAACAACGTACGGATGTTCCATGTACCAACCATCCACCAAAGCGCCGTCATTGACACACACATATTGAGCTCCAACAGCGGCTTTCAATGCAGTGATGGCATTATCAAATTTTGCCTGAGTGGTGTAGGGTGGTAGCTGGACTCGTCGCCTGGAACTGGAAGTATTCTCGGTCTTGGTTCGTCTTGAGAACAACAATTCTTTTGCTCTCTTTGCCTGCTCTACCAGCCGGGTCGGAATGCCGCTATGTTTTTCTTCGAGAGTAGGAGTGACGGGCAGTGAACGTGAAGACATTTTGCAATGACGAATGAACAAGGGACAAGCGATACAAGGTGTTTGAGATACGGGTGCAGTACTCACCTTAGCTATACCTGTTTGCTGAAGAGAATAAACCCCAGACAGTACCCCACGTCCGGAAAAGATCCATCTTTAAGGGTCTCTGGGGCATACTTTACTTTGTCTCGTAGGCATCCCGTAGGCCCCACACAGTTGATACAGATGAGGCTGATCAGGCAATTCGTCGTGGCGGGGCTTGGATGATTGATTGCTCGAGATTGTACTCCGTAATCGCCAGAACGTTGGCCGCGTTGGTACTCCTACCTGGAGGCCTAAGGTATCTGTGCTCGTACATAGGCCTCTTATTCTCCATTTTATATGACCAGATCTGTATAGGCGATGGTAGTGGACAACCGCCTAGGCCATTGTGATCAAAAGTACAAGGAGTGAAGAGCATTGATATAGTTCGCTTCTGCTGTGTCCTGTCAACCTTTGGCTTTGAGTCTGATCACGTGTGGACGTGATTCGTGTCTTTTTCGAGGCTCGGCGCGTAAATATCTTTGCCCGGCGGCAACATCGCACATGCTTCTCCTTTTAGAATCTCCTGAAGCTTGCAAGAGTCACTGAAATGTATCACTGTTCTAATACTAGGCATCGAGTATTTGTTTGAAAAAGAACGAATCCCGCCAATCGAGTCCCACCTGTGTTATCATGGCCTCTTGGTCTGCAGGCGCCGTGCCGGGCTGCATTCGCTGCCTACAAGAAACATGGCTGGTTTCAAAATGCCTCGTTGACTGGTTGATAACCCATACAAACCTTTTAGCGCCTATCAGCTTGTTGACTACCAGTCGCCACCAACGCAGCATTAGCGATGGTCTCACAGCCTCGTTGGTCACGTTGTTACCGTGAGTTGCTTCATGCACAGCCTCAAATCAATGTTTGATTTTAAGCACGCCATGTACGAGAATCGCAACGCATGTTTGATGCCCTGATTTAATTGCACTTACATTGATTAGCCCGCAGCATTCACCTAAACGCAGACTTCATGGTTGCCCGGGAATAACCTACCTCTGACCAATATGGCGGCTGTGACGAAGGCCAATCCTCAGTCATTGGATGAATGTAAGGATGTCATCCAGACCTCTATCTTACCCATGGACTACGGCTTGAGGATGTGCGCCAACAATTGTTAGTTCTGTTTTCTCTCGAAGCAAGGTACGGCAAATTGAAAACTCACCTTCCTTCTACTGATGACACTTGACGCAATGTAGCGTAGACCAACTCAAAAGGAAGTTCAGGAAATGGGGCTTGAGCAAGAATGGAAAAAGGGAGCAGTGGGTCGAGGCTGCTCGGGAACTCAAACAACGCCGGCTGGATGTGAGACAGGCGAGGATCATCACAAAAAATGGCAAGCGTTTGGATGCTGCTCAGGCTAGGAGGGCTATTCAGCGGCACGATCTTCCAAAGATGCGAGTAAAACAAGGCAATAGTAAGTCTTTAACACGAGAATGACTTCCTGCCCTGATCCAAAGACCAGAAAATACTCGGCCACGCACTTGCGAAGACCTCACCATTCGCAGGGAATTGATCAACCCTACCGCCGTTACAACCATCACGTTGCCTTGCCATTCCTTCTGGGAATGGATACGAAGAATCTTTCCCGTCGGCGACAAGTTGTCATTTTCTAGCGTTCTGAACTCATACTCAGCTTCGTTCGAACCTTACTTTCATTATCTCCAGGAATTCCAGTTGATTGGCACCGATAATCCGTCAGAAGAATCCAACTCGCTTGCAGTTGGGGTTCCTCTGCGTTCTATTAGAGATACATCACACCCGCCAGACGTAACTCAGTTAGTTGATACCAATAACGAACCTAAAGCAAACCAGTCGCTTACGGTTGGAGCCTCTCTGAGCACTCCCAGAGACGCCTCATATCCATCTGTGACAGATTTTCAATCTGAAGCTGGAAAGATGTCAATTGCAATTGCCAGCAGGCTTTTCATGGCTGCCTCCAGGAATTACGAAGACTTAAGGGAATCCTTAGCCTCAGAGGTCTGGAGAGTGGCTCTTCCCGAAAAGAGTTATTTTATCAGTGATATGGAGCTTGTTGCCTACTACCCTGGAGTAGCAGATCTCCCCGTCTTGATGAGTTACTTGGTCTATATCTGTTCCAACCACCTCATACAACGTGATCATTTCGACAACCTGGCTGACAATTTACTAAGCAAGTATGGCATAGAGGCGCTGAGATATTCCTGTATAGAGCAGCTACAATACCTCCGCTCCTTCCAAGAATTCATTCTTCTTTATGCGGCGAGAAAAGGACGATATGAGATAGTACGATTTTTGCGGCCATTTCTCCTGGACTTGGACCAGCGACTACGTGGTGGAGCATATCCACGAACCTTGCTTCACGAGGCTGTTTTGCACAAACAAACCTCATTCGGTAAAGCTCTCCTTGACGATGGAGCTGATGCCGGTTGTCCCATGGCACCGTCGGAACTTCAGGTGTTCCTATATGATCGCCCTGCGATGGACTTGGCCGCGTATTTTGCTCCAGAGCTTTTTCGCCATATGCTCGACATATCCAGGCAAAAGTCGACCTTTAACCCTGCGCTATTGTTACCTCTTGCAGCGAAATCTGGTATGATTGTCACAGAATGCCTTCAGCTGCTCGAGCTCGGTGCGAATGTCAATGCGATGGATAGTCAAGGTTGGACCGCTCTGCAACATGCGGTCTCTGCACAACAGCACTCTCTAGTCTGTACTTTACTAGATCATGGAGCTTCGACGGATCTTGGGAAAGAGAACAGAGCCATTCTAAAGCGATATCAATCATTGGAAAGTCGCGTGGCTCTGCCCTTATCCCTTGGCATCGAATCCAATGATGTCGAAATGTGCGAGATTCTTCTTCGAGCTGGGGCCGATGTGAATGACCACTTGTTCACAACGAACGGGGATCTTCTTGATCCGTACTACAAGCAACTGCTTCTGGAAGACCTGCCACGAGGGACATTCCAAACAGCTCTTCAACGTGCAGTGTGGGAGAACAATACACAATTGATTCAACTACTCCTCGAACAAGGCGCAAAGCCCACAGTCGAAAGCACAATCCCCTGCATAATTATTGCCGTTTGGAGAAACAACTATGAAGCCCTGGCACTGCTAATTCAGCACGGCGCTAATCTCAGCGAAACATATGACGGGAGCTTGCTCGGGAAAGCCGATGCAATGGTATATGCTTCGTATGGTGGAGATCTGCGAATCCTGCACATTCTCATCAGATCTGGCGTATTTATTGAGCCTGCTCAGCAAATTTGCGGGAAGGTATGGACTCTCGGATGGACTCCATTGCAGGCCGCTTGTCTCAGCGGAAATGCTGCTGTGGCTCAATTACTGTTGGCCTCTGGTGCTGATGTTAACGCGCCATGCTTCTTCGACGGCGGTTTGACAGCTTTGCAAGCAGCTATCCGATGCAGAAATATGGCATTGGTCAACCTGCTTCTCAACTGGGGAGCCAATGTGAATGCTTCTCCATCCAGATATGGGGATACAGTCCTCTCAGCCGCCATCAAATCTGGATCTATGAGTGTTCTAAGACACCTGATCGCGCATGGCGCAGACGTCACCTACAACGGGTGCAATTATCGACATGGGTACGATGAATCGATGATCCCAACTGTGGCTGCTGCAATACTTGGTCGCATAGACTTCATCCAGGAGATGTTACAAGCTGGCCTGAACTTGCAAGCACCGATTCGTCAAAACACTCCGAGCACGATCTTGGGAGAAGCATTGTCGCGAGCCGCAAGATATGCCAGAATTGAAGTCATCGAGTGGTTTCTTCAACACACTGTCACACTGATTCCATTGGAACTATCTGAGATACTTTTCTCCATTCACTTCTATCAAAAATTTGACCGCGAGGCCTCCAAGAAATTCACATTGGAATTGTTAGATCGTGGCGCAGACGCGAACGCTTTTCACAGCGGCGAGACTAGATCACCAACCACTATACTTTCAAGAATCTGCTTCTCGAGAAAGGAAAACAAGGAACTAGTCCAGCTGTTGTTGGATAGGGGAGTCGATGTGGATCCGGACCCTGGGTGTGACACCAAGCTCGAGGTGCCTTTGATAGGTGCTGTCAGAAATGGCCATATAGCGATCGTGGAGCTTCTACTGGAATATGGAGCCAACCCCAATACGACTTCTGATGCATTCAGATGGACACCTCTTCAACATGCTGCCTCTCAGGGCTATATTCGCATTGCACAAATACTCCTTGCCCATGGTGCTGATGTTGGAGCTCTCACGTCCGATGGGCAATATACTGCACTAGATCTCGCAGTGACGAATGGACGTTTCGACATGGTGAAGCTTCTGCTTGATAATTACAAACTTGGAGATTGTGGACATATGTCGAGAGTCTGCCAAAAATATGCCGAAGTCGCACGAGAGGAGTGCCAGTGGGCAATTCTTAAGCTTCTGGAAAGCTATCAGTCTGAAGCACAACATTCAGATGATGAAATCAAACCTTTGCTCGACGCCGAGGCTACGGAGACTGGCACAGAACGTTCAAGGAAGGTTTCGCATAGGACGTTGAAGAGAAAGACATTGACTTCAATCCCTGGGTGAATCTGGACACAGCAAGCTGGTAGATGTGAGCACCAAGATTGGTCCCTGAACTCTGGTCTATCGGGTCAGAATTAAGATCTACCTACAGTGTTCTCCTCCTTCGACGGATCTACTGTATTCCCTATCATATGTCTACCATGCAATCTGAATCCTCGAACCCAGCCCAGACGATACGAAGAGAGTCGATTCTTGTGCAACACATGATCTCGAAGTCCATCCGTTCCCATCAGAAGAAACCAAACTCCCCCAAGGACGCCCATTAGCACAAAATTGCGGACGAGAGAATGAGTCTTGACAGGTGGGATTCCAACCAGCTGAAAGCCCAAGCCCGAGTTGATCCAGCCAAGACAGATCATCACACGGCCCGTCCACCGATGTATATATGAGAATACACTCTTTCCACCAGTCCGCTTGAAATGACGATGCTGAAGGATGCCCATTGCCGGCTGAACGACAATGATGGTGGATGTCACCAGCAGACCGATCACAACATGGGCTTTGACGGGGCTGAAAAAGTTTAGATCGTTTTTGGCAATGTCTATGCCTAGACCCATGGCACCAATCATCATGACAAGACCGAGGATCTGGATCGGACCGTGGATGCGACTGGTCACACGAACACCCTTGAGCGGAAGATGTTGTGCTATGGCGCCGAGAGGAAACAGGACGATGAAGACGATGGACATAATGCATGCGTGGGCATTGCGTTTGCGGTGAAAGATCTTGTAACTGTCTTGGAAGTATGCTCGTTTCTCGAGGGGTGCCGGATCTGTTGGGTGTTCGGCATCAAGAGTCGTTGCTAAAGCCAGCACTTTGGTTGGCGATCGTGTCAACACTTGCGGTAATGCACAGACATGGTGGTACGACGTGGGACTCACTGGGTACGAGCAGAAAGGCGAAAGCCACGACAGTGCCGGAGCGGAACGCCATTTTTCCCTCTAGCTAACAGTTGTCACTATATTTTCACAATGAGATTACTGTGGTGAACAAAAAGGAGAGTATCGCGAGGAGCGTTGTATCTGAGTAAATATATGAATCATATGCCGGGCCTGGAGAGGAGAGGGTGGGTGAAGAGTAACAAAACATACCTAGGTATATGATACTGTATTTGTATTCTACCCCTTCCTTGGCGACAAGGTGAAAGTCGATGCGAGCTCGGTATGTCACGCATCACAAACTAAAAAATGTTAGCTCGCAAGGTCATTCAATCAATTAATTACCATTGCTTGAAATAAAAGGCAAAGGCTGACACACGGACCTGCGAGCGCGGCCACATGCCGGGGGCGGCGCCCATGTCATTTATTGCTCCCGCTCTCACTTGAAGATGATGATGCTGCGAGGTGATTGAGTCCAGGGCCTTGTCGATTCATGTTTCGTATTATCGATTGCGAGGAAGGGGTGATTTAAAAATAGAAAAGAAAAAGAATTTTGTGTGGCGACAAGGCTGAGAGGAAATGCTCCGGACGAATTGACATCACTTGACCACTCCGTACCTAAGCTGGGTAAAACAGGTACAGAATGTCGTGGGACTCGACATACATGACTACCCGTAGTCTCGTTCGACTGCCCCTCGTGTCAGTATTCATGGTCGCATTGCTCGCATATCTAGACTTTTGATGGTAGAATGGACGAGGACCTTACCATCCACTGACTTTGTTGTGGCAACAGTTATGACTGTCCACATCGCCGAATGAATCGCAAACGGGGAACAGACTACTTGGGTAAAGTAGAAAGTCGATCCGATGCGGGTTCAAATCGCAAGCGTCAAATGGAGTAGTATCGTGCATGTCTGCTGACGAGTAAAATGGTTATTGTGTCAAAGACCACGAAAGTGACCAAGTAAGAAGCCGGAAGGGACTTGGTTCGAACTTTAAGGTATTGCATGAAATGGCACCTTAATGAGTTCATATAAAGCCTGACTTGAGTCTATAGTTGCTTCCTAAAGGCATCAACTGACGGTCCTAGAAAGTCCTGAATCGTAGGAACGACCTTGTGGGCTTCATGAGCCACTCCAGGTACAAGGTCGAATCTCGCATTAATGCCGAGATATTCCCAACTATCCCTCAACCTGCTTAGGCCTGTCAATCTGCCCTCTTTCATCACACCGAGTCCCGGGTCATCAGCTCCGGACTGATTGCTGCCACTGTCTTGGGATTTGGTCAAACCAGCCTTGAACTTCGATATGAAAGTCATGAATTCCTCGCCACCGTGGATGAAGTCGTCCTCGGTCCCACATAGCAGCTGTATTGCCGGGACGGCCTTGATGGCGTCGATGTCAACCTTTGCGCCAGACCCGAATACAGCCTGAATATCACGTATCCCATCTGGCCAAGACTCACTGGGGTCGAGAAAGGTGGGACGGCCCGGGGCGCCGATGGAGACAGCCTGAAAACGTTCGGGATGGACATAGAGCATTCGCAGGGAGAATTGACCTCCGCCGGAATAGCCTACCAGAAAAAATTTCGATGTCGATATACCCGGCCAGATGGTTGCAATTTCGTCGTCGATTATCGACAGGAGGATTTGGTCCGAGTTGAAGTTCTGCGCGGTGTGGAGTACCTTGTAACTGTCCAGGTCGATGGCGGATGTCATCCCAGCTGGAAAGAACGGAGCAAGGATTGCAACGTGGTGTTTGTCCGCGAACTCCTTGAAGCTGTCGCGGCACTTTTCAGCATTACGACCAGTGCCGTGGACGACGACGACCAGCGGAAGGCGCGGAAGTGAGTAGACCGGGTCATCGGATGTAGATCGCGATGGATCTGGGTTATACGCATGTTCAGGTATGTATAGAGTGTATGAGACCGACGGATGGGCTCGAGAGACGCGGAAGGGGGTGCTGCCGGTGAGAAAGGCTGGTCTCAGAAATTTGGGAGGGATCAACGCGGTAGACAGAGGGGGAGACATGTCTGATGGCAGAGAAATTCCACATCTCCAGGATTGGGAGAAGAAGGAAGAAGGTCGAGACGAGTGAAAGAAAACTGTCGACTTTGGTTTTTATATCTATCTCTTCGGGCACATAGCGACGTAGGGATGGATTAGGACGTGTGGTGCGAAACTCGGCCTTTGAGCGACACCATTGAATTGTTGATGGTAGGAGAGGATGTCAACTGGTCGATTGTGTTATAGCTTGAAGGTACTTACCGTATCATGGAGCATTCTCGAGTTCACTGATTAGGCCGAGGGTAATTGCAGGAGAAAGGAATGGGAACACGACCAAGAGCTGGAAGAAGGACGAAGGACGAAAGATGTAAGACAAGGCTGTGCGAGTACGGAGGGGCAAGGCTGTGGGTACGAGTACGAGAATCCAAGGCTCTAGGCGACGCGGCTGCCAAGGACGACATTGTACTGTAATAATCGTTTCTCCGCGAGGGAAAAAAGTGCCGCATGACGAAGTGATTGATGTATAAGGCACCGACTGCGACCACCAGCTGCACCTGCACCGCCCTCGGCGTCTACGTGTCTACCCATCCAGGCCTCATTTTCGCTCGTTGTACTCCGTATTTTCCTTCTTTATATATCCTGCACACGTGGTCATCGCGACCGTCCTACCTCGATCCATATACTTCCTTGATGTTGTATGACCATTCCATACGGAGTACACTCTCGTGCTATCTCAGCTGCACTTCCCCGGCTGCCCCACCAATCCACTGAGCCCGTCAGCTTCCGAACGACGCCCTTGGCCGTAATACGAACACTTTCCGCCTGAGCGGGCTGATTGTGAAAAACACGAGATAACTACTGGAGTGAAGAAGTGGAAAGTAATAAATATATATCAAAGAACACAAGATGCCTTTTGGAATCAACAATCCACTGCCCTCTTCTATGAGGAGTGAGTCTACCTTCAGCCGCTCCGGAATTATGCAGCCTTCAACCACTGACACTACCCAGGCGAATGCAAAAAGGCTGGCAAGATTCTAGCATCCTTTGTTGATCCCAGACAGAGCTTTGGTCCAGACAAAGTCATACCTCCGTCGATTCTAGCGAATGCCAAGGTACGCAATTGTTGTACATCGTTTACCTCCCACGCGCTAATTCTCTACACAGGGCCTTGCGGTTCTCACAGTCTTCAAGGCTGGCTTCCTCGGATCAGGTCGACTCGGCTCCGGTATCGTCGTCGCTAGACTCGCAGATGGCTCGTGGTCAGCTCCTTCTGCCATCGCGACCGCCGGTGGTGGCTTCGGAGGTCAGATTGGTTTCGAACTAACCGATTTCGTCTTCATCCTTAACGATGCCGCCGCCGTTCGAACCTTCGCACAGGCAGCTTCGGTCACTCTCGGTGGAAATGTCAGTATCGCAGCCGGCCCAGTCGGTCGCAACGCAGAAGCGGCAGGCGCAGCTAGTCTGAAGGGCGTGGCCGGCATTTTTGCGTACAGCAAGACGAAAGGATTGTTCGCCGGTGTGAGTCTGGAAGGCAGTGTCCTGATTGAGAGAAGAGATGCGAATGAGAAGATGTACGGCGGCCGGATAACAGCAAAACAACTCCTCGAGGGTGGCGTCAGACCACCTCCGTCTGCAGACCCGCTGATGAGGGTTCTAAACACTCGCGTCTTCTCGGGCGCAGCAGCCTCGGATGGCATGTACAATGACATGCCTATATATGACGACCAGCATGATGATCTGGTGTGGGAAGGACGGACGGGGTCGGGCTATGGAGCCAATGTCCGCAATAACCGATCATCAACAATTGGATCTCGAGACGACAATTACGAGTATCACGACAACCCTCGGCGAGCAAATACCTGGGACGATTATAACTCGCCTTCTCGAGAAAGCAATGGATTCGGCAACAGAAGTCGATCGAGCACCATGAACAATGATTACGTATATTCTGACAATAAACCCACCCGACCTACAGCGCCGAAACCCGTCTTCAGACAGCGAACAGGATCAATCGGTCCCAATCAAGCGGTCGCTTTGTTCACGTTTGAAGCCGAGCAAAAGGATGATCTCGGCTTCCGGAAGGGCGACGTCATCACCATCACGGAGCGGACGAAAAGCAAAGAGGACTGGTGGAGGGGAAGGACTGCAGATGGTCGAGAAGGCATGTTCCCTTCGAATTATGTCGAGACAGCTACATGAAGAGATGTAGGCGGGATTGATGTGACGAGGTAGCATTGATACCCATTCTCGTTTCGGTTTGAGGTTTTGTCACGATCATTCAGCCACGGCGTCCTGCAGTTTGTTTTCTTGCCGAGCAACATGTTTTTCACGGCGCAGAGTGATACATTTTTATAAAAGAACGTTCCAGTTTTTGAAGACGGCGTTCTAGCATTTTACACACGTAGCTGTTGTTTTGCAAAGAGAAAAGGGAGTCATTCACTTATCTGAATTATATAGATGACACCCTATGTACGGAGTGCCGCCTTCCCAATTTCTCGAGAGATCATCATTCGCCCATGTGTCAAGACGTGCAAAGTAGGTACGCAAGTGAGGGTAAGCTATATTCAAGCCTGACCCACGAGCAGGCTCGGTGAGTCCTATGCCTTTTCAACGTATACTTCCAGGCCCTTTTGATGGACGAAAAAGGTGTTCCATATGGTCAGACTCTTTTCAGGGTCGACTAGGGTGAACTATGTGTGAACATGTATGGTTAGCATTGCTTTTACGTCGAGGACGGGTCTTGTATTTCCTTTTGTTTCTTCTCTGGTGGTATCAAAGGCCCGAGAATAGACCATCTGGTTGGTTTTGGGGGAGGGGAGGCGGTCAAAGCTCACCTTGAACTTCATCAACAACAGCGGCACCAGCTTGTGGACCTCCAACAGACTGATGTTCTTGCCGATGCAGGTCCTCTTGCCGGCTCCAAAGGCCATGAAGCACCTCTCCATCTCGGCCAACTCCTCACCACCGGAGGGAGGCTCGAGCCACCGTTCGGGACGGAACTCGCGCACGCCGTAGCGCCTCCCGAAGACTCGGGCGTCCTGGTGGATGACGGCCGGGTTGCAGCCCACGACGGTGCCGGCGGGGAAGTGGCGGCCGCACAGCGTCACGCCGCCCTGGGGGACGACGCGCTCGAGGATCAACCCGACGGGCGTGTGGAGCCTCAGGGACTCTTTGATCACGGCGCCGAGGTAGGGGAGCGTGCTCGTCTCGCGGAACGTCGGGGCGTCGCCGAGCTCGGCCGAGTGTAGTTCGTCGAGCAAGCGGGAGAGGCACGCCGGGTGCAGGAGGAGGAAGTGGAAGATGGCCCGGAGCGTTATGGCGGTCGTGTCGGAACCGGCGTTGATGTTGCTCAATGACCAACCCAAAAGTTGCGAGGGGGGGATCTTGCCCGAGTATCTCTCGGAAGCTGCTATGAATTTGGCCGTAAAGTCTTTACGGTGGTCTGTCGATGTTGTAACGTCGGCATCGTCATCGTCATTGTCGTCTTTCTTCCTCTCGCGCCGCCGTAGCGCCGCCTCGTCGATTCGCGGTTGCAAGAAAGAGAGCACGAATTTACTCACTCCCATCTTGTCGCGAGAGAACAAGTGTCCCCACCACCTGTTCTTCGCGAGGAGGTAGTCCAACCACGGCATCTGGCCCACGATGGCCGTGTACGCGCCGGACTTGTTGAGCGTCTTGATGATGGTACCGACGTCTCGGCCTTGTTCGAGGAATCCGAAACGACGAGACATTGTCATTTCGCCAATCACGTCAAACGCGTACCACTGAAGCCATTCGCCAATGTCGCATACCTTGTCGGAGTCGGCGTACAGACTGGTCAGGCGCTCGACGAGGACGGTCGAGGTGTTGTCCACAAAGGGCTCATAGTCCAAGAGACTCGTCATGGCGTAGGCGTGCGCGATGGGTCGTTTGGCCGCTTTGTGCGCATCTTCATTCGTGATCATAAACAACGAAGCGACGGGTTTGCCGTTGATTAGGGGTTGAGCGACGCGGTAGTATTCGGACTGTTGTTTCAGTTTTCAAAAGGTTACTTAACAGACAGTGGATTTCGGCCATGGTATGTATGTATAATATGGTATTGCACTCACGCACACGATGAACATACCTTTTGAAATAGTCGGGATATGCCATAGATCTGTCTGATTTCCCTGGGGTCGCCGACACTGATACAGTTTGGTCCGACTCGAACGAGATCACCGTATCGATCGTGTAGTTCTTGAAGGGTGAGTTCGAAACGAAGTTGGTTGACTTTGACGAAGCGCCATAGGTCTGTGAAAGAGGCGAGGAATGGTCCTGGTATAGATCGTAGGTAAGGTTGGTATCGCTGTGTGAGGATGTATATAATCCCTGTGGTTATTGAGAGAGCGAGCAGCAAGACAACAGTCCAGTATGAGGACGACCAGGGCTCGAAAGAATTTGAGGGAGGTGTGGCTGTTGACGTGTCCATTGCCATTGTAGTCGAGGGGGGCTGTCTCTTCAGCAACAACAAACGATGCCTTACTCTGTCTGTGTCCAGACAAGCATCGAGGCCGAAGAAGGAGGTATAAGGGTAGTATACTCCGTGTTTGGAGTCAAAAGTCAACTTGCAGTTAGTTGTCCACTTTACCTTGACGATTTGCCTAGGATGTCAGGATGGGTGTTTAGCCCTTTCCATTGATGACCATACACGCCGTCCATCTTTCTCCAACGTCAGCTCAAAGTAATGATTCCTACGAGTCTTCTCCTTGATTTCCGGGCCCATTGGTCTACCTCCGTAGGGGCACAATGCGGGGGTTTGATAGGGAACCACGGCCTCCGGTTGTGAAGTAACATCTCACTAGGATCGGCACTTGACATTTTTGTACGAAAGGGACTCGTACGGTAAACGTCCTGTGAGAAAGTGGCCGTTTTGGTCATTGCCGGCACAGGAGCGGGTGGAATTGTAGGTAGAGGCACGCTAATCATTGATAGGCAGGTTGTTGGTTGCATCGTTCGAGTGGGAGTACGGGCCTTTACAATGTGGCTGTTACTGCTCAATAGATGAAGGCGAGGACGAAGATAGAAACAAGAGACAAGATAGAGAGAGATAGATGACAACCCTCGGCCTGGATATTCTATTCGCCGAGCACTAGATTGATTGGTTCCTGGCTTGAGAGCAGAAGAGTCGCGACGCGCGCAATCACTTTATCACTTTGTTTTTCTTACCAACACAGAAATACAATACACAATTGCGTCCTGAAATAACTAGCTACCTGGGTTCTCCCGTACAGAGTACTCCCTGAGCCTTACACAACATCGCATTTCACAAATCATCCTCGAACCGCAGGTCTAGGTGGACCCCACACATACATCGTCTTCGGTCCATTCTCCTGCACAGTTACAGGAGTCTCACTGTTCACCAAATCTCCATCTGCGTAATGCTCAAGTTCGAACCCGGACTCGTCGTACCAATAATCAAAGATCTGACTGCCCAGGACATGCCGCCCGACACCCCACGAGAGCTTGTACCCTCTGGACTCAAGGTAGTTGTGGGCCAACTGCTGCACGTCGTAATCGTGAACCTCAAACGCACTGTGCGCGACGTCGGGCTTTTCATCCGCCCTTGCAGGCTTGATGTAGAAGCTGTGGTGATCGGTATAGTCTAGACCCCTGTCGATGTGGAAAAAGGAGATGGCGTCTTTCCCATCCACGGTCACTCTGTCCGAGAATGCCAGCGTCAGGTTCGACGTGTACCAGTCCACCATCTTCTGGTACGTGCCGGGCGGGTAGCTGACGCCGTAATGTCCCCATTTGTGCACGGGGGCAGGTCCCTCCTTGAGTCTCTGAAACTTGCCGATCCGACGCTTCTCGTCTTCGTAGTTGACGACGAGCTTCTGCAGGTCTTTGGGCTCGGGTTGTTTTTCCTGGATGCCGTACACGAGATGGACCTGGTGGCCAACGGGGTCTGTCAGTGTGACGCTGACACCACCTCCTGGACCGTCGAGTTTGCCGATGGTCGATGATCCCGGAATCCTACTCGCCTTCTCGAGCTCAGACTCTGATTCCACGAGGTACGAGGCACCCCCGAACCTGGCTACGCCGTCCTCAGCCTGCCTTGCGACATAGCAGTACGCGTCTGGGCCGTAGCCCTTGAAGAAGATGACTCCCTCCCTTCGTTCGGCAACCTCGAATCCGAAATCAAACAAAAACTTGGATGCTTTTTCCAAGTCTGCGTGGTAGTAAGTCACGAATGCAGTCTTCCGCAAGCGGACTCTGGGGTCGTCCAAGGCAATTGGCATTTTCAACGTCAAAAAGACTTGCTATAGATGACTGTCTAGGAAAGAAATGGAGTATTCAGTGATGTTTGGTGAGTTGCCACTACTTCCTCTGACCTCTGTTGGTTATACTTTACTTGTTTGCTTTTCGAGACGATCTTCACTAACCGCGGAATGGACGAGCCCCGTGTGCTTACGTTGTCGGCCCTACTGTGAGGCACGGGATGGTGAGGACATGAAGCACGGCATTTACCTATTTCAGCCGAACACCGTCCCTCCGGGAAACAAAATACGGGGCACATGCGCTCGCTTGCCCCGCGTCATTGCCAACCTCGATCAGTCTGGACTGTGGAACTGTTTCCGAAGCGAACCCTGAAAAGAGTCACGTTACTCATGGTATCGGTGCAATGCTTTAGGGGTTACAGCATGAGTTACAGCTACCAAAGCAATTTGTGCATTACGTCCCGCAGCGTCTGGTACGGATTTTTCGATAGCTTCTTGCATCTCCAGCACACAAAATGGTCCGGTCGAACAAGGACGAGTCCATTTTCTTCTACGCCTCGAACATTCTCCCAGTCCCAGTACGCGTCTAAATAGTCGAGCCCTCTCCCGATGCCAAACGCTTTGACAAGCACTTCTTCCGATCTCAGCTTGTCTGCAGCATCTATCCAGGCCTGGCCGCCAATTCCTGTGAAAGCGACAAAGTGGCCATGACCAACCAAGTCCAATGTCGAAATACGTTCAAATTGTCCATCTTTGACAAGCCATACGTGAGGTAAATGAAATCCGGGAAACGTGGACACGACTTGCCTCTTCATTATGTTTATGCTCTGGCAGTCTGGTGGGACATCTCCATCTTCGACCAGGGTGAGACGCGATTTCGAATAGGTCTGGTTCATCTGTATACCCAGGGAGTTGAACTCGTCGTCCGTCTCTTCTATCATGCTGCGCAACGTCCTGCGAGCTCGTGCACCGTCAGCAGTGGGTGCTTCGAGTTTCGCCGAGACCGCTGCGCGTTCTTCCTGTGTCGATCCCATGAACGCCCACAGTCTTCTATGTACCAGCATGCCATCGTTGGCTCTTCTGACGATGCCATCTCCAACTGGTTTGCGTTCCGGAGTCAATGTATCCAGTATTGAAGGATCAGCTTGACCTCTCAGGACATATGCAAGTTTCCATGCAATGTTGAAAGCATCACTGATGCAAGTGTTGCTTCCAAGGCCATTTATGGGTGGATGACGATGTACTGCATCCCCAATGCACAGTACATTGTCCTTCTGCCAGGTCCGAGCCACCTGATCGTTGATTGTCCACCGGAAATGTCCCAACAACTCGATGTCGATCCTATCGTCCCCTATCATCTGCCGAACCCGCTTTAAGACGTCGTCGTCCTTGGGCTCAAAATTGAGATTGCCTTTTGCATTGTGCATTGAAACGATAAACTCATTCCAAGCGCGGACCATGCGTATTGAGCCATGCGAGGACCAGTCAGGAGCGTCAGGATTGAGGATCCATACCATCGACGCAGGTCGTGGAGCAAAGTACTTTGACAGATCCGCTCGGATGTACACATTGAAAGCATCGTCAAGTTGTTCTCCATCAACCGGTATACCAAGGCTGGAGACGACGGCACTCCTGGCCCCATCTGCGCCAACCAGGTACTGAGAAATGACGCGGTACGTCTCCAAAGTCACCCGATTCCGGACTCGTGTCACGATGCGACCGTCGGGAGATCTTTCATGAGACAGGTACTCGGTTGAGAAACGAATGTCTGCTCCCAAGGCTCGAGCTTCTTCGACAAGGATAGGCTCGAGCACGCTCTGAGGAAGATCTGACATCTCGCATGGACTGGACGTCAGGTACTCGCCAATCCGATCAGGCTTGTTGCCCCATGCGTACACTCGGCCATATTCCTCTCCGTTGAGACTATGCAACCAGGCGACATGAGCGATCTCCTCGTTGGTGGACGCAATCGGCTTGACCAGATGCTCGATTCCAGCATCCCTCAACACTTCCATGGCGCGTTGATTGAAAATGTGAGCCCGGGGAGTGTTTGCAGTTCCATGATGACGTGAGATGGTCATCGTAGGGATGCCATATCGACCCAGTAGCAGAGCTGTCGTTGCACCACTTGGACCTGCACCGACGATGAGTACGGGAACAATGATTTCTGGTGGTTCTGAATGCATTGCGGCCAGTCTGCCGTAAGCTGTGATATCTGACGATAACGCAGGCGCAAACTTCGAGGCTGATTTGTGAGGTTGTTGCTTTTGGTAATATCCAGACCAATCGAGTAGTTTACAAAGTGTCCGGGGTATATTCCACCTCCCATATCATCACAATGCATGATAGTCGGCTTACCGATCTAGGTGTCAATCATCCGTGCCCATTGCCTGAAACATTTTGATTACACCTGTTCGCAACCAAAAGGCCGGCGGAATAGTCAAGACCGCTACCGAGGATGACCATCACAATTTCGCAAGTCATGAGTAAGTCTCATCTCGTGCAGACGAGGGATATTGCGTCCTCGGTAAGACATCACGGCGTTCCGAGGGGGGCGTACGAGTAGGTGTGGTCCACATTCTCCACATCGCTGCCGTCTTTCCAGATGCCGAACAAGTTGTGAACTGTGGGGGTGGGTTTAGTAATGTACTTGAAGTATGGTACATATTGTCGTGATGCTGTCGTGATGAATTGAGAAAGGTGTACTAGATTGCCGGAGGGCACAGACTTTGCAAAATCTCATCTCAAGATTTCAGACTAAAACCAGGTTTGTTATTTACTGTCCAGATGACGAAGCCCTTTCAAATCGTGATTATCGGAGCAGGAATCGGTACGTTGCCACGCTGCAGTACCCCGATACATAGATCAACTAATAATAGGAAGGTGGTTTGGCCGCTGCAATATCCTGCTTGCGGTGTGGATGTGAGGTGACGGTCTTGGAGAAGGCTCCTGAAATTTCACCAGTAAGTTGACGACGACTCCTGATGTTCAGAAGATGCTGACGACTCGAAGATCGGTGCCGGGTAATGATCTATGCAAAAGTGATATTGCAGAAGGGGACACTCAAACTGACACTACTTTAGGATTCAAATTCCCCCAAATGCAGCAAGAGTCGTCCAGGCATTTGGCATTGAAGACAAGATCAGAGCAGCCGGGGCAGTGGAAGTCAAGGCGAACCATCTTAAGAGGTATAAAACTGGAAAGGTCCTATGTACCAGAAATGGTGGGAAGAAGATGATTGAGGACTTCAACGGACCGTGGTTGTCAGTTTTGTTGCTCTTCAGGTTGCAATTCTCTCACGGCTGACAATTACACAGTGTCATTCATCGAGCAGACTATCATGGTGTACTGTTGGACGAGACCCTTCGGTTGGGTGGTGCACTCCGACTTGATGCAGAGGTCGTTGAGATTGATTATGAGGCTGAGAGGCCCCAAGTCGTCCTCCATACGGGTGAAGTCATTTCCGGAGATGTTATCGTCGGGGCAGATGGTAAGCCACTCCCGAAGTGTAAGACAAAATCGACATGAGGTTGACACGAGGGATCTTCCCGGAAACCAGGTTTGTGGTCAAAGATTAGAGACATCATCTTGGGAGAGGCGTCTCCTCCAACTCCGACTGGCGACCTCGCGTATCGTGGGACCTTTTCCAGAGACCAACTCGAAGCTTTTAATGACCCGGGCATCAACGAACTGATCAACTCGAGGTGCACATATAACTGGGTGGGACCTGATCGACACAGTGTCTTCTACCCGGTCAGGGACGCGACCGCATTCAATCTTGTCCTGATTCGGCCGGACAACTTACCACCAGGCACGAGGACCGAGACAGGAGACATCGACGAGATGCGCATGACGTACGAAGGCTGGGACCCGGTTCTCTCCAAGATAATATCGTGTCACAACAGCGTCCTGAAGTGGAAGCTCTGTCACCACGATGAACTCCGGACCTGGGTCAAGAACAACCTGGTCATGATCGGCGATGCGTGTCATCCGACACTGCCGTACCAAGCTCAAGGAGCCGCCATGGCCGCCGAGGATGGGCTTGTTTTGGGCCTCCTGCTCGGCCGATTGCAGAATGAGACCAGCATACCCGACGACGAAAAGAGATCACACATCAACTCGGCTCTGCAGCTGTTCGAGAATCTACGAAAGAAGCGCACGACGACAAACGTCAAAGGGGCTCGAGCCAATCGAATCATGTACCACATGCACGATGGACCTGAACAGGAGGCTCGCGATCAAGACCTGGCCGACGTCGACTGGGTCAAGCCGTCCAGATGGGGCTGGGCAGATCCGGGTTATCAGAAGCAGATGCTTGCTTTTGACTCGGTGGCGGATACACATAAAGCGTTTGACCGATGGTTGAGTGAGGGTGGCGGGCAGGTTAATGGATATTCTACAGGCGCAGCGAACGGAGGTTTGAGGTTGTGAGTACGAAGTATTTCGTAAAGTATGTAGTAGCTGTAGACACTTGATATTGCAGAGGGAAACGGCGGACAGTGTATGTACTTTGAACTTGACTTTCAGCCGTGGCTTCATCATGGACAGATACAATATAGATTCTCGATTAAAACAAACTGTCATCAATAATTGCCCATGTTCAACACCCTCAGTTGAATTGTCGTCGGATGGGCGGCACTTTAGCTTTGTCGGCAAAACCACCACCAAGATTGCTGACTTGTTGTATGGGCGGGTTGGTCGCAGTGGCCAATGGACCATCCATCATCGCCTAGAACCTCCATGTTCTCACCCCTGTACCAGTAATAAGCAGGGACAATGCCCCCGGACTGTTTACCTATTTACTTAGTGCGAAGAGAGCCTCTTCGCCCCCCGCAAAACTCGGTTCACCCCCATCTTTTCGTTGACTCGGAAGGGTGAATGATGCTTCGACTTGCAACTTTGGATTCGAAGAACAATATTCTTCGTTGGATATTCCCATGCCAAAGTGTCGGGCTTGGAAAGTTGGAGTTTTCTGGACTCGGTTGACTTCGATCAGACATATTCCTCCTACTTAACAACATGGCGACTTCAGAAGGAGTTTTGAACATCTCGGATATACAGATTGTTTACCACCCGCCGCCGTGGCCCCATCGAGCATGTGAAGAGTGCAAAAGGTAAGTGTTCTTTGAACACGTCCATCTACTCAGTTGCCGGGCTTTTCACTGATGATTCATCTCTTTGTAGAAAGAAGACGAAATGTACCTAGACCAATTCCATTCCATCCCTGTCGTCGGGTCACCTTGGATAGTTAAGGCTAATTCGATGCTCACAGGCGATATGAAACGACCCAGTTGTACGCTTTGCACAAGAGTCAGCAGTCAATGCGTGTTCCCGACCAAGAGAAAACGTCCGGAGCGTGTGAGTGATAAAAGTCCACGGTCGAAAAAGAGACCGTCCAGAAGTCTCCCGGAACCTCTTTCAGACGAGATATTTGGTATGACAATCTCTAGTTCTCAACAAACTTCTTACTTTATAAACTATGCTAAGAGTCTTCTCCTGTTCAGACCGCCTGATGATGTTTATGAATGCCAAACAACAAGACGGGAGAGACGAAAGCACCAGTGTGAGGAGAGATGCGACATCCATACCACCGGACCAACTTTCCCCCCCGCCGTCTCGCGGGCGTAACGACAAGCCATCTACAGAAGTTCCTGGTAGTCATGAATCGATGGTCGACGTGTCTCCCACTGTCGTGAGTGAACCTCAGAGCTATAGTCGCGGCAACAATCACGGCCTTTTGGGGACGGAGATGGATATCCCAGATGTGATTCCTTGGGAAATGGAAGGTGGCCTCACGCCGTTCCTGTCCGACAACTATATCAATGACGCGTTTATCACACAAGATCTCTCTGGGCTGAATGCGGAGGTACCGTCAGATTCTCAGGGCTTGGGGTTGTCGGTCTCTCATCAAACCGATCGTCAGCATCTCTTAAGCCCACGGTCCCCGGCAGACACATCACAGGCGCAGCATCCCACCCGGACACTTTCGGCGAGTCAGCCTAGATTATACCAATTGACCGTATCAAATGCTCTGCTGAGAGAGTTGTGAGTCTCTTCCTAGCTTGCATCGCCTGCCACCTGCTGACATCGTTTAGGGTTGACGTCTTCTTCAGCAAGATCAATGCTTTTCTACCCATTTTTCACAAACCGAGATTCTATCAACAGTATTTTCCGAATGAGCCGCAACATCAAGGTCTGGCACACCGTCGACTGCCGTTAGAATCGGCCTTGATATTAAATGGCATCATGAGTCTGTCTGCAAGATTCGCGCAGCCTGCCGAATTTGACGGGGTTCCCCCTATCGCCAGGGGAGCATTATTCGCGAAAGAAGCGCAGTCGATATACGCCGACGCAATACGATCCCAAGGTGAAGAAGCCCCGACTCTGCCGTTTCTACAGGGCTGCATATTGTTGGCCTTCTACCACAGTACGAATTGTTCAAACACCTTCCAATGGGCTTTGATCGGGAGTATCACTCGCCTGGCCTACGACCTCGGGATCAACTCTGTCGATGAAGATATCAGTGCGCATCACCACCCCGATGAGCAGCCACAGTGGGCTTCTGTGGAAGACTGGGTGCACCGCGAGGAACTCCGTCGTGCTTGGTGGGCCATTTGGGAACTCGACACGTTTGCCTCGACGGTCTCCAAAAGGCCATACATGATCGACCGAAATACGATGAGGGTGCTCCTACCTGTCTCGGACGAGCACTGGTTTGCAGGTCACCCGGTCGCTTCCGCACCCATGGGGTGTACTCCTTCGACGGCCTGGAAGAGTCTACAAAATTCACCGAACCAGGATGAAAGGGCGTGGTTCCTGATAGCCAACTTCCTCATGGCGTTGGCAAACGACCTGATGATCAGAGGAGAAAATGTACAGAAAAGTGCAAAGGAAGAGATGGAACTCGCCATCACCTGTTTCAGTCTCAGTTTGCCAGAACAATTCCGTCTGACTTGTAACGCTCTCGTTTTTAATGACACCACTTTTGCGAGGAGTAATTGGATCATAGCTACCAACATCATGTTACAGAGGTAAGTAAGAACATCCGCAACGCAGAGAGAGAGAGAGAGAGAGAGACCTTGCTTTGTATGACTGACGATTTTTGGGTCATAGTGCCCGTACACATGCTGCTCTCACAATATGCACCCCAGACCAAAATGGTTTGTCACCTTCAGTTTCTTCCCCAGTCAGTGCCGAGCATTTCTCATCTGAAGAACAACGTTCCAAATCTGCTTCGCACAATTACATGCAACACGCACACAATGTCGTCAGGGCGATCAAATCTTGTTCCGCAGATTACTTGGCCTACATTTCACCCTTTTTGGTTTGTAGTCTCGTCGGAGCGAGTTCCATGCATTTCAGTCCCTTGTCACAGGGTGGTCCGCAGTCACCAAACGCAGCCGCCGAGAAGAGCAGCCTGAGTCGTGAAGTGGTCTATCTTGGAATAGCACAGATTGCTAGGTATTGGGGTATAGGTTCACTCATGTTGGGTAAGCAAAAACATGCTTCGATTACGATCAGGTCTCTTGTCTAACAATCTCTAATTTTGATCTACAGACCTAACACATGCTCTTCATAAAATGACGGGGGATTCTGGTGTGCCATTGACTGCTAGAGAACATGACCTTGCAGTACGTTACGTCAGTATTGCACCGGCGGCGAGGAAGAAATATCACTCATTATCATTACCGGGATGATGTGGAAGTCTCAAATGGACAAACGTCTGGAAATGTGTCCTTGCTATCGAGATTGCATAGCAACCCAATAAGCATTTAGGTGTAGCGAGTACATGTACATTACTGGATATGTTCAAATGAGTCTAGCCAAAACGATGAAGCCTCACGGAGGACAAGCATTTTACCAAGCTTTTTGGGCTTGTGTTTGAATTGCAGCCATATTGCATGATTCAATAAAAGTCAAGATATCATTGACTACGATCATCCGGGAATATATATTTCACCGCCAATCGACATTCCAACCAAGGGATCAAGGCCGAGTATCACTGATGTCCTTACGGAGTCTTTTGTACAGTAACCGGTGATAGGCGTGCATCGTGATCCACTATTTACTCTGGCGACGATTCTCCAAAGGCCATCAATGATGAGACGAAGTCATTCTCTCCGTCTCCCTCTCTCTCCACACAACAGACCTACTCGCATGGAGAACCCACGTCCCTTCAATCGAGCCGTTTCTCTCTGCCCATGGGGTAAAATGAACTGTACCCAACCATAAAAATGCCGTGAAAGAGGGGTTAGGATCAATAAGTCCTTTGCAGATCTCCAGCAGTACGCCGTGGTGGCTTTTACTCGTACAAGTTACGGCAACGACGGAGGAATCACGGAATGCCGTGATCGGCGGCGGCGGCGGCGGCTGCTTCAACGTCCCTACAGTACGGAAAGCTTTCGGCGTGGAGATGAGTACTACCAAGTCGTCAATATACTGTCCTCTTACTCCCGTACAATTTATACAGGCACCTTGACGTGCCACGGGGTTTGTTCTTTGAGGAACAAATAGGTTGATCTGTGACAGATACAATCAGTCCAGACTTCGTTTCGGTCCTGTTCTAGACCTCGAGACTATTACTACCCAAGGTCGCTCCTCCGTCTTCCCAAGAGATTATCATTTTTGTTTGATTGTGTCTTTTTCAATCCAAGCTGAGCTAAGCCCATACTTACTATCCTGACGTCTTCGCGACAATGGAGTCTGCAGACGAATTCAGCAACGAAAACAACACCAAAGCTTCAATGACCAAAGAAGAAACTTCTGAACATCTCGAACAGAGTACTGGGAGCGGGAGGAGGAGACAAACCACAAAAAATGAGTCTGGTATCACTTTGGTACCTCAACCTACCGACGATCCTCGTGATCCTTTGGTGAGTACTACATTACGTCCACATATTATGTCTCGAAAGATGTGTTTCCTGACACTATATCGGTCAACAGAACTGGGCGAGATGGCGTAAACTACTCACTCTGGGTATCGTGGCATTTGCTGGGTTCACCGGTACACTTCAAGCCGTCGGTAATGTCAGCAGTATCTTTCAACAAGGAGCTCTTTACGACAAAACCGGCGTCGAAATTACATATTCGGTATTGACATACCCTCCCACAAGTGCAAACAAAGACTGACTTTCCTGAAATAAAAAGGTCTCTGCGGCAACTGCAGGATTATGCGCAGGACCATTATTCTGGTCACCAATCTCCCGAAGAATCGGTAGAGGTGGTGCGATCCTATGGGCCACCGTTTTGACAATGGCTTGCACGATATGGGCCGCCACATGTACGGGTCCAGGAGATTATGTCAGTTTTGTCTTGTCAAGGCTGTTCGGTTGTTTGGCTGGATCTTGTGCAACTACGGGTATACATAACCCACCCTCCTATTCGTTTCCATCCTTTTTTATCAACAGCTAACGAACACCGTTTGTGAGGAAGGGAACAGTCGGAGCAAGTTACATTACAGATACATTCTTTTTGCATCAACGTGGGAAATGTTTTGCCTTTTACAACGTAATGATTCTTCTAGGGTACGTGTTGTGACGACTTGGTCTGTCTTTCTCCTTGAACTCTCCCCTCCTACTGACAGAGGTGTCGTCTTTCTTAGAACTTTGGCAGGTCCAACCTTTTCCGGGTTCATCGTCGGCAACGGTTCCCCGTGGGCGGTAGAATATTGGTACAATGTCGGTCTAGAAGGTTTTGTCATTTTTCTGATCTTCTTCTGCCTGGAAGAGACGGGTTGGACTAGACCTGGACGACCTACATTTCCGGTCCCTTCGACATCTTTTGTCCGACGATCCATCGATGTTTATTTTTTTCGAAGACCAAATGTCGCCGAAGGAATGAACAACCGAGAGACGGTATGGTCATATCATTTAAACCCCCAAGAGTTTGTCTTTTTTTGGAGAGGTTCATACTGACTAAAATCTCGTTTCTTGATTCAGCTTCGTTTGGCCATTATGCCATTCAGGATAGGATTGCATCCTGTCGGAATACTAGGTGGTCTCTTTCTCATGATTGTTTTTGGCTGGTAAGTACTGCCGTCTCTGGCACTCGGAACATAAAAAATTGAACAAATCTGACCTGATGATTGCAGGAGTGTCGGTGTAAACAACCTCTTGGCCGTATTTCTTCAGTCTCCAGTATCCGAAAAGGGGTATGGTTTTACGCCTAACCAAAATGCAGAATGTACGTTGTCCCTTACCGTTTTACTCCCATTCCACTTGCCTATCACTTCCGTACTACTTTACCTCCCAAAGTACTGACTCTGTGTGTGTGTGATCCAACAGTCACATTTGCGGCATGGGCAGGTTGTATTACGGGTCAACTGTACGGTTTGGCCTTCAACGACAAACTTCCCCTGTGGATCTGTCGCAAGTCCGGGGGGATATGGAAACCCGAGTTTCGTCTTCACGCACTGTGGATCCCTTCTTTCGTGGGACTCAACATCGGTCTGGGTCTGTTCGGAGCCGCCTTGCAGTACCACCTGCACTACATGGTCGCCGCCGTGGGGAATTTCTTGTTGAACTTCAGTTCCAACGTCGCCGTCCCCGTGTTGGTCAATTACGAGGTCGAATGTTTTACAAAGTACCCGGTCGAGGCGGCCACCATCATGAACTTCTACCGGACCATTTTCGGCATCGCCATTCCCTTCTTCATCGACGGCTGGGAAGCCAGTGTCGGGGTGGGTTGGGTTTTTGGCATGATGGCGTTCGTGAGCATGGTGGCTTTTGGTTTGATCATCGTCCTCATGTTTGCCGGTCACAAGATCCGTCATTATTTCCACAGTTCAATCATGTCGACCGAGGAAGGAACGAGGATCATCGGACAAGAAGTGAATAGGTTGGACGTTGAGGCTCACTGAGAGAATTCGAGAGATCGAACGGAAATGTATCTTCTTACGCTTGTTCGCTTAGGTACTTATTGTATTGTTCAAATACGCACGGACCTCACCTTGCTCTCTTTTGTTTTCTACAATGTCAAAACGCACGGTCCAAGTATTTTCCTCTTCCCTGCGGAGTATTTATTACTAGTAGCGTATTTCAATATATTGGCTTGTCAATGATGATAGCTTCAAGATGAGTGAACTGGTAAAAGTAAGGGTTGGTACATATACCATATATATATTTGATACAAGATCAACCCATCCACGAATAAATAATTCTGCTGTAAATATCTCCTGACTTCACTGTCGCTATACCAACTCGACTTGACTTCACATTCTTACATACCATCTCTACCTCCGTCTCTCTCTCGTGTCTATCTGTCAAACCACTCCCCGCATTGTTCGGTTCAGCTGCCACCGTCATCATTCTAGATTTCCATCCCCACATCAACCAACCATCTGGTATTTGGAACCGAATACCGCCAGAAACATACAAATTGTGTGAACCTCAACCATAAATACCTTCCTAGGGAAATAAAATCACACGAGTATCACTTCCCATCTTATCGACAACTTTGCAGACAAGAAAAACATTCGCCAGACGATCAAAATGTATACGACTCAAAAACCACCGACAATCCTCCTCGTACTTGGATTCTTCGTCTTGATCGCTCCACTCACGTCATCAAGTCCGTTGAGATCAACCACAACCACAGCAAAATCCCTCGACTCGAATTCAATGGGATATTGTTCTAGACTTTGTCAGAGTTTGGACAAATGTGAAACAACTTTCGGTCAACGTCAACGTCCACGTGGACGTGGTAGAGATGGTGCGGACGACCTGTGCGGCGGTGAACTACCCGAATGGTGTTCCGACGTGCCTGGATGTGATCAATACTTTTTGCAGGTCACACCACCACAGCAACAGCGAGAACAACAACGGCAACGTCATAATGACCCGAGTCCGACAACCAAAGTCAAGATTGACGGACCAATTTTACATATCGAGGATGATTATGATGAAAAAGTCCACAAAAAATCATGTGCGTCCATCTGTGATGATTATTGGTACTGTTCACGTCGTGACCCTTGGGGGGAACAATATTGTGGTACGATCCCTTCGAGTTGCAAGAACGAACCGAGGTGTATCAGTTTGGATTCGAATTCCCAATCTCACCGAGACGCCAAAAAGTATCCTGATGGGGAGCTGGGATGGGGAGAAGATGAGAATGACGACGACGTGAGTGATGAGAAGGAGACAACCATGGAACCAAAGCAAAATCAAAACCAACAGCAAGAGAGGATCAAAGAGGTCGAGTACGGACGTTGGCGGGAAGAAGAGGACGAGGACGAGGACGACGAGGTAGGAGATCTTTAGAGGAAACGAACCGAAGAAAACGACAGTGTTTTGGGAGGTGAGAACCTTTTGAATATTTTCTGAGACGAGAGGATCCGTAGTACCAAAGAAGAAAGGAAGAAACACACTGTTTTTGTTTTTTTTTTAACAAAAAAAAACTTCCCATCCCTTCTCCAAGGCACGTATACTCACCACGACGAAGAATACCCATCTCGTCCTTTGTTGCTGTTGGTTCTGTCGTGTCCCCTCGTCTTCAACATTTGACCAATCATGAAATGATTGACATCCTCATCTGCCCAATAACTCAAATGACTGGCGATGCTGGCAAGCAACGACACGTCAAACATGCCTTCTTGAATGTGGTAATCCACTCGGCCATTGCTGTTCAAGGCCCTGACCTTCATCTCTTCACGTTTCAGTTTCCGAGCCCTTTCCTGTGACAAGTGATGATATTCCGATGAACCAGCACCGCCAACACCAGCACCAAATCCGGCCGATGAACCGTGACCTTCCTCACCACCGGTTCCGTCGGTAGAAGCATCGTGTGATCGTCGACGTCTCTGAAACCCTGCGTAGAGCGTTTCAATCTCCGAGTCGATCAATGTCGGCGCTTGTTCGGTCGGAGGAGAAGATTTGGCCATGTTGGCGAGCTCTTGTTGTTTCTTGTCGCTTGAAACAACGGGGACATGTGGTGTCGTGTTGGATTGATGAGTCGACGTAGGAGCCGATGATGATGATGTTGATGTTGTCGGACCACCAGATGCCTTTGCTTTGTCTTGTGGCAGAGCCTGTTCTTCACCCGTAATCCCCAAACTCCTGTTGATCAAACTCGACGCCACCCCGGACGTGAGATTGTACCAGCTCGACATGACTTGTTGGCCCATACGGGCCGTCACATTGGCGATGCCGGGCGCCGCAAACAGACCCTTCTTGGTGTACGGGAGAGGTTGGGATTTCAATTGTGCCATCGCCGAAGATATGAGCGGTTCCATTCGATAAGCTATAGGGTCTGTCGGATGGAATATGTTGTAGAGTTCACGGCATTTGGGGGATGACGTGCTGATTGGGATAATGTCTCTGGCGGCGGCACCGGAACCCGGTGGTTTCAGTGAGCTGTCAAAAGGGTCGTTCAGCATTGGGTCCGGATCAAAGGGAGAAGTAGGTACAGCAGCTGCACCAAAAGTACTGGCGCCCAACGTGGACCGAGCGGCGATCGTTCTTCCCTTGAGCATCTGAAAAAGGGCTATCGGAGATCCGACACAAAAGAAATTCTCCACGTCAAAATCGAGGTGCAGATCCTTTTGTTCGACATTGAACTCTCTAGAGGTCTTGCTGGACACCCGTCGCGGTCTTGTCTTGCTGGGCTCTTCTTGACGGCACAATATGTCGAACAGGATCGCACTGCCGAGAGAATGACCACAAAAGCTGACTTTCCCCGAAAACCCCGTGCGCTGTTTGAAGAGCTGATAAACTCGGTTCGATTCTTTCTGTACGATGGACGCAATGTGTTCTCGGTACGCGCTTTGGTACAGGAGGACGTCCATGGCAAGGTCGGTGATCAGATTGCGGACAGCTGGTACCCCCTCCACGGTGATGTCCTGCAAGGAAGGGTACTCATCATCAAAACCGTCATCGGCATCTCCAAGGTCGAATTCTTTGCGATTTTGCTTTAGGCTCTGCTTTGGGAAATCCAAGAGGTGCCGCCAGCACACCGGTAATACCTGGACTCTGCAGTTTTTGGGCTCACCGCTAAGTGCCTGTAGATCAGGAGCTGATCCATAGACTGCCTTCATGGTCTTTCGAAGAGTATTGACATCGTGGATGAACTGTAAAGTAATCAGTATACGGTCCGAGTGGGAAAACATAGGACTCACATTGATACTATCTAGCCTCAGACCGAGACGTTGACCAATGCCGTGCGTAACAAGAACCAAATGATCGATCTGTCGAGCTTGATCTTCACCGTCTTTTTCTCGAGCCTCTTCCATTTCTCGTTCTTCCTCTTCCCGAGCATCTTCTTCGGCTTGACTTTGCGAGTCTTGAGTGTCTGGCATGCCGGCAAGGGATGAGATTTGTCTCTCAAGAGCGGTTCGACGAGGTTTCTCAGGTTCTTCTTCTACCTTATCATCGACAACTGGAGCTACTTCTGCCGGAATTTTGGCAGACCGACGCTTCTCTTTCGTACTGGTGCCATCGGCCGTTTTGGAGTCGGCCTTTGAATCGGTAGCCTTGCCATCCGCCACTTTTAAATCTGTCCAACCGCGTACTACCTTGGTTCCGCCATAACCAACAAATCGCCCATATACCGTACTGCTCATTCGTGACAGGAAGTCATCAGTGGACAGATACGCAACGGTAGCATCTTGATAGGTCACAGTTGTATTCATATGTGATCCGAAAAGACGGTAGATATTTGATGGGGTAGATTGATTATCATCTTGCGAAGGTTGTGCCGAGTGAGCCGTGCCATCAAACACCCCAGAAGTCGGCCTGCTCCGGGGTTGCGAGGTAGATCGCTGTCCCGTCAGACCTATCCTTCTCCATGCGGCAACCTTTAGATAGCCTTCTTCAAGTTGATTGGCAAGATTCTCATCGCAGGGCTTCAAGGATGAACCATCACTGTAGAACCAACTTCCTCGACGAACTTCATATACTGGGCCAAGCCAGTAGGCGGGCTCTAGCTCACGTTTTTCGATGTGGACGTCGAAAAGGTAGTCCTCATTAACAGGGACTTTGGTGCTCGTAACCTCGGAGCCATCACGATGGGCCGCCTCATCATTATCAAGTGACTGAAACGCCTTCTCGATGGCTGCCGAGTCAGATGCCGAAAATGGTACCAATTTCTTTGGGACCTGTGGGGGCTTTGGCTTTTCATCAGAATTCGTCTCTGCCGCAAAAGGTTTTCGTTTGGCCACGTCAACCGCATAGTACCATCGCGCCTTGAGCGGCGGACAGTCTTTCGGATATTTGCGGAGACTGGGTGACGGTCGGAGATTGATAGTGTGGTCGAGACCTGTCGACTGTTTCAAGCCCGGAGAGCCTTCGCTTGGTTTTACGAGAGGAGACTTTGGCGGAGGAGTATTACTCCTGCTCCAAGAGGTAATTGAGCCCAAGAACGAAGAAGCTGGTCTCGATGACTCAGCCATTCCTTTCCGAATAGCCCTTACGAGGGCCGGAAATCGATCCAATGTGACGGCATTAGTAGGCTTTGGCGGTGGTCTCCAAAACACACCGACACAGAACTGTCAAGGGCTAGAAGATTATGGGCCAGAGAGGCCGAAGGTGAGGAGACAATTGATGGAAAAACAAGGGACAGACTCTAGGTATGAATATGAATAATGAAAGCAGTTCTCTTTATGATCATATGGTGTACATGTTGCCTTGTTTTGGACGTGTCACCTTGATATGGATCATATTGGGATTAGCGAGGCACATAGCACGCCGCCACAGAGTGTGGCTGATCACGTGCTCACGTGCACCGCCTCACGTTGGCGGGGGATTCTGCGTCATTCCAATTCCAAGTTGTTGGCCTTGCGACTCGCTCAGCCTTCAGCCTTTTCAATTCCACAATAATAAGCTGCTTGCGACGCCTGTTCAGGCACCACAATTACAGACTGCTACATATTCCCAGTGTTGTCCAGTCCGTCTCTTTTCGACCCTGACAGTTCTCCCCTTGCCTTCACCGGCGTTTCCCTACTATTGCCAATCAAACCGAGCTTACTCGCGCTGGGTAACAGGCGCCTCCCTTGCCGGTCACTATGGCAGCTATCCTCAAACTAACCCGAAAATACCCCCAGTTCCAGCAGAACGAAATCTTCCAATTGCAAGATGCATTTCGAAAACTGGACGTCGACGATAAGGGGTATCTAGACGAAGCCACCGTCATCAAGGCCACCCAGCAGTCCGAGAGACAATCCTATGATGTTGTCAGACAAGCGCTCAAAGAGGTGGAACTTGACAGCTCGAGACGAGTAGAACTCGAAGATTATGTCGACCTCATTTCGAAAGTGCGCGGCTCTCCACCGACTCAGCAGCGTATACCGAGCGGGTCAGTACGACCGGGTGCGGGCAATGGCGCTCCTACGCCTGGACACGCTTCAAAGCCCAGTCTCGGAGGAGGGGCAGGGAAGATTCAGGTCCAAGGCTCTTCTGCAAACGTTACACACACTATAAACGAAGAAGAAAGAACTGCTTTCACCACCCACATTAATGCCGTCCTTGCCGGTGATCCGGACATTGGCCATCTATTGCCTTTCCCGACCGACACCTTTGAAATGTTCGACCACTGTAAAGATGGCTTGGTGCTGGCAAAACTCATCAACGACAGCGTTCCGGACACAATCGATGAACGTGTGCTAAACACGCCAGGCAGGAAGATCAAGACACTCAACGCCTTCCACATGACGGAGAACAACAACATTGTCATTGAGTCTGCCAAAGGTATCGGTTGTTCTGTGGTCAATATTGGTAGTGGTGATATCATCGAGGTTCGAGAACATCTGATTCTTGGTCTCATCTGGCAGATCATCCGACGTGGTTTGCTGGGCAAGATTGATATCAAGCTACACCCCGAACTTTATCGGCTCCTCGAAGATGATGAAACTCTCGAGCAATTTCTCCGACTTCCTCCCGAGCAGATCCTCCTGCGGTGGTTCAACTACCACCTCAAGAATGCTGGCTGGCATAGGCGAGTTAACAACTTCTCTGGAGACGTCAAAGATGGTGAAAATTACACGGTTCTTCTCAACCAGCTGAAGCCCGATATATGTTCCAGGGCTCCTTTACAGACCAGAGACCTCTTACAACGAGCCGAGGAAGTCCTTCAGAATGCCGAGAGGATCGACTGCAGAAAGTTTTTGACTCCCACGGCCTTGGTAGCAGGAAACCCCAAGCTCAACCTTGCCTTTGTCGCCAACCTCTTCAACACTCACCCTGGTCTGGATCCTCTTACAGAAGAAGAGAAACCCGATATCGAAGACTTCGATGCCGAAGGTGAACGCGAAGCTCGTGTCTTTACTCTCTGGCTCAACAGCATGGATGTTCAACCCACGATCAACAACTTTTGGGAAGATCTCCGTGATGGCACAATTCTGCTTCAAGCCTATGACAAGGTTATTCCTGGCAGTGTCAACTGGCGTCACGTCAACAAGCCTCCAGCCCATGGCGGTGAAATGTCTCGATTCAAGATGGTGGAAAACACCAATTACACTGTCGAATTGGGCAAGCAGAACCACTTCTCGCTCGTTGGTATTCAAGGTGCCGATATCACCGACGGGCAACGAACACTTACCCTGGGTCTTGTCTGGCAGCTCATGCGTCGTGACATTGTCAGCACATTATCAGGTGTTGCTCAACGCATGGGTAAGAGAGATCTTTCCGACTCCGACATGATTAGATGGGCAAACGACATGTCTAAAAGAGGTGGTAAGAACTCTGCGGTGCGATCTTTCAAGGATCCAGCTATTACCAGTGGTGTCTTCCTTTTGGATGTTCTCAATGGTATGAAGAGTAATTACGTCGATTATGACCTCGTGACTCCTGGAAAGTCGCAAGATGACGCCTATGCCAATGCCAAACTATCCATCAGTATTGCCAGAAAGATGGGTATGTATCTATCTTTCGATACAAAATGGGGACATGAACTGACGCCTGTTTAGGAAGCACAATTTACCTTTTGCCAGACGATATCGTACAAGGTCGAGCTCGGTTGGTGACAACTTTTGTCGGTGAGTAGTCTTGTCCGGGATCATGTGAACGATAGAATGTGAATGCTAATGGATTTTTCAGGTGCATTGATGAGAACAGCCGAGAAGATGGGCGCATAAGGTACCTACCTTTTGTGTTTATCTCAGTATCAGGGCCTTCTTGCTGGGCTCTTGGAAGCGCTGGCTTGGACGGAGAACCCAAGAAGAAGAGGTCTAATTTTTCAAAACTCAGGCCTTGTTGTATACCTTTCCTGGACCAGCAAGTGGTGTCAGTCCGTATGGGACGCGGAGACAGGGAAACACGGGCAGGGAGGACGATGATGTGTCTCACAAAAAAGGCCTTGGTTGTTGAACAATTCAAGCCCACCATCAATTTTGTTGTCTCGATTAAGCCTACTTTGTTTACCTGGTACTTACGAGAACATTTTCTTTAGAGAGAAAAAGAAATTCATTCCTAAGATTCGGCTCGAGTGATAAGATGCTGACACTTTCGCTCTCTATCTCGTTCGATCCTACTACGTAGCCTCAATGGACCTTGGCTTCAGGTCTCTCGAGAACATCATGGTCTACCATCAGAGGCGCAATGTCACAGTGTATGTATGTGTCGTTGCTGACGACAATGATTTCAAGTTTCCCTGTCTGCCCTATTTGGTTTGTTGTCTGCCTGGTCTTGTTCTTTGGGCTCTGACATGGGTTCGATTCAGAAGTTTTTGGGGGTTCCATGATCACATCCTGGAGAGAAAAGGAGAGAGACACGTCGCCAGGGCGTGTCCTTTTTGTCCCCAGGTTTTGGTTCTTGACTCGACTCCACCTGACCACCCGACTCGAACCCGGCCTGGGACCGAGTATGGTCCACATCAAATCACAAGTGTTCCTCGAACCACTGCACGGCCTGCAGGAAGGCATTCTCCTTGGCGTACTGGGCGACCCGGTTCTTGGGGTCCCCCCGGACGGCGAACCCGTGCTCGACCCCGCTGTACAGGTTGATCTGGTAGGGGAATCCCAGGTCCTTCAGGATGGTCTCGGTCTCGTGCCGCTTCTCGGTCGGGAAGATGTGGTCGGTCTCGGCGGCGGAGATGGCCAGGGGACCCTTGAGGTCTCGGAGCTCGTCGGCCTGGACGAACGAAGGGTGGGCCGTGTAACCGACGTCGATCTTGCCGGCGTCGGGTCGGAGGTGACGGACGACGTATTTGCCGCCGAAACAATATCCCACGGCACCGATTTTCTTTTTTGAACAGAAAAAAACGACGCGATTCGAGTTAGCCGGAACGATGCAAGGAAGTGGGGACGTGACAGGAATTGAATGCGAGGAAGATTGAATCGATGAAGACCGAACTTGGGTGGACAATAGGACTGTGAAAACTCAAAAGTACAAACCAACCTTGCAATTATATTTCGTCCTCATTTCGACCAGACAAGAATCGACAATCGGATCTACCGTCGGTGGCGTGTGTGGGGTTTTGGATTCGCTGTATTCCCCCTGCATCCACTTCATGATGTCAAAATCTCCAGGACGATCGAGCGGGATGGGATCCTTGTGGAACAAATCAGGCATCATGACAAAGTATCCGTTGGCGGCGAATTGGTCCGCGATGAGGTTCGCATTGATGAAACGATGACCGATCACGTCGGTGATGCTGACACCCGACACAGGCAGTCAGTTGTCAGTATAAGAATTACCAATACCAATGTGCGAGAAGTGGTGATACGAGGTATGGATGAAAAGAACATGAACACACACAAAGATTGCAGGACTTACATCAAGATACCTTTTTCTGTACTCTTGTTTTCGGGATATTTGGTGTAGATTTCAAAATCACCCAAGGTGGAAAACTCTCCCGTCGCGGTACCTTCGTGCTTGACACCCTGGTAACAACATTTTCCCGGTGGATGGGACGTCATGTTTGGAAAGTGATGATGATGATGATGATTTGTGTGTAAAGAGAAAGATACAGATGGATCAAAGATGAGGGGTTTTTTTTTGGTGTGAATATGAAGAGAAGATGACGAAGATGGAAGTTTTTATGGGCAGTTGGTTTATCGTCAAGTGAGAGAAGGATGTGACAAAAAGATAATGGTAGTAGAGGAGGAGGAGGAAGATGGAGGAGGGGGGGCGGCGGATGGCCTAGGTTTTATTTACTTCTCTCGAGGATACGAAGTTACGAGATACGATTTAGAATCTGTGTAGCTCAAGGTAGTAATCAGCAAGGAGGGAAAGCGGGCGAATGACCAAAAGGGTACGGAGTATCTAAAGCAAAAAAGAGAAGTCCAGGGTTCAGCTCGCAACAAGGCATCCCAAAGAGGGACGACGATATACTGTTTAACAAAGGGACCACCAACTCGTACTTTCGAAAAAAAAAACAACAAAACTCAAAAAGAATCCGATTTTTACCAGGTACGAGTACGAATGATCGGAATTAAAGCGCGGGAAATTTTGGTCAAAAACCTGTACGTCCAGACTTTGTTCGCGACGGCAAGATAAAGTTAGGGAATCCAGACATGGGTTGGTACAGTATGAGTACGAATGTGAGTAGTACGAGTACAAATGATGATGATGATGATGGAGATGTGAGATTAGAGAGAGAGAGAGAGGGGGGTCATGATCGAGGAAAAAAGAGCGATGACGATGACGAAACGTGGTCCCGAAGAATGTTGTTGTTGCCCCTCCATGAAGTTGAGGCTAAAAAGAAGATTCACCACCGGAGATAAAGGATATAATCATTCAAACAACGACTCGGGAATATGAGTAGTGCTGTAACTCGTAGAAGAGGAAAGCGAAGGAAAAGAAAAAGAAAATGACGTTACCCACGAGACGGTACTTCTACACCAAATAATGTCCTAGCCTCACCTACTGCACTTGTAATCCGAAATATACCCACCTACTACGAGTACGAGTACCCACGAGGACCACATCTGTGAGGGACCACCATTTACAGGTAACCACATTTTCGAGGTCAAAGATCCTCGGGCCGTTCTAACCATGAGACGAGCCCCGATCATCGGGTATCGCGGCCCTGTACTGGCAATTGACCAACATTAAAGTTCCGACCGGACACCTGTGAGGATAGAAGGATGAGTATTTTGCAGTAAAGCAACAGACTACAAGCAACAGACTACCTAGTCCTCTATCACCACTTCTCTCTACCTCAGTACGACCAAGGTATAGTAGTCATCATCCACCATCAATGTCGATAGCCAACAGAACCCTCACTGTACACCCAAACCACATGTAGTCGTATCGATACGTGACTACAGGATATACCTGTAGGAAGCTCCATAGTTCTCCTCCCCGACGTGAGCACCGGTTTTGCCATCTCGGGCCGCAGCAGCTTGTGCCTCGCCCACTTTGCCATATTTCTTGTCCAGTTTCTTGTTTTCCCAAACCAACAACGTCCTCAAACTCAGTGCGAGGAACGCGTTGAAGAACATGAATGCAGCACAGATGCTCTGGCCCTTGACATATCGTGGTCCTTCGGATTTGGGAAAGATTCTGGTACCGAGAAAAGGACCGGTCTGACCGACGAGATTGAGTAACATGATACTGTGGAAAAGTGTCAGTTGTCATCCTGGACAGGTATTTTGTTTCCCGTCTTTAAAAGGGGACAAAACTCACCCCATGCCTCGACGGGTATCACTTCCTTGATTGTTGACCACCCACGGGAGAATGTTGGCAATGGCTGGGAATACTCCACTGGCACAGAGAAAGGTTCCGAAATACCTCGGAGCTACCGGCTTGCAGGTGGCCAGCAGAATATAACCAATGCCTCCAACCACGCTCAGAAAAGCAATCATCAATCCACGTTGTCGCGTCCGATCCGCGATGTAACAAGTCCCGATAGTGACGATCGTTGAGACAAAGTAGGGCGGCGCCGAAAGACCTTGAGCATTGATCGAAGAGAAGCCCATCTCGTTCAGAATGGTGGGCAAGAACACCGGAAGGGAAGAGTACGAGACATTGCATGAAAAATACATCAGCTATAACATGGTCTGTCAGCTCGGGAGTCACAATCCAACGTAACGTAGCTTACGGCGGTGAACCACGCTTTTGCATCAAGAAGAGTCAACCCAATATCTTTGACGTTGAGCTTGCGACCCTCTTCCTGAGTACCGTGTTGCCGAATGACCCTGGCTTTCGCCACTTCCTTCTCCTCCGCTGTCAAGAATTTCGCACTTTCGGGACTATCTGGGAGGAAGAACCAGGCGATGGGAGCTGCCAAGATGGTGGGAATGCCTTCGACGAGGAACAATAGTCTCCAGTTGGCGAGATGGGAGTGGCCGCTCGTGATACCGTACGCAAGGGCGCCAGCGAACATGCTCGCAAATGGCGCAGCCGCCAGGAAAATACCACTTCGAAAGCCATGTTCGGAGCGAATATAAAAAAAGGAGAGCAGATACGGGACCGACGGGCCGACTTACCAAGCAGTCAGCATTGGATACAATTCTTCAGAGGCACATCGTGAACTGGAAGCGACGACACAGAACCCTGGACTAAGACATAGCCCTGATGGAGAGGAGGTGCGTGGGTGTTGGGACCTTCTGGGAGTCACTTACATCCGGCCTCAGCAGCACCAAGTAGAAAGCGCAATGCCATCTCTCCTCCCCATGATTGTGTCGCTGCCTGGCACGTTGCAATGATGCCCCTGATTCTGTATTAGACGAGGACAAGCTAGTGATGGGATGACACGACATACCAAGCAAGGGTGATTAGACACGCCCACGTATGCGGTTTCCTGTAGCTTGTTAGTGGAGAATATATCCAACACAGACCTAAATAGGTATATCGCACAGTATCTTCCACATGAAAGCCTGTGACTTGTTTAGCACCATCAATGCCTTGACATGCGACAAATCTCTCTTACCTGGAATTGAAAAGTGCAATAGGAAATGTAGAAGATGGTCAACAACCAATCGTATCTATCACCGGTCAAGGACAGATCCTTTTCCATTCCCGCGATTCGTGCATTGCCGATATTGGATCTGTCGAGATAGGACAACAAAACTGTACAACATCATCGCTCATCATTAGTCTAACGTGCGCGACAGCAAGACATGTAGTCGCTCAGCAGCTCAAAGCCGAGCGAGTAATGCAGCGTAGGAAGCACACGTTTGCAGTCGTCCTAGCTCAATTCGTGGTAGACAGACGGGATCAACACGTACACAAAAAGGTCACTATTGGCGTGACATGTAGGTCTAGTTTTCGCACCACTCGCTTCTCAACGTCCGCAGCATAAGCGAGGGTCTGTTGACTGTGAGTCTCATCTTGTAAGACTCCAGTTTTTTCGGGATCATTTGGACTCGCTGGCTCGGCCTGGCTGGGCTGTTGAACATCAGTCTGGGCAGCGGTGGGCGGAGGTTGCTCGGTTTTGAATATAGCCATGACGGGCCAGTAGAGAGAATCAAGCGTGATGCGTGCGAAGCTACGAGATGCAGGGCCAAGAAAGCACAGATATCAAGCTTGAGGTGAATATCATAGAGACGTGAGTTAAGATTGCGTCAAGAGGGCTGGACCTTCAAGAGACGGAGCTAAAGTCGATGTTCGGTGGCATTCGGTCATATGACAGCATTGGAACTGAGCAAAAAGGCAAGGAGCGATGATGAGTGTGTGACTCGAACGGCGCGAGCAGACGATCACTACCGTAGGCAGTATCTAGACTGGTATTCCATGCTCGTACGAGCACCAGGGCAAGGAATAACAAGGGCGCGCGCGAGTACAACGAAGCACCGTACTCGGATTAGGTAAAGGTGGGATCATCTGTGGGGAGACGAGGTTGTATTGGGGAGTTCTGTACATATCAACAGGGGCACACCCATGCAGATCACAACAAGGGGAATATTTTTCCGCGAGGAACCTTCCCCACGAGTGGCATGATACATGCATAACCATGTTTAATCTCCGAGCGTGTGAGTTGATACAAGTAATGTACGTAGGAAATTATGTTGATTAATGATGAAATATTGGCGATGTCGAGCAAGATTGAGAGGAAAACGCTGGGATATTTTTTGTACGGCGAAGAAGAAAGAAATAGTGGCTGACCGGAAGAGGAATAGTGAATAGTGCCAAGTTTTTAGTGACGAGCTTGTTCTGCACCTTCCGCCAATCACCGTCTTGCCCAGCCTGCGCCCTTGGTTCTGTGCTTCCTGTCACCCGCGATATACAGTGTACAAATCCCAAAAAACCACGAGAGGGAGGGAGAAGCGTGCGCGAGTGTCTGTGCAAAAGATCTCGTCCAGAACGAGATGAACGACCGGATCGACTTCTGATTTACGTATTTCTCCTCAACGTGTCAGCATGCGCACACAACGTGTCAAAACACGCGGTGCTCCCTACCCAGCTGCACAACAACCTCCTGAAGACAAGACACCATCGGCGTTTTCAGTCAAACGGCTCAACTTGAAGGTGGTGTCTTTTTACGAAATTTATACTCGGTCAAGTTTCTACAAGGGTCCTTTGACAGGCAAGGAGTTTGGTACCCTCCCATGAGTGAGAAGAGGCCAACGGCTGAAATTGACCAAAACGAGTACGAGTACACGTATGCAGTTTCATCGTGTGCGCTGAGGCGTGTCAAAGTTGATCTGACAGCCTTTCAACCTGGTATCGGACACCAATTGGTCACTCGTATCGGATCACGCCAATCGACACAACGACTCCCATTGACCTACTCTGTTCCAGGCACAGACCAATTCATCTACGCCCGTGAAGATGGTGGTCCAAGTGCCCGGGCCCTCTTATGACATCCTTCACCTGTAATGCCAACAGCCACACCAGAACAGAAGGGGATTTCTTTGGTCAGGTTGTTTCGTCCGGGGCACTTTCCAGCTGACAAGATCCCCCAGCCGTGATTCTTTTGCATAAGGAGACCTCGTATTCCTCCGCGTCATTTTGAACAAGAGGCGTTCCATCTCAATTGCTTGTCCTCACAAACTTTTTGATCTACTTTGCTAGGGAAGTGAAACAAAACGATACATCTGAAGTCACAATTCGAGATCGTCAATCTCGACAACCACCAACGAGGTTGATACTCGTAATCGACAACACCATGATCCCACTACGCCTTGCGTTCTCGTTGCTCTTCCTCGTCGCCACCACCGTCTTCTCAGCCGTGCTCCCGGCCACGTCTCAAAATACGTACCAGTCTTCACTCAACAAGCTCAATCCACTACAGACGGTCGACCGCCTGGAATGCAAGACCAGCACGCAACGGATGCGATGTTACGGCGGCCCCCTCGTCACCATCCAGACCTGCGCGTCGCAGTGCACCTGTGAGGAAGGCCGGATCTCGTGTTCCAGCTTCAGCCACTGCGACGACAGCTCCATGGACACCTTCTGCGGCTCCCTCTGTGGGTGTGGCGTCGTGCCCGCCGTGAACAGCAAGTCCGGTATCAAGAAGGAGACCGTCGTCAGCGCCTATCGATACAAGAATTCCGTTCAAGACCCCGACGAGGACGACGACGCCGACAATGACGACGACCTCAATCCGACCGAGAATATCAGAAGGATAGCTTCTTACCTTGAACGATGAAAATTCCCAGGGTCAACAACACATTCCTCATTTAAAACCCCGAACGCTCTCTTATCCTAACCTATTGAACTATACTACGAGTGTTGTCTTTTACACGACCGACCTTCATTTTCATGACACTTTTTTTTGCTTTCTGTCCAACCTTCTTGTCTTTCCAAAAAAAAGGACAATACCAAAGTCAGCGCACGTGGAGTTCTTTTGATGAAATTTAACCTGTCGCTTTCGGAAGCAAGGCGAAGCAAAGGCGATGGGAACTTTTGGGAAGGGCAAAAGGAAAGAGAAGGACTCGGCGATTTTGACCCAAAGGAATCGACACGTCTTGCCGAACATAACACTTGGAAAGTGTCAATCGACACCCCACGAATTGGCGATGCGGTTTTTAGGCCTACCTCGCAAGTTCTCCCCTTCATTACAGTACACGGTACTCTCTGTAAATACTTCCGCGGATACATACGGAAAATCTAATCACGTTACCTCACGTCTTAAAACACCCATGTCGTAGAATGTACGGAGTGACTCGGCAACTCGAATCAACATCATCCGAATCATGCAAGCAGTACTTTTGTATTTCTAAAGCCAAGTATTTCAAGCTCTGGAAAGGTAGAGATGAATGCTTTTGTACCAAAGCATTTCCAATCCTTCCCTACCAAACACTAGTAGTTACAGGGGGGAATCGAGATGGAAAAGGCCACTTCGACCATTTATCTTTCCGATTGAGCCATCAACGCCAATAAAATGCCGATTGCCCACAACAACACCAAGAGGACGGCGCTTCATACGCATACATGTTGTGGGAAGTGCATCAAGGTGTCCGCCTAGGATCCAAGGACTGGGGAGCCACCTGATCCTGAAAGGGAGCCGCGCCGAGACTATGTCTTCTCACGTTGGCTATCCGTCAATTTCTGATCATGAAATCTATTTCACAGCCAGGCACTTGATGTCGAACGTCAACTTGCTGTTCTTCGGAATGCCAGGAAGGGATTTGCTGCCATAGGCGAGGTGTGCGGGGATGACCAGTCGTCTCTCGCCACCAACTTGGATACCTTGCAGGCCAATATCCCAACCCTTGATGACCTCTCCGGCGCCGAGCTTGAAGCTAAAGGGCTTGCCCGCTTTGTTGCTGTCAAACACCTTGCCGTTGTCAAGCTTTCCGATGTAGCGCATTTCCAGACGGTTGCCCTTCTTAGCAGCAGGACCATCACCAAGCTTACGATCATCAACTTTCACCCCTTGAACATCTTTGACGCCTAGGGAGGCATTGCCGGCTTTCTTGTCGGTCTTTGTGGTCGCCGGACCTGCTGGGGTTGGGCCTTGTTCGAGGTTCTTGGCGAACTGGACTTTCTTTTCGGAACCGGTGCCATTCGCCTCTTTCTTCGAGTCGGCAGTGTCCTCAACAGCGGCGGCCTCACCATCATTCTTCTTGAGCTTCTTGAGCTTCTTCTTCTCACTCTTGCTAAGCTTCTTACTGTCCTCAGCAGGTGCAGTTTCGTCCTTTTTTAAAGACTTGGCCATGATATCGTCAAGATTTGCCTCCTCGTCATCGCTTTCCTCAGCAGGACGCTTATTCTTTCCCTTGACCAATTTTGGGGCTGCTTCGTCTTCGCTGTCGACCTCAGTCACGCGCGGGTCATCTAGGTCATCCAGGTCGTCGGATTCGGAATCGGCGCCCTCAAGCAAATCGAGTTCATCCTCATCCGGAGACAGATCGTATTCATCTTCTTCCTCGTCATCTTCGTCGTAGAGTGAAGCTGAGCCATCGTCCTGAGGAATAACATAGTTGCCGGTAAGATGCACGGTATGGGTACCAGAGACCTTGAAGAAGATACGCTCTCCCTCAGCGACGACGAAGTCAATGGGTTGTTGGTAGTTCTGTGAAAACAAGATTAGGTCAACCATGTAAAGTAGGTTCTGGCGGTCGTACCTTTTCGGGATCAAGGGTGCAGATGACCACCTCATCCAATTCGAGGGACTCATCGTCCGAGTCCTCATCATCGTCTGAGTCGTCCGACTCGCCATCAATAGCCTTGCCTTTGCCCTTGGAGTCGGCTCTCATAATCTTCTTGAGCTCAGCGAGTGCCTTCATGGTGGCTTCAGGATCATCATCATCTTCGTCATCGTCGTCTTCCATGTCATCGTCTTCGTCCTCCTCGTCTGCGAGTTCCTTCTTGGATATTTTCTCACTTGGACCGCCGTTGACCTCGTCTTCGTCTTCAGAGGAGTCCTCATCATCCTCCAGGTCGGCGAGATCGAAATGCTCGTCGTCGGAGTCTTCATCATCGTCGGACTCGTCAAAACCTGGAACTCGAACCAGTTTGAGGGTAGCACGCGGAGGGATCTTGTCGTCGGCTGCCTCCAAGTCTGGTTCGGCGCTAGGGTCAATTGCGGCCATGGTTACGCGAAACTATGTCATGGTTAACGCTCTGAACAGCCATTAAAGCTTTTGTTGGAGTTTACCATTGCAGCAAACTCGGGGACCGCAGGAACCATGATGTCTCCAGGAGGGACTTTCATGGCGTAGACCGCCACAGGTTGAATGCCCGACATCTTGTGATTGAGTAATAGGACTAGAGAGGAAGTAAGGTGTTGAATTGATACAATGAAGTCGATGTGCTTTGGAAGATCCTCAGACAACAACAACAACAAGAGAGGAAATTTTCGAGAAGAAAAAGAGTTATGAAAGTTGAGCTGGACGCTGAAGAAAGATGGATGCGGCTGCCTCAGAAACCGAATCCGCTAAAATAAAAAAAATTCTTAGGACGCTTCAATGCAACTCCGCAGCGCAGCCTTATCTTATCGAGTCTCATCAGGCTGTGATGCTTAACTAAGCCACCCAATAAGCCAGCCTTGTAGGAGCCTGTGGGAGCCTTGCGGGCGCAGGCAGAAGATCCACCAGCTGCGCTCTCTTACGTCGTCGCGTCGCAATTTAATTCCCATGACGCGCTTTGTTAAGTACAGTGTATTTGCCTCATCAGCCTCTCTACCAACAGCGCCATTACTACGCATCTTGCATACGCAGGACTCCATGTCCATGTCCGTCGAAGGCAACGTCCAGGCCTGGACCTCGTCATGATCTTATTGTATAGCCCAACATGGGCTCCAGGCTAGAAAAGAACTCTACCTCGGTGCGCAAGCGCATTGAAAGCCACACCTTTAGCGATGAGCAGGGCGAAGAATATGAAGGCTCCAAGTTCGGCGGATTCGCCGATTATATGCGGCGGAAGAAGATCAAATTGCAGAATCTTGATGCTGAAATACGATCGCACTCCACCGACAAACCTCCCATTTTTCGCGGGGTGGTAGTCCATGTTAATGGCTATACTCAGCCCTCGTTGAGTGACCTCCATAACCTGGTGGTCAGCCATGGGGGTGGCTTTCTACAATATCTCGATGGCAAGACTGCTGTCACGCACGTTGTTGCAAGTAATTTGACCCCAAAGAAAGCAGTCGACTTTGCCCGATATCGTATTGTCAAGCCTGGCTGGATCGTCGATAGTGTCAAGGCTAGCAGGCTCTTGCCCTGGGATGCCTACAGGCTGGTGGATGAGGGGGTGACACAGAAGGTGTTGGGCTTTGAGAATGGCCAGATGATCAGCCAAACCAATGAGAAAAAACACACGTATCGCGACCAGAGCGAAACCAGCTGGTATACTTCGCAGTTACGCCAAGGGGGAGATGTTGAGGCTGGAACTCGTCATTCCTCAAATTCGCAGAGCGTACCTGAGGGCCCGGCTATTGAGCCCATTGACCGAAGCGATGCAGGCTTACATCAAAGCAGCAGTGTGGCAACTCCGCCAGTACCTGAAGTGCAGCAGGAGATCGTGGCATTGTCCAGAGAAGACAACTCAGCATCTAGTGCACGAGATCGTGCACAGTCTCCTCTACCCTCTCCGTCATCGTCTCCTTCCCATCCTCTGCCGTTTTCGGTTCTAAATGCAGGGCAGAAGCCCGAGAAACGTCAGTTAACGGCTGAAGAGCATAATGCTCTCCTCCTTCAAAATCCACACATGGCCAAGTCTAGTACTGCAAACCCTGATTTCATCAACCAGTACTACCGGGAGTCGAGACTACATCATTTGTCCACTTGGAAAGCTGAACTCAAAGCACAAATGCAGGCACGCGCTCAAGAAAAGTCCTCGTCGCAAAAATCCAAGCAAAGTACAAAACCAGGCGCGAGAAGGTATGTCATGCATGTAGATTTTGACAGCTTCTTTGCTGCAGTCTCACTCCGCAAGCATCCTCACCTGTCAGACAAACCAGTTGTGATCGCACATGGAAGTGGCCCAGGATCGGAAATTGCCAGTTGCAATTATCCCGCGAGACAATTTGGCGTCAAGAATGGGATGTGGATGAAGACAGCGCTTGAACTCTGCTCGGATCTAAAAGTTCTGCCATACGACTACAAGGCATACGAGGAAGCTAGTCGCCAGTTCTACGACTCAATTTTGGCAATTGATGGTATCGTCCAGAGTATCAGCATTGATGAAGCCTTGATTGATGTCAGCGAACAATGCATCAAAGCTGGCGGATCGGATGGGCGGGGCATCTCAGAAGGCTCCCTTTATCGTGAGCAAGAAGCTGCACAACGTCTTGGTGAAGAGTTGAGAGCCTCGGTGAAGGAAAAAACTGGATGTGACGTTTCGGTTGGTATTGGAGGAAACATTCTCCTGGCGAAAGTCGCATTAAGGAAGGCTAAGCCAGCTGGACAGCATCTGATCAAGCCGGAGGACATACTCGACTTCATCGGCGAACTTACTGTTACCGAACTTCCAGGCGTTGCTTGGAGTATAGGTAACAAGCTGGAAGACATAGGCATCAGGTTCGTGAAGGATCTTCGTTCGTGTACTAAGGAGCGATTAATCAACACCTTGGGCCCAAAGACTGGTGGAAAGCTGTGGGATTATTCTCGAGGAATCGACAAGCAGGAGGTCGGTGAACAGGTGGTTCGCAAGTCAGTTTCGGCAGAGATCAATTGGGGGATCAGGTTCATTAACCAACAGCAAGCGGAAGACTTCGTACAGAGTCTTTCCGATGAGCTGTCAAGGCGCTTGCTCGAACAGCTTGTGAAAGGAAAGCAATTGACGATGAAAATAATGCGGAAAGCTGCCGATGCAGGTCTGGATCCGCCCAAAAATCTCGGCCATGGCAAGTGTGATACTTTCAACAAGAGTGTAATGCTCGGTGTCGCCACGAACGACGGGGTGGTTCTTGGAAGAGAAGCTATTTCCATTCTACGAAGCTACAATTTCCCCCCTGGAGAACTTCGAGGACTCGGTGTTCAGATGCAGAAACTGGAGCCCTTGAAACCTTCAGGGACGGGCGGCTCTGGCCTCTCTGACGGTAGTCAGCGCCGGCTGCAATTCAAAAAGCCTTCTACACCATCTCGACCTGCAGAACAGCCTGGACTCCGCACCACCTCTCGATCAGCCCTTCACTCCCCTAAGATTAAGCATATCGAAGATCCCATCGAAGAGATCCCCACCCCAGAGAAAGGAAAATTGCATGATAGTGTTTACAGTGCCTTGGATTACCAAGCCAACGATGCGACTGAGCAAAGACCTCTTAACGTGAGTGGCACTCAGTTCATCATGCCTTCCCAGATCGATCCAACAGTACTGGCCGAGCTCCCCTCTGAAATAAGAACGAAGCTTGCTCCTAAACAAAAGAGTATCATGGACAGTATAACGCGATCAACGCGACCACAAACACCTCTAATAGATGGCAACTCAAGATCAACCTCGCCCTATCTTAGTGACAACGAAGCAACGCTACCACGGCCAAGTCAGATTGACCCAGAAGCGCTAGCTGCGCTTCCTCAGGACCTCAGGGACGAGATACTGGCCCAATACAAGGCCCAAGAAAACGGAGAGTCGACTTCACGAGCTATAGCATATTCCCCTCGAAAACCCAAAGCTCTCTCAACCTCAAAAAAGATTCCTGTAACTCCCACGAAGCGACAGAAAACTTCTAGTCTATTCGGTAAAGTGAAGCCAAAAAGGGTTGGCGATGTCTCCTCATCCACTCTCACTCAGTCCAACTTTATCTCTGCTCCAAGAGCAGCAGAGTGTCATCAAAGTTCAAACCAAGATGATGAAGAAATCTCTGAGTCTTTTCTGAACGAATTACCAGAAGACATTCGCCTCGAAATCCTGGAAGAACAGAAGAGAGGCAGGATGAAGGCAAAGTCTGGCCTTAATTTCGAGAGCGTTAGAAAAAAGACGAAGGTAACAATTGCAGTCGAGTCTGGCGTCGGAGGTCAGCAAAAATTGCAGCTAGCCCAACAACCAGATAAACCAACCTTCACTTCTCAAAAGCTGAGTGCTCTGCCAGAGTTGCGTGATGCAATATCTGCATGGGTCAGAGAGTTTTCTTCTGCTGGAGATGGCCCGGACCCGGAAGATGTCAATGCTTTGGCCGATTACCTCGTCAAAGTGGTCGGCATCGAGCGAGACATGGCCAAATCTGTTGCTGTCGTCAATTGGCTCGGGTTGATCATTGAATATGAAAATTTCACAGGCGAGGATGTTCGTGGTGCTTGGGAAAGGGCTCTTGCGATTTTGAAGCATCATGTCCAGATAGCGATTAAAGACAGAGGTCTGCCGGCGGTCGTCTTCGAATGGTGAAAGACGTCTATAATAAGCCATCACATGATAAAGAACTTCTACATCATTGCTCCTTCTCTTCACATTCAGGTAAGCGCAAAAGTGGCAAGCGTGGTACCGTCATCGTGATATCTCTGAGTAGGTACATACGTTCTTCTGAAACTTCAATCAGCATCCTTCTTGATCATCAACACGGGCTACCATTTTAGTTATCGCTGGCTTTATTGACTGAGAACATTTTACATGAGCATCACTATGCTGATAAAGGATATCGCTCAAGAACCTCAACGAAATTGACTCTTCTTCTCCTGCGAGAACCATGCCGTTCACTCTGGCGGCTAGTCGCAAGCGTCGTCAATCGTCAAAAGTCAACCCCCCAACGAACAGAGGCAATACAAGCTCTCGATCCTCCAAAATACCCCGGTTGAATCATCTTCTCTACGATGGAACAAGCTCAAGGTCAATAGAATCCACCAGCACCGGTCAGTCCAAGACCAGCGTCAAGACTCAGATCAGGAGAGGGGTTACAAACATCAAGACAATCCTGAAATTGGGAGACAAGCATAATGCTGCCACACTACAGCCTCAGGCTTGCTTCGCCTCTGCACATAGCTTGCCGACGAATTACATTCTCCAGAATAATTCCAGTGCCACAACCCTTTGCCGGCCATTGACGATCACATTGACTGGCATGAACCATGAAGACGGTACGACTACCGCACCCACTGTGAACAGTGCACGAACGAGCCCTGGACCTCGCGGGTTGCAAGATGTTGGTGTCGCAGTCGAAAAAGCTTCTGGTCGAGACGGTCGTTACATCCGTCGGAGCCAGTCTGTTCCAGGTTTGCATCGTGCCATTGCACACAAGTTTCATCAAGCCTTCAGTAACCCAACCGTTGTGAAAAGGGCCGATTTGCGGTCCCGTCCAAGTATTCAGACCTTTGCGCTAGATGCCGCAGAAACGAACAGTGTCCTACTGTCTTCGACAGCGTCTACTCTCAACAGTGGTTGGGGATCAACAGCCGAAAGAGCATCGTCAAGTCCGCTCACATCTATTCCTATCACACCTACTTCTATCATGGGTTATCAAGAGAGTTTGAACTCATTTGAAACCGATCGCCAGCCATACGCGTTGGAGACCCGGATCCTGACTCCTATCCCGGAAATCAAGGTATCGCCCAGCATCACTATCAGGACCGTCGAATCTGCTGCTGCGGCTAAAGCCTTTTTTGAAACGCATTTCAATTCCTTGCTCAAGGAGGCCTCTGGAAGATCACTTCGGCGACGTGAATTGGAGTTCAAACTCAAAGAACACCAGTTTCCCACCAACAGTCAGTATCGGGCCAAGAGAGCGTGGGAGCAGGCAGAGAGTGAGAATCTCAGACGGAGTCGAGTACTCAAGAACACCACCAACTCTGCCAAAGCCGCCCAAGGAATACATATTGGTGGCTTTGAAGTTATCAGTATTCTTGGGAAGGGAAGCTTCGGTGTTGTCCGTCTTATCAAAGGCAAGCCGGAGACGGAGGCAAGTGAGAATGACACCACGCAGATCCAAAGCCAAGGGGGGCGTAAGTCTTGTTGGGTTAGCGTACCGACGTCGTCTGCGCGCTGGCCTAACCCATTGCGTGAGAAGGGGAGGGAATTAGTCAGGGAGAATAAAGAAGTTTTCGCCATGAAAGTCATTCGAAAGTCCGACATGATTCGAAACGCTCAAGAGGGCCATCTCCGGGCGGAACGAGACTTCCTGGTTGCCGCCGAAGGGTCAAAATGGATTATTCCTTTGATCGCTGCCTTCCAAGATCCGAAGCATTTGTACCTTGTAATGGAGTTTTGCATCGGAGGCGACTTTTTGGGACTCCTCATTCGGAAAAATGTCCTCAGCGAAGACATCACGAGGTGGTATATCGCCGAGATGATCCTATGTGTCGAGGAAGCTCATCGGTTGAGATGGATTCACCGCGATGTGAAACCCGACAATTTCCTCGTTACCCATGACGGGCACTTGAAAATCTCCGACTTCGGTCTCGCATTCGACGGAGATTGGAGCCACGACCAAAAGTTCTACCAAAACAGCCGACACTCACTACTAGATCAATTGGGGATTTACATCGAAGGCGACGAGCAGGACAAGCAGGAAAGAGGTTTTGGGCCCTACCCATCCAGAGCTTCAAGATCGACCCAACAACCGCTGCCTATCAACGCTGAAACAGAGTCGAAGGATGAACCGGGTATGGGCGAGCCAATCCTCGACTGGCGTAATCGTGCTCAACGGCGACGTCTAGCACGTTCTGTGGTCGGTACATCTCAGTACATGGCCCCAGAAGTCATTCGGGGCGAATTGTACGATGGGCGATGTGACTAGTGGAGCATTGGAATCATCTTGTATGAGTGCCTTTTCGGCTTTACTCCGTTCGCCTGTGACGATCGCCATCAGACCAAGCTCAGGATCCTCCAGCACAGGAAAGAATTGTCGTTTCCTGAACGAGCACCTCCTTTTGCACCGAGTGCGGAAGCTGCGGACCTAATTTTGCAGCTTCTAGTTGAAAAGGAACGTCGACTTTGCAGTAAACAATATCAGATCAATGACTACACCAGGAGAATTATTGGAGGTAAGGTGGTCAAATTCGAAGCCGACAAAACGAGCCGAACCTACGACGGGTACTTTGTGTACGCAAATGACGCGGGAGAGATCAAACGCCATCCTTTTTTCCGTGACGTCGACTGGGCCACCGTTCACCTGCGACGGCCTCCCTATATCCCTCGCGTGAACCACTGGGAAGATACGAGATATTTCCAAGAAGATGAACCCGTTTCCGACATTGACTCCACGAGCACTTTTGCAGAAGGAAATGACGAGTTTATTCAAGCTCTTGACGAACATGCTGGGCTCACCCTGTTACCAACGGCGGCTCATCCGTCACCCAATGTCAGTCAACATCACCATGAAGACCAAAATATCGTGCCATCACTCGCCCTCAATATGCCTCAAAAGGATGGTGCTCGACTAATCCTAGGCCTTGCTCGGCCTGATAGTCTGGCCGATATGAAAAATCCATTGTTGGTGCCCCTCGAAACGACAATGGCGGGTCTCGACGAAAATAAATCACTCGGACGTGACAATACCTATCAGGTCGACGGCCCCAACGAGTACCTACGCGCAGGGTGCACGAAGCCGGACACGAGACAGAAGGACAGGCGACGACCACGGGACATTATCTTGCGAGACACAAGCACCGATCGTGAGGCGATGAGAATACGGAAGGCGTCGGCTTTCCTTGGCTATGACTATCGACAGCCTGCGATGGTCAAGGACATTGTTGACCAAGTGTTGTTGGAAGATCTTGAAATCGCAAAAGCCAAACCCGAATGGGACACTAGCGATGTCGAGGATCGTGATCTAGCCTTTGAGAAAGGACTCCTTGTTGGCGCAGCAGATCATATATCGCCAACCCAGAAATCAGTGACGATGTAGACCAGTCGCTCCAAGCATGAAACACTTTGGGGGGAATACCTGGTTCTACTATTCTTATTCTTGTATAGCAGGAAACAATCGCTAGTCTACAATTCTATGGATATGTGTTCAGCCTTCTTTCATATTTTCAACCCAATGGTTTTGTATATCTATGCCTTGACTTCCTGTTCGAATTCGGCACTGAATGGATAGTCGATGTAGCCCCTCTCGGATTTTGGATTGTAGAACAAGGCTCGGTCGTAAGGGTTGAGGTCTATGCCCTTTTGGATGCGGAAGGGCAAGTCCGGGGTGGAGATGAAGTATCGACCAAAGACGATGGCGACGTCCTTGTCCTTGTACTCTTCGTCGACGGCGCGCCTGGCGGAGTCGGGCCTGTAGCCGCCGGCGAGGAGGACGGGGCTCGTGTTGCCCCAGGCGTCGATGAGGAAGTCCAGCTTGTCGGTCGACTCGAGGTCCGCGTTGCCCGACACCCTCGACTCGACGAGGTGGAGGTAGGCCAGGTTCAGGGACTTCAGGTGCTCGACGACGTGGGTGAATTGGGGGACCGGGTCGTCCATCTTCATGCCCTGGAAACTCGACCAAGGGCTGAGGCGGATGCCGACCCGGTCGGCCCCCACGGCGTCGACGACGGCGCGGGCGACCTCCAGACCGAAGCGGGATCGGTTCTCGACGCTCCCGCCGTACTCGTCGGTGCGGGAGTTGCTGACGTCCTGCAGGAATTGGTCCACCAGGTACCCGTTGGCGGCGTGGATCTCGACCCCGTCGAACCCGGCCTCGTGGACGGCGTTGCGGGCGGCCGTGGCGTAGTCCCGAACCCACCCTTTGATCTCTTCCGGGGTGAGCTCATGGGGAACGGCGTGTTCCGAATCCAAGGCGTTGGGGGAAGACGAAACGATGGTGATCCCTTCGGATTCGGCGCACTGAGGATTCGCGCACCTCCCCAAAGCCCAGAGTTGCAGGTATATGTACGAGCCTCGGGCGTGGACAGCCTTGGTGACCCTCTTCCAAGCCTCGATTTGGGCCGGATCCCAGATCCCGGGGACGTTTGGGTAACCACCGGCCCGTCGGGAGATGAAGGTGGCCTCGCTGATCAAAAGGGTCCCCGGGACCGAAGCGCGCTGGGAGTAGTAAGTCTCGACGAACGGCAGAGGAACGTGGTCGTCGTCGGCTCGAAACCGAGTCAACGGTGCCATGACGAGTCGATTCTTGAGCGTCATGGTCCCGACCTTGAGTGGCTCAAAGAGTCGGGAAGGTGGAGGGGTGGCGAGGGAACCCATTGTTTTGATTGAGTGTGCTCCTTGGGGACCTGAAATGGTGTGACGGGGGGAGTTGTCAATCTAAAATATCCCCAAAAGAGATGAGTTTTGAAAAGCGTTGGGCGTCAAATATCGAGTGAGGCAAGAAAGAATGTCACGATTGTCCGTGCCGGTCAACTTCCGACGTACGGATGTGGGTGGTCTTGACGAGATGGAAAACCTAGGAAAATATGCACTCGGAGTGCTGTCGAGGGGAGAAAAAAATTGACAGTGATGGTGAGATGGCAAGGGTTTATGTACAGAGGCAGCGTCGAGAGGATCGATCGGGATAAGAAAGAGATATAAGTAGTGATGTAGTCGTAAGATACCAAAAAGAACGATAGGAAAAGATGGTACAAGATCCGATCTCGACCGCCGCATCAACCAGGGGGGACCACCATACCACGTTTGGTTCGACCTGGACTGGACTGTAAGTAGTAACAGTGGAGATTTCACGAGATTCTCCATTTTCTCACTGTTACCCTCGGTAGATGCAAAAGGAAAAGAAAATCCCAATTAATCAGCATCCAATGGGGTCGTCATGGTACAGGATGCTGATTGGTGGATCACCAGACCACATTGACGAGGCTGATGGATCTGCGGAGACATTTTCTCTCCTGCTGTCTTTCTGCTGCGTAATTATATCGTAGGTAAGTTCTCTACCCATCGCGTGGAGATTGCCCGGTCGATGACCATTAATGATTACCCCTGACAAATACGACGAGTACATGTTCGGTGAGGAACTGAATGTTTTGTCGTGTTCACCGACTCCTCGCTCGTACTCGTACCAAATGACACGAGATCCGTACAGTATCTGCATTTGTCAGGGCGGAGAACAGATCACGTCACTTCGGAATGGTTTCTCATGCAGGGGAAAAAGACAGGGGTAAACATCATCTTCGTTCGTATCTGTGGCATTGAATCGATCATGAAAAAAAACCTCAGGCTTGCCGTGTGCTTGCTGTCTCGGACGTCGCTGAAGGACCTTTGGCATTAACACAACCACAGACTCTCGCAGCCTCCGGATTGTACCTATCATCTCAAATCTCTTGTTCCACACCTTGCGCACGCATGCCGGTCCGTTGGTCGGGATGAGGCAGAGGAGGTCGAGTCCAACTCTCTCCAGGACGGTTGTCAATGTACAGGGAGAAAAATCGAGTGGTTTCTTCCGATCTCCAATTCTCGAATGCCGAACGCAACACGAGATCGTTGGGAATCTTTGTGTTATCACCATCTTCGAAGACGAATACCAATTCCGGTGCATCATTATAGCCGATGCTCTTCAGTATCGCGGCGATGCTCTGTATCGTCATTTTGTCCGGTGAGATCTCTGCAGGCGACATGCCGAAGGCAAAGGCAAATTTGACTCGAAGTAAGCAGCTTAGATTGGATGCGATCAAGACCCTCAGCTCTGGTACTGGCGTTGCAGGGTTCGCCTTGAAAGCAGGTGTCGTCGGACGCGGCTGGGGTGTTCGATCGGCACTCGATCGAGTCGAAATATCGGGATGAACCCAGTGATGGGGCCAAGTTGAGTTACAGTCAACATCCGTCCGCTGGTCGTCTTTGCTTTTTGTCACCCTGTCTTGATCAAGTGGATTTTCACCATCCTGTTCGGTATCGCTCTTCCTCTTTCTGGATCCCTCCCCGCGAGAGCTGGCGGCATAGTTTTTCTTGATCTCAACGTTGATCCAAAAGGCCAAGTCATCCGGAAGTCTGGTTTGGTAGTAGAGTTTTTCCTTCTCTTTTGCTTGGGGGCGGAGTCGGGAAAGCGTCAGATACTGTTGAAGGGCTTTGCATGTCTCTTTCAGAACCTCATGCTCGGGACCAGAAGCCTTTCCAAAGTCGATCGGTGCTTCACCTTCCAGGCCGCGTTCTTGCCTTGCCCTTGCAACCGTCTCTTCCACTAATACCATGAGCTCACTCCACTCATTCGCCTTGGGATTGAAAAGTGCAATGTCGAGATCTACTAGAGTCAGGTCTCGTGAGGATTGTTTCAGAAGGCCTTCGAAGTATAATTCAGGGTCTTCATCTCGTAATTGACGTTGCAAATCTGTGTAGTTCGACCTGGATCTTCGTCTGTTGGCCATGGCTGATATCAAGAGGGCAGAAAGAGTTCGCGAAGGGTATTGGGTTATTCAACAAGGCAAAAGGATTGCAAACATGGAGAATGATTTGATGATGATGATGATGATGAGGTGTTCTCCACCAGTCTGAAGGTACATGGTCTGTATGGTGTGCCTGGTGAGTGAGGCAGGTGTGAAGTGAAGGCGGTCAGAATTCTGCCATTACAAAATTCAAAGCGAAAATGAGAAATCGTGTCTATGAACCAGGTACGTTGTCGTTCAATTCATGATGTCTTCTTGATGTCCCTCATTGAGTGTTACTCTTGTGCAATGTAAGAGTCCTCTTCATTTCGATGCCATCGTCATCTTCAGTGTGATTTACAAAGTACTTGAACAGCTTCTCAGGCTCTTCCCGGACCTTTGCCTTTGTCACTGGACTGAGCACCGTTCCCAATACCACATCGTCCTCGATCAATATCGATGCACACCACCAGACGATCGTTTTGCAAGGAAGACCACAGGCTGGAATCCCATATTGCCGCCGCATCTCACAATACTTCCTCCATGCTTTGAAATGCATCAACCCAATGTCTCGATTGCCGGCACAATATTCAGACAAAGCCAGGAAAAGAAAAGCAACTACATCCTCATCGCTGGACTCCTTAGAGTTGGCCAAGGCTGATATCCTGGATCGGGTGGTTGCAAGAATACGGTTCTGTTGTGAAGCCATGTACTCTTTTTCTGAGTCGATTAAGCCTGCGTCGCGCCATGAGGATGAGTATTTGCGATGGTGGTAAGCACTGAATAGCAAGACCATGGTCTCGAAGCACCATTGGCTTGCCAGGGCGAATGGGATGAACAAATTAACCACTGGATCATACTTGTCCACGATCTCCTGATGTTGGTCAAAGCCAAGCATCACCCCTGCATTCGCTACAAAGTACCGAATGAGATCGCGATCCAAGGACATCAGTGGAAAAGGTGCGCGACCTACGGCGCTTGTGAGCTTCGCATACATGCTATTAGACGCCTCGTTGTCCGGGTGATGTGGCATGAGGCCTTCGCTTGCATCATTGGGTGGTGTCGCAATTTTAAGTCCTTCTATCAACGACAACTTGAACTCCGAGTCACTCTTCTGGCTTAGTCGGCGTCTTTTCGAGTCCGAATATGACTGCCCATCATCGTCCGACATGTCGGCAGCTTCGTTTGGCATCTCAAAAGGTCGAGACCACGACAGAGTTGGCTGCTGTTGTAGCTGCTCCGATGGACTATCAGCCGTTCTGGCGCTCGAGCTTCTCCTCGAAGAGCCGTCGTACGACTTGACACGCCTTGATTTTGGGCGCTTGTCACTCGTGATATGGCGGGGTGATATTGAACGAAGGCCTCTGGCCAGGGGTGCGCTTGTCACATTGTCCTTTTGGAAGTCAATGACAGCTGCATAATGCGACATTGGTTTTTTTGCTGTGTCTCTTGATTCGCCGGCTCGGCACGTTGCTGCATCTATACCATCTGGACTGGCTTCGCCGTTTTCCTCTTTTGGGCGCATCCATCTCAACGGCGAGAACTGGTTTCGAGATAGCCATTCCGACCGGGCTTCACGTTTCGACCGCACTCGATCCTTCATCAAATGGGCTCGTGCCACGTCGGTGACACCCCTCCGATTGATATCGTAGTCTACAAAGGTAAACGATCGAGCCCCGGGAGTTTCTTTGGTCATTTTTGGAGAACTGCCCTTTGTGTAGGCCTGTCTATCCGGGTGATCTTCCTCTTTTGACTTTCGACCTGGAGTATATAGAGCCTTTTCGATACCGAGGCTGCCCCACGCTCAGATGTTATTATTCAGGTCTGAGGCTATATTCGCTAGTATACCATGGAGCGACGGGTTGACGCTGGTCTGGGGGCCGCTCGACTCCTCTTCTCGTCGACGCCATTCATGGTCCCAGGATGGAAACGGCAACAAAAGACGCCCCTAAAAAGCGGACCAATAGCGGATACTCCTACCCGAGCCGAATACGACCTAAACTGTTTATTGAGAAGAAAAGATTTTTGCTGATTGGTCGAATGACCTCGCGTTGATGGCTATCTGAGCCACAGTCCTCGAATTGGGCTCCCTGATGCTCAAGCCTTCCTGCAGTCAACAGATAGCTCGTTGGTCAAAACACCCCTGGACCGCAGTTTCTGACCAGATGAAGGCTCCCGCTTACCTTTGAAATTCGCCGATCCACCTACCAACAACCCTGATTTCCTGCAATTCACCGCCTTGCCCCCAATCAGAGAAGTAAAAAAGCATCATGTCTGGGCGGTGACAGTTACGAGGCTTCCCTCGGGAATCGTGATTCACCATGGTACTAGACGTCAAGTCGGGCTCTTCATTAGCGATTCGACAGAGCCGGAGTCTGTGGGGTGTTTGTCATCCAGCTTCGTCCCATCGTTTCTTAGTCAGTGTGGCGGGTTACGTTTACAAGATCAAACGCTAATGCACAAGGTATCTACTCTCCTGATGATGCAGCTCGTGCTGTCAATACCCGGGAAGTGACAGCCCCCAATGGACAACTCAGCAACCAACCACTAGATCAAAGTCAGGAACGAGGAGCGGACGATGCTCGCTGATGCTCGGCTATAAGTTGAAGTAAAGCCGAGCAAGTCCAAGGTAAGATTACGAGTACTGGAGAAGGACCGAAACTTGCTTCAGGCTGTCAATCATGAGAGCAACTTGTCCTTTCGGACTTCTGCGTCGATGAACCATGTACTTTTGTCTCACTCGATCGACAACTCTTCTACTCGTACAGAGGAGCTTGTGCCGAGTGGCAGGGTCGAACGGCGGTGACCCCTGCTCCTCGGCCCCTCGTGGACTTTCTGGGCACTGTGATGCTTAGAATAAGATCTTGTCCTTTGGAAGCCTGATAGTCGGACTAATTCTCACTATGCATGTCGGCGTACAACGATGTGAGAATGAGGTTAAGCAACTCCGAGGAGCACTTTGCCCACCGGCGGCCTCGTTCTTAACATGTGACACTAACGAGATAAGTGCCGAAACTTGTCAGAATGCGATTGTCAGAATGGGATCTACACCAGGCTGATCTGAGGGCCCAGGACACCCCCAGCAGCTGCGGCCACGCCTGTCGCATGTTTTCAATGGAAAATAGGATGCGAGATTAGCGTTGATCGGCTCCAGGAACCCCTAGTCTTGCAGGAACCGCATGCGTCAGCAGATATAAGATTAGTGTGCCACGGCTTGCGGGGGTCCTAGCTCCCTATTTGACCAACTTTACTGTCACATTCGAGCGGCTGCTAAAGGATCCTATTAGGCTGATGATGCGGTTCCAGGACTCACACTATCGAGAAGGTCACCTTTCTCGCGGAACAAGGCCCTTTTAGGGAGGTGAGTCCTAGGTATCGGGTCGAGGAAGATACTTCTGGTTGAGCACTACTGACGTCCAAGTATCTGAGTAGTAAAAACTGGACAGGGAGAATACGAGCTGAAATTCTCCTCCTATTGGGCACCCGCAAGGCTGTGTATCAGAAACCGCCACACCAAAGGCGGAAATATCGGCCACACTCAACGAGCCAATCCAGACATTCCTTTTCTCTTCCGCATTCGACCAAAAGGAGCGACACTTGCTCTTGGCCTCACTTTGACATCTGCACTCTTACTAGAACGAAAACATCCGACAGCTACCGACGATGATGAACGAGATTGGTTCTCATTGTACCGTGCTGTCCATGAGGGGTGGTTCCATCTTGGGTTGATGCTAAATATGGTCGATCCGAATTTACCTAGGCAGTCATGCAGCAAATAGGAACGAAACGACTTTTTTTTGTTGTTCAGTGGATCCTGAGGGGGGGCGTGCCGTGAGGCCACAGCAAAGGCATCACCATCTGATGTCTTGCAGGCTTATCCCGAGGTTTCTGACTAGTGCAGGACCGGCGTACACGCACGTTTAACATTGGTCATTTGTTGTTGATACCTAAAACTCGTCGTCACTCGTTTGCTGACTGTGCAAAGCAAAACGCCGATTCTCTATGGCCGATTCAGATACCGACTTATATTTGGTCCTTTGGGTGTACAGTATTGCACGAGCTTGTTCAGTGACGAAGCCCCATTGAGCAGCCACACACAAGAGCCACTTTGGGGGGCAAGTAGTATTATTAAGTCTTGACAACTTGTAACCGTGTGTGTACGGGTGGCAAGGCCAACTACCAGAAGGAGGAAGGATGATCCTCAAACACTGGGGCAATTCAACACTTGTTATGGTTTTAGTCTTGGTACCTTGGGCAATGCCACATGTTAACAATCACTGCTTGGGAGTAGACGAGGGACGAATGTTCTTTTTTGACAAGATCCCGACTTTTCGTATGAGTATGAGTATGGAGCATCAGTCCCTTGCACTTCTTACCTTGTACGGATTATGAGGTACATTGATGGTGGATGCTATCACACGGATGCTGATGATGATGATGATGATGATGCTCTCGTACTTTGATGTAGGCCTCCATGCGGCCGCATATGCCGTGTTCAACGTCGTTCCCGTTGTTGTCTTGTACACAGAGTAAATGGATAGTGTGACCACTTATCCGTCTCTCATCTACCTTTGACCGACCATTGACCGTTGAGCCGGGGTGAAGTGAGTGAGTGGGTGGGTGGGTAGTTGGTACTACTCGTAAGCGGGGGCGCGCATGAAACTACCACTTACAGTACCACCGTGTCCCTGTATAGACCAAGGTCGACTTATGCAAAAGTCCCACAATTTTCTTTACTGTACAGTGGAAACTTCTATTGACAAGGTCATCTCTGACTTTTCATTTTAGTCTTTGGGCGAAGAGAATCTGAGGGACCCCTGTTTACAGTTTGAGTGGTTCCTTTGGGATCCAACTCTTTGACCACCTGGCGCAATTGGACATGACATATACGAGGTGAGCCACTCCGTCAGTATCTTGGGTGGGGAGTGAATAGATTCTCTACCTAGATAATTACCCAGGTAAATAACGGACACGTTTCACCTCTCTCATCACTTTCACCACCACCACGGTTCGTCTCTATGCTTGGCATGGAGTCGCACTATATATTATACCGTTACTCCGTATTATCAGCATTATTTGCATAAGCGAAGGCAGCTATCCAAGGCAGCAGAATGCCTCTCACGTCATTATTTTGAGTCGAGTTTCTATTTTCTATTCCGGGGAGGTATTTCTTTCTTTGGCAAGTTGGAACGATGAAAGATGAAGCCCATCATATGATGTACGTACTTGACACGAACGGAGACGGTGTAATAGGTCGAATCGAACGAGTATACACATACTCACCGAGGGAGGTAGTTATTTGTTGGGGGGCCAAGGAGGGCCAAGGGGGATTTTTCTTTTTTGTGGCTCGAGGGCTCTAGCATACCTGCTGCTATCGTTGGGTCGTGTGTTGCTTTGTTCGAATCAACAGATAGCTGGAGGGCAAGCTGATATTGTAACACGACAGGTGTGAAAGCCGAAGAAAGCCTGGGGCATCGGTCTGATTGTTCGAGATTCATGCAGGGAATCTCGACCGAACAGCTGCTCTGATCGATCAGGCGAGGTCGAGATAGCCATGTCGACAACGCCCTTCGGGACAACACTTGGTTCAAACATGGCCAAGTGCGACTGCACTGCAATCCCTCAGCAGGAGGCTCGTAACATGATATGCAACACCTACCTTCTGCTTGCGCCTTTGACACTCGGTACAAGATATTGGATTGCGCTTTGGTGATGGGGGATCTGCCATGGCGAGGATTTGGGACGACGAAAAACGCATTTCGGACGTACCGAGTGATGATGTTTAGGATGTGTCGAGAACTGCCAAGCCTACAGCTCGTGTTTGAAGCATCTACTGTAATCCGGGGATTTGGAGGAATCGAACTGGCGGCATGAAAAAAAGGAAGAAAGAAAAAAAAACCTACCACACAAAGTCTGATGTAGCGTGAAGCCGAGCTTGAGGCGCGAAAGCAAGTTTGGTGCGTTTGGAACAAACTGACGTGTTACTAATGATGTGATCAGTATCCTGTTGAAGAAGTAATTTATTACGCATCCTGGCAGAGATCCTGCCCGAAAAGAATTCGACCAACTTAGGACCAGACTTTTCCAGGTCATCGTAGAGATCAAAACGGTTCCGACCTTCTATGGTGAAAAGTTCTTTCGGCTCCCGTGCAGCATCCACGGCCGCTTCGCTGAAATGAAGCGTCCGTGCCTCGGTTCCAGCAATCATCAGGAGCGCTCGCGGTGAGATGGGATGTTGGAAGTTGAAGCTGTCGTAGCTCACTATCAAATCATAGCTCATCGGTGGCACCCTCTGATCTGAACGGTCGCGACGGCCCCGTTTCGAGCCATAATACGCCGCGGCATCTTTGAAGGACGAGTCTGCATCATCTGGAACTGACGATATATCAGTAGAGAACATGCGAGGTGCCTTGTTGTTGTCGTCGTCGTCGCCATCGGCCTCCTGCGTGCGCCATTGACCTGCGCTCTGCAAAGCTACAGCGATGGCCTCCGGGTCTCGCCCTGGTAGCCCGCATCGAACGTTGGGGCGTAGAAGCCGGCTTGTGATACAAGGAGGCGAGCATGATCGGCCGCTGTTTGCTCTTTGACGCCTGTCATTGGATGGCTGATGACCACCGCGGCTCCATCACGCTCTTCAGATGCCGTGGCCGGGCTGTAGAGCTCGCCCACAATATCAAGCATGAAGGGTGGAAAATGAACCTTTTTGGGAGCGGACATCTTGTCGCATAGCAAATTACAACAGTCAATTTCTGTAGTATGGTTCCCTATGCTCTGGTCTGATCTGGCTGGATTTATAGACTTCCTCGCCACTCAATAAATGCATGGCCAAGGCTTAGTGAAGATTGATAAGCGAGTCCGATATTTGGCGGGATGGGGGTTCTAACCTTGATCTTGATGTGAGATGCCACTTCAATCACACACACACTCTCTCTCTCTCACTCACTCACTCAAACTCACTCATGAATCAGACATGGTGGAGTCGACGGCAGCAGTAGATGAGTACGAAGGACAACGAGGACTACAAGGATCACCATTGCAAAGTCTCGCGCCGTCCTTCAACGATTATCCAATCCCCTGCCTACCAAGAGGCCCCCTCCGTACAGAGTACAATATCAAAGAGGCCCAAAGGCGCACAACATTGATGATCAGGCATGTGAATATTGCTTTCTTTCTCCCCCCGTCTATGTACGTGACCACACCCGTACTTCTGGCCTTCTACTCTTTCCATGTCGTGTTCAGAGGGCTCTCGCCCGGCCACATATCACAGTTTGTACACAAAACGCAATCACAACTTGTATCGGAAATGCACGTTTTGTTTATCCGTCAAATCGTCAAAACCTTCAAACAGCTCTTCCACCCTCTGGGCATGCAGACCTTTCTTATCTCGAGCTCGATTGTCGAACCAGCACCATGATGTGTAGATGACCTGGAAGAAGATCAGGGCGCAGTAAGTACCCAACAGGCCCTTGATGGCGGTGAAATACCGAGGAACCTCGTCAGGCAAAAATAAATGAGGCCCGATAATGTTTCCCCCACAGTAGAAGCAAAAGAAGAGACCGATGACCGTCGTCCGCTTGGTATGACCTGCCGTGTTGACACCTGGGAGAGTCCAGCCTAGAATGATGGGTGCGCCGAGGACGTTTTGGAGCCAACACATGGCCACCAGGGCGTAACGATGTTTGATGCTAATTGTCAACAGACCAATAAGTCCGGCGATTCCAGGAAGTGATGAAACTGCAAACGGAAAAAATTTGGTAAGTAAATCACACACTCATATCAAAGACAATGTGTGATAAGGAAGCTTACTGATCACACTGGCACCAAGCATGTTCTTTTTGGTTGCAACCCATCCGAAGAACATGCATCCAATAAGCTCGAATGCACCACCTGGCGTTTGGAGAAGACTTGTTCTCAAGGCGTCGAAACCGAATCCTTTGATCAAGGCAGATGCGAAGTTGGCGACACCACCGTTCAAAATACCGGTACAGACACCCATCAGCAAAAGAAGGTAGGTCTTTCCGTCCAGGAGTGCTTCCTTGATGTGATAGGGTACGAAGGTTTGGTGTTTGATACCCATCTGGTTCTTGGAAACTCTCCATACAGCCACCATGCGCTCATACTCGTTGAGCATTTTGGCATTGTGAGGGCCATCGGGAAGATAGAAGAGGATAACAAAGCCCCATGCGAACGTGAGGGCGCCGACAATCTGTGAAGTATCCATACAAAAAGTCAGCGTCTGTACAGAATGGACAAAACTCGAGGGATGATGGGTACTTGCCAGATAGATCAACTTCCAGTTGGGCACCGCAAGGCCATCGGCATTACCGGACCCGTAAGCAAGGAGCGCGCCCAGAATAGAAGAAACACCATTTGTTGACAACCAGAACGATGTTCGGAGTGCTTGCTCCTCTCTCGTCCATAGCATAGACGTGAGAATGACAAATGCAGGCGAGATGCAAGCCTCGAGCATGCCGAGGAAGAATCGGATGGCGAAGAAGCCGCTAAAGTTGAAGACCGCGGCTTGCAACATGCAAACTGCGCCCCAGATGAACAACATGTATCCCAGCAATTTGCCAATGGGGTAGCGCTGCAGGATGATGTTCCACGGATATGCACCAAGCAACCAACCAAAGTACAAGGCAGAAGCCACCCATGAATAATCGTCTCCCTTCATATGTGTGTCTGCTTGAAGACCGTATGCATTGGAATAGTTGAGTCTTCACAAAATGTCTGATCAGCATGGGCTTTTCTCTCATCACGGCTTCCATCAATCCAACTTACGTTTGCTTGTCCAAGAAACTCAACATGTACGTGCACATCATCTGGAGCCCCGTATGATTAGCGCGCCATTCTCCGTACAGGTCCGTCCCGGAAGCGGGCGCATACCATCGGAAGCACTATGAAATCCAACTTTCTCCGGACTTTGATCGAGTCGCGTTCCAGTTGCGCCTCATCATGCTCCAAGGCCTTCTGCAACATGTCCTTCCCCAAGACATTGAGGTCGTTTGTTGTGGTCCCTTTGACGAAGCCCATGACCTTGCTTATTTTCGTACTGGTGCCAGGTTCCGCGGCCGCGGGAGGCTCCGACACCTGAGCAGGCGTCTTCTCGATGTCACTCATCCTGGCCGGTTGTGCAAAAGATGTCTGCAGGAATTCTACTTGTGAAGGAGGCAGTTCATCAATTTCCAAACAAAGAGAATTCGATCCAAGGACCGAGGTCTGGGTCGTAGGCTATATAATCCAGCGCGGGGTCGTTAGCCGACCAGCAAGAGCACATCGTTATCTCATATGGCAACGAGAGTGGCCATCTCCTCATGTAAAATGTGGCAAGATAGAGCACTTGCATGAATGTCGACAGATGGCTGCTTCGTGATTAGCTGGGCCATGTTCGACGCGATCCATTCCTCCTTGGCCTTGCCAGGGTCGAACATCAATCAGGGTACTTGCACCTCAATTATGTACGTTCCGTGCTGATTTGGGATCGGACTTTGGCGGCAGTCCAAGGGCTTTTCTGTAGCGATGATCAGCATGCTATCAATGGCCGTCTAGTCCAAGCCGACGGGAGATGGCCGACCGGCGCAATGCGGCCTGATTCGTGCTTAGCCCAAGGTTGGGGTAAATGAGTGGGCCTCAAAGAAGCAGATCAGTGTTATCTTGTTCATGCTATCAGTGCCGCTTTGCGATTTTGATCAATAGTAGCCTTTGGCCTCATTGGAAGCCAAGAATAGTGGTATATCGCTGTTATTGCTTGATCATCGTGCCTCGGTGTTGTATAGAACGGTGTCTTGGCGGTTGCAATGCCCATAGGACAACGAGCACATCGTAATATCTACAACAGGTCTTAGACCCTGCGAACGCATGTTTTGCGCCTATGCATGACCTTAATCCTCAGGTGAAAGCGCTGTGGAAGAGGTTTCCTGCAGAATGTCCGCTTTGGTTTTCGTCTCGATCGTGCCAAACCTGCTGATGACAATGAATGATCCCAAGCTGATGGCCGGAGCGCCTGTAGCTCTTCAAGTGGTTGGTCCTCATTTGTGTAATCAGTAGCTACTCCAAGATCTGCAGGCTGCTCTCCCATTCTGAACCAGCGGATGGAAACTCCTGAACGCAAGTTAGACCCAGTAGGGGCAATCATAGAGAGAACAGCCTATTCAGGATACTAACCCTTGGGTGGATTTTTCAAATCGGAAGCAATTCATTAGGGTATTTGAGATTCAATGCCATCCAGTTCCAATCGATGCCAGCATCCCTGGCTACCCAAACCCTGTTGAAAACAAAGCTGCGTGTTCCAAGAGCTGTGACTGTCTTACGGCTTCTGCAGATGGAATCTAGAACCTGTGTAGCGCTGACCCTATCAGGATCAGAGCGCATCTCGCAAGCAGCAAGAAACACAGGCCACAGAGACATTTTCAGATCCTCTTCGCTATCTGCAATGTGAGACATCACTTCATAGGCCATGGTCAGGGCGGCTCGATCGGCTTCTGCTGAGCTACCTGGTGGACTGAATAACCGATAGAGGTATAGCAGGGAAGCATCGCGATAACTGTTTGCATGCATGAGAAATTTGCGAGAAGTCTGGAATGAGAGCGTAGGATCAACTGTAGGATGCCATAAGCTCAATTCATTTCGTAATTGCGAAGCGCGATCATGCAAATCGGGTTCAGTATGGTATGCCTTGGGAATGGGACCAACAGTATTGTCCTCGACGACAGTCTGCAGCCAAGACGCCCTGATATCTGCAGCAAGATCACTCAACCTGGCTAATATTGGCATAAGAGTGCCCGTATAACCCATGAAACGATCGGCGTGAATCTTGGCTTCATCGTCCAACCACCATGAAGTTGGGATCTTGGACTGATGCAATCGTGTCAACGACAAGAGCATGTCTTGTCGGGCCATTGCGCGGAGAAAATATTTAGCGAGCTGGTTGAGATCGTCTCTTTCACGCAGATGGTGGTGCAACATCATTGACAAATTGTCGAGAAGAACCGGTAGGTTACTGGTCTGCTGTTGGGCGCTGGAATCGACGAGCTAACAGACATCAGCAAAGCCATCAAGGTAGATGGTCAAGGAGCAATTCTCACCTCTACTGCACATAAGCCGAGCATGATGGACAACAAGAGCTCCATGCTTACTCCTTGTTTATCCATACTTCGCAGCCGTGCGAGGATCCTAGCCCTTCTGCTTGCAACAGGAAGTACCACGGGGAGGGCGCTATCTTTACAATAGGCTTCGCCGATAGCGGACAACGAATCGCCAACGGCCAGAGGGCTATCCTGTAACAGTTTCATGACACTCGAGTTCATCTCCTCGACGAATTCAGGGCCAAAAACCAGGTCCTTGGGATGACGCAAAAAATACATTTCGATGAACGTTTGGTCTGCAGGGTTGATGGTACCAGCCGGTATCGTAGGTACAGACCCGAATAAGCGAACATCTATCGACGGGGTACCGTTGGATGCGATCGGAGAATGCGGGCTTACTAAAGGCTCGCACGCAGAACTGTACGCTCTAGCATGTACTTCAGTGGCTGCGAAGGGTCGAGGTTCGTTTAGTGGGCGATCTGGTGAGGATGCATGATCTGTAAGCCGGTAGATGGAAGTGGTTGGTGTCGCAGGACTGCTAGGCCCGTTGACTGATCTTGATGATTTTATGGGTTGAATGTAACCACTGCATTGACGGCGTCGACGCCTGCAGGTCCCGCAAAACGGGTGAACTTCATCGCACTTGACCTTGGCCCTTTTACAGTCTATGCAACCGTTCCGAGACCGAGAAGACATATCAACTAGAGAATCAGATGGCCATGACGCTCGATGGCGACAGACATGGCAAACTCAGGCGCTGTCCGCATTCGGCTTCTATCCGGCACGGTCACGGGGTTTCCAGGTTTGCACGGAAGACTCGGGAAATGAAGAGGTTGAAAGAGAGTGTGGGTGTGATTAGAGGTGAAGAAGGAAATTACGAACGAATTGATGATCGAGCATAATTAATCCGCAGCAGTTGAAGTTACACTCTTGTAGCATGAAATATGCTGGTTAGAGCGGAGTGATGTGAGTTGGTGCGAAGTGGATGAATCGGTGTTCGACGAGGCCTCCAAGACACTGCTTAGTCATGCATTCTCCAGCCTTTGCCTTCATCGTTAGCGGCTCGATCCAGCTCATCATTACCCGAACTTATGATCCCAGGACTGACTTGATACATTCAGTTCCTCTGCCGCCCTTAATTCAGGCTGCTGAACACTACCAAATTCACAAGTCATTTCGGATCACGCAATGGCTGGGTTCTTCACGTGGTTGTGGGATTGGTTGCTATGGGTGTTTTGGGCCACCGAGATGGATGTGACGATCATTGGGCTCCAAAACGCCGGCAAGACGAGTCTGGTGAGAGTACTTGCGGTAGGTTGTCCTGTTCGAACCTCCTCTGCTGAACAGCTTACTTACAGTAGAGCCAGGGCAACGAGTTTACCGTCGACTCTCTACCGACTGTGGCTTTCAACAAGAAGGAGGTCAAAAAGGGTCATGTATCCATTAAATGCTGGGATCTCGGGGGCCAGCCTAGATTTCGATCGATGTGGGAGCGTTACTGTAGGGGAGTCAACGCCATCATCTTCGTGGTCGACGCTGCAGACAAAAATGCCATCCCCGTGGCCAAAGAGGAGCTGCACGACCTTCTCAGCAAACCAACACTGGAAGGGATCCCTTTACTCGTACTCGGCAACAAGTCAGATCTACCTAACAAATTATCCGTGGATGACTTGATCGACCAGCTGGATCTCAAATCCGTTGTACATCGTGAAATCAGTTGCTATGGGATCAGCGCCAAAGAGGAAACGAATCTCGAAGCCGTTCTCCAGTGGCTTGTAGCGCGATCTGGGAAGTGACAGGCCTTGGGAGAACGGATCGATCTTCTGTACACACGGTCGACAGCGACAACACTGTGCCAATCAAGGCAGATATCTCTTAGGATGATGAAAGAAGCATGGTGGCACTGGTCGGGGATTTCACGAATACGCATACGCAGATGGCAGGGGCCAGGTGTCGGCATCAGGAAGGATTAGGTACCGATCAAGCTGCGTGTTGGTTACGAATACTCGTGTTGCGTAAAGCTGACCGGAAGACACCCATACCGGGGTCCTTTACTTGGTGCGTACATATTGCATTACGCTGACCTTCAGACAATGATAACGTGATGATGACGAGCTGTGGCGAATGAGGGCGGGGAAGAGGAGAGGCTCTCTTCGTATTGGACTCGTTGTACCCGGAATATGCGACCCATCGGCCAAGAGCATCGCCTCGCCTCGCCTTGGTTAATGCATCAAAGACGCGGGGCCAAGCTGAAGGAGCGGGACATCGGCTCGACGATATTTGAATAGTTAGCGACAGTGTCGAGGAGTCGGCACTATTGATGTAGCAGGGAGTAATGGGGTAATGATTAACTAATCTCTTTAAGATACTCCGTATTTCGTTGGGTCTGTACTCGGACACTATCTAGAACGGCACAATAAAGTACTCCGTAGAAGAGAAGTCGTTATAATGCTGCAAAGGGTGAGTTGATCAGCAGGGGATCGCGGTGTACGGAGCAAATAGTGCCTACAGGAAGAGGCTAGCGAGGCGTTCTACCTATCTGCGTACCTGACCGCGCTTAAAGAGCTACCTAGAGAAGTCCCTAAACACATAGTGCGGTAGTTGACACTACAGGCGTTTGGTGCCCCAAGCGTGATGACAATTTAGTCAGGTAGATGGGCCCAATTAAAGGCTTGCGGCTGCTATAGGCTGTTGCTGCGCCACCAAGATGGTGATGCCATCGACAACAAGAACATGATGCCGCCTTAGACTTCCCGTATGCTGCGCCTTCCGAAGTCTTGTGCCCGCGCAGAGGTATTTTGCTGTGTTCGGTACCCATCTGACCACTTCGCAATTCTCTCATCCACCTCATAGCCATATTGATTTGTATAACATCCAACAATTTGGCACAAGAGACCCTACTCGTCTTCGCGCCGAGCACAACATTCTTAGCATCCGAGCCCACAAACGAATCACTTCTCCATCGTCATCTTTCCTCGCCCACTGACAACCTGCGCAGCCGCCATCTTTGACATCACTCTCTCACAGTCACAACCATGACTCTGGTCGCAAGGCAATATTACAATACGTGAGCATTCTCCACTTCGTCCTGTCCTTGCTTTATATATCCTTGTCACCCACCCTCGTTCGATGAGATGGCCACATCACAGTATTCATCCTCACTCAGCACACATTACTCATTTTCAATCCACCCACACACCGCTGACATATCTTGGAATGGCCAGGTGCTACAATTCTTTCGGTCAAGCCTATCGATGTCGCTCCGGCTGGTATAGTTGGGGGAGATGGGTCGCACTCGGCGTCATCCTGTTCGCTGCTCTATTCTTCTTCTTCCTATTATCGTGAGTACTCTCGATGCGCACCCTCCACCCGAGCGCTACATACTGACAGCCATACCAGATGCTTCAGCGCTCGCCGCAGACGCCGTCAGGGAAGACAGCCCTACTACGGAACCGGCTGGGCTGGCCAAACACCTTGGGGCCACGGTCCGGCGCAATACAATCCAAACTATCAAACACAGCAACAGCCACAATATAACCAAGGACCTCAAGCACCTCCGAACTACAATCAAACTGCAGGTGGATATTACGGTGAAAACCAAGGTTATTTCGGTGGGAGACAAACGGACGTTGAAATGCAACCACCTTCGAATACATACCGCGGAGGAGACAACGTCTACCAGCCTCCTCCGGGACCTCCACCAAATAATAAGACCTAGACGGTGATATCTGTACAGAGATCGGGAATAATGGTCAGTTTAGTTTGCGACGATTTCACGCGACGGCGCACACAGACATTGCTGGATAAGACAGGCACAAGGCTCATTTGGGAATGCGCCCGTGTGGCGCTGTCCCACAGAGTCGTGCGGATGAGTTAATTTGAATGGGAATGAGTGTGTACGAGTACGAGTTCATGTAGAAGATACGTGACTACGGAGTTGCTTCAGAGGCATGACGATCGGCCGGCGTGGAAGATTTGATGACCATTCAGGAGTCCTAGTAATATGAAGATTTGCAAAAATCACATACCTTGTGGAAGTTGGCACGATGAAAGTGATATCAGCATCTGATGATCTATCGGTAGAAATGGCGTCCATCAAGAGCGGGTTTGGGGATTGACTGCAGCCAGTGTTTCAGCCTCTGCGAAAGCCCACAAAACGCAGGTGTCGTGCGTCTGGGCAGGCAAGGATTGTGGCTCACTACAGTACACTCCCTAGAACCCTTGAGCGCGGCCTGGTTTAGCGTGCCCCGTGAGCCCCTGCTTCGCCTACTGAATTAATCGCTCTCCGCGTTCTTTTTCGTGAAATCGCCCGCTACGACGCAAGAAATCGCCCTCTGTACTCAGCCTCACTCGTTACACAATCCCTGGTGTCTCACAGAGTACAAAGTACTCCGTAGCGACTATTGTCCTCCACGCTCTTTTTGTTTCAAAGGCAAAGTCGGTCGTTCTGTGTTTCTTTTTGCAACCACCATTCTTCACTTCCAACCCCAGCCTTTTGCAAGGAAACGTCATTCGTTGGTGCACAGTCCGCCGGTCGGCCTTCACTTCAGGGACCATTTCCAACCACCTTCTGAGATACCCAGAACCGACTACCGGACCCTTATAGAAAGGCGCCTCGGTCGAGAGTATACAAAAGCAAACAGTAACGCGGTATCTATTGTCACTGCGCAGTTTACGACTTTGGAAGTACAGTAACCACAGACCTGCTTCTATCTCACTCCTTATTACTATGGCCTACTACCTACTCCCCCGTGACATCGTCAATGATGTCAAATCGGCGCCAGAGACATTCAGCAGCTGGGATAAATGCATGCAGAAGGCCTATTGCAAGTACGTGTCTGCTCGGCCTTTGGGCGAATAGTCTGCTAATTGGGCATGCAGATGGCCTGCTATAATAGGAATTATCGTCGGCTCACTCATTCTCCTCTCCCTTATCTGGTGCTTCGCCCGTTGTCTTTGCTGTGGTGCCGAACTCTGCGCATGTTGCTTTCGGTGCTGTCCTTGTGGTTCTGGTGGCCGACGGCGCGACAGGACCAAGTTTCAAGACGACTATTCTCGCATGCCTCCAACTCCTTATGGAGGGTACCAACCTGCTCCTGCACCTGCACCTATGGCATATGGTGCCAACCATATGACTCCACAATTTGCTACCTTCGATGAGCCGAGCAAGAGAATCAACGAGGACAGTCTTCCTCCCATGCCTAGCTGGGATACTGCCGTCAAAAGGAGGGTCGAGGATACTAGTGAACCTTTAAATCCCAACAAGGAAGGTGATTTGGAAATGGGAAGACTTGAGCCGCAACACTCTCGCATGAGAAGTGGTTACAATGCTGTACCCAATGGCCCAACATCACCTGTACCACCACAAACGCATGAAGAATATTTCGATAATACACATTCGTATCAGTCGGACCTAGGCGCTCAAAGGATGAACTCGAACACCTATAACAATTTCCAATCTGTGCCCTTGAGCCCGCCACCGACATATCGATCACATTCCGTTGCGCCATCTATGACATCTGACAGGTTCAGACCTGGTGTGGTCAGCCCGAGCCCAGCAGAACACAACCAGCCTTACCACCAGCCATATTCCTCCCCTCAACCCTCGTATAGTCCTAGTGGAGTGAACACCAGGTACGAACCACCAGCAGATTACTCTTCCAGCAGAATAAGCATGCCGAGCATGCCAGAGCCGCAAAATACACAGTCGCAATATCAAGCGCGACCGCCAAGCTTTCTACAGGTCGGACGGAAACCTGTTCATGGAAGTCTACGAGAGGTTTGAAGAAGTGATTGAGTATGACGCAAGTTCTCATTTCGAACGGCGGTGTTCGTTCCGTATACCTGCATTTCCGGCTTCGTTTCGACCCTCTTGAATGAGAGTTCTGTTTACATGAATGTTAACAACAAATATCGAATTTGGAACGACAGTATCACGACTTTTTGTACTACGATGCTTATACTATACAAGTGAGCAGTCATTGCTGCTAGAATGCTTCAGAATTTCAACTACGGAGCCACCGAAGGATGTTTCACTCGATCTTGATTGTCAATCTGGAACATCACAATTCGCCTTCAATGGCCAAGGGCAGGAGTCGGTGCAATGATGACTACTCCCGCTTATTGTATAATAATCTTCTGGAGGCTCGTGGTGGCAGAAATAACACCGAACCATTGCGATAGACAGGGTACTCTGAATCGAGGTTCCGAGAGTTTTGTGTCGTGGACCGGAAAGCTAGATTAGGAGCTGTAAAGCGAGTATACCTGTACGACTAATGAAATCCGTCACGAACCAAGATTTCCGTGATGTCTTGTTCTTTCTGCCAAAAGCTAAGCTATCTGAGTCACTGTCAGTCGTTTCAAGGTCTAGGTACCTAGATATGCAGACAGGTTGGTATTAATGAGTACGGAGGAGTAGTGAGGTAGGCCCCTACCTTGGGTAATCACTGCCGTCCGCAAGGCTGGAGGGTCCGAGGACGTCTCACGTGACGAGGCTGTCAAATCGAGCTGCGGCTGCAGGCCCCCAAGACGCGCATTGCATCTTCCATCATCAAAGCCATTGTCGGCCATCCATTGCTTCTCATCGTCCAACATCTGTCTTCCTTCAAACTGCTTCCTTTTTCCTTGCTTGTTCTTTTGTAACAACACGCCTTTCCTCCAATTGTGTTTTTAGCTTTTTTCGACCATTCCACCACTAGACTCCAGACTTCTGGCCCGTCGGCCTGTTGATCATGGACTCGCTCGTCGCCCAATACACTCAGTCTCCCTTTCGGAATGATGGCCTCGATGCGGAAGAACAACTTGACTACTCCGGCTCAACTCCCTCACTCTCGCTGAAATTTGCCTTACCTCCTGTTCCTCGACCTTCCGCATTCTTGCGTGCCACGACGGATGACTACGCCAACCCAAACTGCCCGATCAAGATTGCGCATGGTACAACTACATTAGCTTTCAGGTTCAAGGGCGGCATTATTGTCGCGACTGACTCACGAGCTACTGCTGGAAACTGGATTGCCTCGCAAACAGTAAAGAAGGTTATCGAGATCAACCCAATGTTGCTGGGAACCATGGCTGGAGGAGCTGCTGTAAGTTTCAGGTGAAGAGCGAAGCAATTGGAAACATACTCACACATCCCAGGACTGTCAATACTGGCTCGCCTATCTGGGAATTCAATGCCGTTTGCATGAACTTCGACACAAGAGACGAATTTCTGTGGCCGCAGCTTCCAAAATTCTGGCCAATCTGGTCTACTCTTACAAGGGCATGGGCTTGTCGATGGGTACGATGATTACTGGAGTCACTCCTCAGGAAGGACCTGCGCTCTATTACATTGATTCCGATGGAACACGGTTATCAGGCAACCTCTTCTGTGTCGGGTCCGGTCAGACATTCGCTTACGGTGTTTTGGACGCTCTCTACAAGTACGACCTGGAGGATGACGAGGCGTTGGAGTTGGGCAGAAGAAGTATCCTGGCAGCAACACATCGAGACGCATACTCTGGTGGTTACATCAACTTGTATCATGTGAAGGAAGATGGTTGGGTCAAGCACGGCTTCTCAGACACAAATCCCATCTTCTGGCAGACCAAGCTGGAGAAGGGAGAGTTCTCAAACGTTACTAGCGAGCTATCCTGAGACTTCGGGTTGGACTTTCAATAGGGCAAGCATTTCCTGGCTGGCGTTCTGAGTGATCAGGTGGACAATGTACGAACAGACTCGTTCAGTGTGTACTAGGGAGATTTCTCCGCCAGTGTCCTTTGACCACTGGCTAACAAAATGATATAATCGAACGCATTCTGAATTCTCCAGCATCTTCCGTGCTTGGCTTCATTCATGGCTTTTGCTGCGTACGGAATACAGTATCGTCTTACATCTCCAAATCACGTGATTGAGCAGTATCCTTTATTTTGTCTTCCTCAAGGCTCTGAGATTTCTCTAGAGAACAAGGGAGGATACGGTATTCATGCTCAGTTCAAGACGTACTCGACGTAGCTTCTCGAAGATGGCCATTCAAATCACGTCGCATACACTCGTACAGTTACGATTGACCACCCGGCGGACTAAGGGACCCTCTGAATTTGCCAAGATGAGTCAGAAAACTGCTTGCAGCTCGGGTCCTTCTGGATGGTTGTTTCGGCATTGCCAACCACTCTTCCTGAGACAGGGTAATTATGCTGGAATTAGGATGTGCATCATTCGTAACATCACAGTTCAAGGGATACTTGATGTATGAAACCTCTCAAATCTAGTCGCGATTCCTCCACTCCGTAAGCGTGCGAAGTGTGATCTTTTGTTGCTTTGCTCTCTCCGACCCTCGTCAAACCCCCGCCCGTTTATTACTTCGTCAGGAGCCTGTTCACTTCCGCCATACAGGTCTCCATGAAAGGCTCGAGGCCAGCCGCGATGGTCTTTCTGTTTTCCTCTGTGATATCTTCCGCGTCGACCGCCCACAGCACCTCCGTACTGTCCTTCCCCACCGGGCGCATTTTCATACTCCCGCGGGGTCCAGTCATTGGCCACGCCGGGTTCCGTTCCAGTCGGTAGCTGATGAAGTGGTTGTCCAGGTCCCAGACCTCGAGGATTTCGTCGGTCACAGCTCCATCACTCGAGCCGACCCTGCGGACGGCGCCGAGCGCGGGCGGCTGGGGCTTGTCCTCGAGGACATAGCAGCTCCTGACGGAGGCCGGCATCCAGAATTTGAGCGCCCCAAAGGCGGAGAGGGCCGACCACACCATCTCGAGGGGGGCTTCGATGGTGACTGTATGTTGGCAAACCTGGCGCAGTTCCCTACGGGTCTCATATCCGGGCGCGTGAGAAGACATTGCGGCGCGGTGTACCTATTTGAAACCGAGACCTTGGTTCTCAAGAGGCAAATTTGTAACTTCAGCGATTGACAGCTTCAACGGGAAAGACAGGGGCCGCCCTGGACCAGGAATGATCTCTATCAATAAACCGACTCCTTTCTCATACAATTCCGTGCTACAGATACAGTTCGTTCAGTTGGATCGTCGCCTTCGGAAATAGTCCTCACGGAAAAAGGCGCGCACACCCTTTTGGTTCGCAGGCTCCACGTTCCGCGCTCGATCCTTCTATATAAAATCATGGAGGTAAACACAAGTCGGTTTCCGAACTGGAGATAGAGTTGGCCGCCTTTGGGACAAAACTTGGTCTGCAACTTGACTTCTATTTCTAACCGGGGGCCTAGGGGTTTTCGCTGCTCAAAAGTTGCATCGATACGATTACAAGCCAGGAAATCATTTCGACCATCATCCCTCCTTCAAAGTGGAATAGACTGGAGCGATGGCTTCAACGATCGGTCTTTTAGAAAAGGGCTCTTTTTCAGGCAAGACCGCCATCGTCACGGGAGGTGCCGGGTCTTTTGGGAAGCTTCTGTGCTACGAGTTTGCCAGGGCCGGTGCCAACGTCGTCGTCAACGACCTCGGAGGCAGCGTCTCGGGCCTGGGCGCTTCGGCCGGCCCGGCGGAAGAGATCGCAGAGGCCATCCGAAAGGAGGGCTATTCGGCGGTCGCCGACACCCACAGCGTCATGGACGCGGAAAAGATCATCGACACCGCGCTGAAGGCGTTTGGACGGGTCGACATCCTGATCAACAACGCGGGAATCGCGACGTTCGGCGCCTATGAGACCCAAGACCCCGAGGCCCTCAGGAGGGTCCTGGAGGTCAACGCGGTCGGGCCGTTGCTCCTGTGCCGCTTTGCCCTGCCCCTCTTCAAGGCCCAGAACTACGGGAGGATCGTGAACATCTCGTCCGCCTCGATGCTGGGCATGGCCGGTCTGGGTGCCTATCCGGCCTCGAAGGCCGCCCTGGTCGGCCTCACCCGGTCTCTCGCGCTGGAGGTCCAAGACCAGAACATCCGGGTCAACGCGGTGGGCCCGGTCGCCGTCTCGAGGATGGCGCAGGACTACCAGGCCGACCCTGACCGCGACGAGAGACTCGAGGCACAGGCACAGTGGCCGCCCGAGAGCAACCTTGCCCCCATCCTCGCCCTGGCCTCGGAGCCGCACGACTTCAACGGGCAGTTCTTCAACACGGCCAACTACCAGACCTGCAGGGTCGTCGTCGGCGCGAAGCCGGCCATGCGGATAGACTCGGTCAAGGGGTTCTTGGACGCGAAGGAACAACTGATGGGTCAGACCGTGCCGACCAAGGACTTTGATTCTGGCGGGGCCCTGTTGGCGTGGTCACGACCTCAGTAGGTGGGTACCTTGGTGTAGTACAGAACTAGTCTTGCCATGCCATATGGCATACCGTGTACAAGCGGGGAAGTAAGGAAGGAAAAGAGGCATTCATAAAAAACACAACCGCGCGAGTTAACATCCTTTGGGGTCATTGATCATGGAGAACTCATCTATCTGGTCAGGTATCAAAAGGGGAAGAGGAAAAGATTGAAGGCGAGGGACACCACGAATAAATTGTGCAATTTGTGCACCGCTGAGATGGTTCATAGTAAAAAAAAAGCCCCCTCTTGTACTGTAACACGGCGCCGAGGGATGCATCTTTTGTTAACAGCCCGCCAGGTGTCGGCTTTTCCCTCTCGAGACCGTAACAGTAGTCTTTTATGTAGCTGCATGGGAGTCGCCGACCCGAGCTTTCCGTTCGCGGGGTTTGAAGCCTAATATATGCGGCAATAGAAGTTTCTATATTTCCTCGGGATTTCCCTGATACAAGGCTAGGCAAAGGCACTTTTCCGTGGAAATTCGTCAGGGCTTCCTACAATGGCGAACAGAAGTCCTGTCCGGCTTTTCCACAATCTAAATCCCCGACCAGCTCGCTAAAGGGGAAACTCCACTCGAAGCATCAAGGGACAAACAGCAAAAACCTTCTTCGACGGAGCGCCTGTTTGGACTGCTTGATGGAGGGGGCTTGTAAGAAGACTCAATGGACACGAGCTAAAGCTGCTAATCATTTAACACCCTAGAGTCGAGATCACCTCACAATGTGTGGTGAGAGTATCGCCAGGACAAATGTCGAACAAGACTCGGGAATCAGAATGGGGAATCAAACAACGTAGCCATCATTCCCGCTTTTTCGAGCATAACGAGCAGGCTTTCACTATTAATCATTCGACATTCTCTCCCCCTCTTGGCACTCGTCTGGTGCTGACAGCAAATTTACAATCTTCCTTTGCTTGTGTGTCCTAAGGGGAGACTAATCGAAGTGGCTGAAGATGGTCCTCTCGGCTTCCGCCAACTCTCTCAGTATCGTCGATTTCCGCTTCTCCGACCTCACCTGGATGCTGCACTCGAATTTCTGGGGCACCACCACGGCCCCGTCCGTGTACCCCGACACGAGGTCGTAGTCCGGAATAAGCAAACCGCCGGAAGCATCCTCGGCCGGGCCAACGTCGAATCCCCACAGCAGTTTGGCAAAGGTGACGAACAACGACCGCTCGGCGAGATGAATGCCCGGGCACAGTCGACGGCCGAACCCGTATCCGTAGTGGTCCCTGAGCTCGTAGTCGGCCACGTTTGCGTATTCAGACGCCAGTCCGGGTTTTCCGATGTAGTTGTTTGGGTCAAAGTCATGGGCATTGGCGAATTTGGCGTCGTCATAGTGAAGCCCGGCAAGGTTGACCACGATGGTGGTGTCCTTGGGCAAGGTATACCCGTCGACCTGCACGGCTGGATTTTACACGTCAGCATCAGTAGGGCCAGGCTCTCGCCGCTAAAGCACAAGCGTCGGCGTCGACGGATGCATTCGTACCTTCTGTGAGACGGTGTGGAAAGGCAATGGGAACCACGGGACGGAACCGTTGGACTTCCTTCATCAACTGGTTGACGATTGGTAACTTTGGAAAGTCGTCCCAGGTTGGTGTCCGGTCTTCACCGACAACGGCATCGATCTGTTCCTGAACTTGTCGAAGCAGTTCGGGGCGCGAGGTCAGCATCTGGACAAGGATGATCCACACGTTGGCGGTGGTCTCGGTTCCCGCGTCCAGCACGACGCCGGTCATGTAGAGCATTTCGTGCCAGGAGAACCCAAGTTTGTCTTGTTGGTCGACGATCTGGTCCGCAAATGTTTCTTTTGGTCCCCGCTTCCTTCTGCGCTCCATCACCAATTCCATCAGGTGGCCATAGAGAGCATCACTTGCTTTCTGCATTTCAAGGCACCTTGATTTCCAGTGGTCGAGGAATCTTTCGGGAACATAATGGAGGAAGCCGAAGATGTCTACGGGAGGCAACGCTCCTGGCATGACCAATTCGGTCATATGTTCGCCTATGTGGTTAATCTGCTTAAAGTGTGGTGTTTGAATGTCTGGTGTCCGAATGCCATAGGCTAAGATATGTGAGCATGGACGAATTGCCCCTGGCTGCACCGTTCACTGGTATGTCAGGTACTTACTGGCGCTCATGATGAAACTATTTGCGTATCGCTTCGCGTGTAGCATGAAATTCGCCGGGTCGACCAAAAGGTCTCGCATCAGCTGCGTGGCTTCTGCGTTGATAAATGGAAGGTGCTTCTTCTCGACCATCGATTCCATAAAAAACTGATGGAAGAGTTTTCGACCGGCCCGGAAACGCGGATCATTGGAATTCATCAACAACAAGAAGTCGCCCTTGTACACCAACTTGTCGACTGCGTAGGCAACTGGTCTGGAACTGCTCAAAGAGCTTTGCTTATCCATGATTTCTTTGACCAAGCGCCTCTTGGAGATCACCACGGTGGTCCCGGAAGCGACCTTCAACGAATATATGTCTCCGTACTGTTTCGCCCATTTCGAGAACTGGATGTAGGTTTTTTTGAGGGGAATTTGGTGAATATTCCCAATGACTGGCAATGTTGGAGGGCCTAATTACACTCAGCGATGGTGATGTCGCTGCCAATACCCCAAAAGCTGACTCACCGGGCGGCAATGTCTTTGCCCGCCTCCCTGGGATAGTCAAGATGTAAACCAACCCCAAAGCCCCTGCGAGCAAGGCTAGAACAGCAGCTGAAGTGAGCATAGCTGCAGATAAAGACTTGGGATTATGACCCTCTCTCACTTGGGCTGGTCCTTTTTTTCAGCAGAGTGAGAAGTATATCTCTGAGATAACATCTTTCAACATCGTAGATATTCCCAAGCACAATTCTTAGGGGAGCATATGCCAAGGTACATATTTCCGTTCGTGCGACATTTCCGAGTGTGGAGGTGGAAATAGACAAATCCTGGAGAATAGTGAAACCTATCATCTTGATCAGGTCCACTGCCTCCAAATTTGGGCAGCCACCCTTCGAGGTGGCGGCGAGGATAATCCCTAAACCCCACGGGCAACATATTCGAGGTCGCCCTCGCCACCTAGACGGCAGAGATGAAGTCCTCCCTACTCACGGTCGCCATCAAGAATCCCGCCTCGGCTTTGAGGATCGCCAGATCGAAGTCCGCCATGGAGCAGGAGGAGAAGTCCAAGCTACAGTTGTCGAAGCAGTTACACGCAAGTCAAGATATAACAAACGAGCGACAACTTAGTCTTAGAAGATATTGTTATCGGATGGACATACTGTACAGTAGATATAACAACGTTCCCTCTAAAGGACTCCCTCTAAACGACCCATAGCGGCAAGGCTTGGGAGAGTTGCACGTGATTCCCGAGCAGTTCTTAGTCATCTTTTGACGCCAAGCCCCAGCCCATTTCGCGTCTCCTCCGGCGCAGTCGCGGTTCAAGATCGCCCGCAAACTGCTCCGTACTCGAAAGGACAGCATCAACACTCTTTATCTCGATTCACTGCTGGGTCTCGCTGTCGCATATATATCAAAATGAATATGCTCAAAGATCCAGCGGCAGGCGTGCCTCCACAACTGGTAAGGCTATGATTTCCAAGATCGATTGGACATACTGACTGAAATGAATTAGCTGCCTCATCTCCATTTACTTTCAAAGAATCGATACCCCGTCGCAAGCAACCCTTCCCTCGAAACCATTGTTGGGTACCTTTTGGAGGCCCCAAAGGTGGTGCGCGAAATTCAGCCGGTACAATGGCAGATGATCGAAACTCCTCAAGATGGTACCTTGATGCTCACATGGCAGCCGAATGAAGCGTTGGAGACGACGTTCGCAAGTGATGGATACATCTGGGCGGATGCAGAACACAGATTCACTTCTGAAGTCCGGGGTTATGTGAGTGACGGCGATCCGGTTTGACAATCGTAACTAACACCGAGAAAGACGCTCGAGATTTTTGTGCAGAGATCGGGTTATCGAGCATCCGGCGAAGCAATGGCATCTCACAGCAGAAAGCGTTATCGACTTGTCGCGGGACCTGCCAACCATGGAAACATCGACCCCAGTCTGTGGCTTACGCACTATTCCAAGGCTTCGTCTCGAGATCATATTCCTGCAGCGTCCATCCCCATCACCCCATTCGTCCAGGCGCAGATTCAACAGAGACGATTGATTCAAAGCCAAGGACAACTACCCCGTAAAGAGTTCATGTTGCACGATCGTTCAAATTGGCCCATCATTCAAATGCCGACAGCAATGGGACGAGGTGGCGTGCCGGGCCAAGCCAGGAGACCTGGGAGTGTTGGAGGAGAAGCCACGTTGGAAGAGGAAGAAGATGTTTCCCGAGGGGATTTGCTTGACTTTATGACTCCGAGGGACATCAGCCGATATCGTTACGAACAACATCATGAGTGGATGGAGGAAATTTTGGAGTCTCCGTACCCTACTCTGGCCATTGTGCCCAGCGATTTAGGACTTGGGCGAAAGGGAGCTCTGGAAGAATTGACAAAAGACTTTTTCGATGCTCCTTTGTCTGCAGCTCATGAGCCAAACGCCGGGCCACCTGCACGAGTTGGTAAATTGCCAGCAGGTCAAGTGGAAGAATTCACCAACCGAGCGACCAAGAAACTGGCCGAGATGCAAGAGGAGCTTGAGAAGATGAAGAAGCGACACGCGCGAAGGATGGCCAGACTACAGCAGTCGATGGCTCTCGCAACTGCTGAAAAGAAATTACGGACCGTGCCTGACGTGCCAGAACGGCGAAGTTCTACCAACAGCAAAGCCGACGGACCGGAAGAGACGCCTCGTGGTGCAATTGAAGAAATTGTACATTCTGTCGAAGAAGGAACCGGGATGAAGGTTGCACGGACCAGTGTTGTTACCGTTGTGTCTAAAGGCGGTCTCACAGAGATCTCCAGGCCGGCACCTAGCACATCGTCTGCAGCGCAAGCCACCAGCCCAGAGAAGGCTGCCGCTCCGCCTACAGAGATGACAGATGCACCACAGACACAGCAGCAGCAACAGCAACCGGATCAAGTTCAAGGAGCAAAAGTTGACGCCAACGATACGCCTATCTCGGAGCCACCGCAACAGGATGTCTCCGAATCCAGTGCACCTTCTGAAGCTCGACCTCCGTTCGCCCAACAAGAGCCCGAGAAACAAGAGGACGCGAAGTCTGAAACGGTCGGTGGTGATGTGGGGGCGGATGACTTGGAAATGGATGTTCCCATGGGAGGTCTTGATAGTGCTGAGGGCAATGGAAGTGGAAATGAAAACCAAGACAGCAGTGAATGGGTCATGGTTGATCAAGAAGGTAGTGGCGGTGGTGATTCCGGTGGTGCCGAGGTGCCTGAGACTACGGATGAGGCACCCACTCAACAGGAACAGACTACTACGGACAATACCACGAAGCCGGCTGAACAGACAACTACTGTTCCACCTCCAGAACTTCCTGTACAGTCTGCCCAGAACAGTGGGCTAAGCACTCCTGGACTCAACACTCCTGATTTCGACATGGGTGGAGATTTTGACAATGTCGAAGTGGACACGGCTGGGGATGCACTTGCAAGTTATGACAACGACGGGGATGATTTGAATTTGGACAATATGGAGGATTCGGCGTTTGGGGATGCATTTCATCCTCCGGAAGATGAGGATATGTCTTGAGCATGTATACATAGGTACGGAGCAAGTGTCTCGGTAGATTAACCTCGAGGTCAGGTAAGGTGGGCAATTTGCTTTTTGGAGCCGGGTGGTTGAGGTTTGCTACTTGATCTGCCTCAGGTAGTATGGAGTATGAATTTTACGCAATGGTTCTCAGATCTCGATAACCTACTCCGTACCAAGGGGGGTTTGCTTTGCGTTGCATTGTCTAGCGAAGCAAAGCAGTATGGTAGGAATTGGTGTGAAAAGCAGGTAGACAGAATGCTGAGGTTCCAAAGGGCCACGTTGTAACAAACTTTTTCGAGAGGTCCATGATAAAATTGTAGCTACAACAGGTATAAATAAATACCTGACACATAGAGTTGATGGTGGTGTTTTTGTATCGGTGTGTCTATTGAAAATATATTTGATTGTTCCGTTTTGATATTATACATACATGGACTACTCGTATATATATATATACATACCTACATACAGATAGATAGATAGATATTAGATGTTGGTTACAGTAACTCTGATCCACTGATTTTCATCAAATCCACCCACGTGCTCGAGATCTCAACGCATCCTCTACGTACCTGGTTTTTGATTGGACGACCGTGGCTCGCCCTCTCGCTCCTTAGGTTACTCTTGTAAAGCGACCAACCAATTGTCAATACCGCACGACTGAGTTACTCGTACTCCGTCAAGATGTTGAGACAAGGTTTTTTCTTTCTTTTTTTTTGTTCGCTCCCCTTACAGTGCAAGACTGAGTCCGAAATTCTAGGCGAGAAGAGACCATACTTGTGCGGATAAGATTTCCGTTGTCTACGACGACCGGATACCACCAATTCTCTTCTCGTTCTTCTTGTCGAAAATGACGAATTGATTGGACAAAGGCATTTGTCCATACACGACGAGAGATAACCACCGAATACAAAAACAAATCATCATGTCGTTACGGACTTTGGAACCGAGTAGTCTTTATGGATTGGTTGATATGGGAAGGTACGTTTCTTCTTCTTTTTTTCTTTTTTTCTTCTTTTTTTTAAATTGTCCGGGAATTCTTTTCCTTTTGATTTACATTCTCGGTCTGTACACATGCAATGACTTTGACTACAATCTCAATCACTCACTCACTCTTTGTACTTATTTGTGTAGTAACGGTATACGTTTCTCCATCACCAATCTAGATTCCTCGACAGCTCGATGTCTACCTACCATCTACACTGATCGTGAAGGTATATCACTCTACGACGCACAATATTCGAGGGGAGGTTCCAAAGGTCCGATCCCTCCGGAAGTGATCGACGACGTGGTTCGGTCGTTACTTAAATTCAAAACCGTCTGTGCCGATTTTGCCGTACCCGAAACGAACATTCGTATCCTCGCTACAGAGGCGACTAGGAACGCCGTCAACAGTGAGGATTTCCGACGACAGATCAAAGATGCCACGGGTTGGGAGGTGGACATGTTGCCCAAGGAGGCCGAAGGAAAAATAGGAGCGATGGGTGTGGCTAGTAGTTTTAGTGAGGTCGAAGGGTTGGTGATGGATTTGGGTGGTGAGTTTACCTGTTATCGCTCCTCGCTGATGCAATTCGTCCTTTGACGATCCTCTCATTTTGACAAAGTTAAACAGGAGGAAGTACACAAATAACGTGGATGGTCTCTCGAAACGGTACCGTCGAGACAAGTCCCCAGGGCAGTATAAGTTTCCCGTACGGTGCCGCTGCCATGACACGACTACTCTCCGAAATCTCACAATCCAAACAAAACACGAGCGGTTCAACGTCACCCCTGAACCTATCTCTGAACAGCCTAAACCTGTTCAAATTCAAATCATCTCCTACTTCGTCCGCCTCCGCCTCCGAACCATCACTTCCGAACTCAAAAGAAGATCTTGAACAAACAATGATATCCCAATTTCGACAAGCTTACGCAGATCTGTACGCCGACATGCCCGAAACGCTCCGTTACAAGGCCAAGCACGGCGGCCTGACACTGTACCTATCCGGTGGCGGGTTCCGAGGATGGGGCTACTTACTCATGAGCCAACATAAAGTCAGTCCATATCCTATCCCGATCATCAATGGCTTCAGTGTAAGAAAGCGGGAATTCCAACAAACCCGGGAGATCAGTGTCGTCGCAGCGGAAGAGAGTGTGTTTCGGATAAGTAAGCGACGAGCGGCACAGGTTCCGGCCGTTGCTCTTTTGGTGAATGTGCTTGTCGAGGCAGTACCGGTGGTTTCGAATGTGAGGTTCTGCCAAGGTGGTGTGAGGGAAGGGTTCCTATTTGATACGCTGAGTCGGGATATTCGGGCCCAGGATCCTCTTGTAGCTGCAACACAGCAGTTCGCAGGTCCAAACGCAGAGGAGATTGGAGACATGCTCTTCAACGCCATACCGGGGGAGAATAACCTGGACAGAGAAGTCCCAAGGACAATTGGACGTGCATTGGCCCGGGCAGTTGCGGATCTGATGTTTCTAGGGACTATCATCGGGAACAAGGAGTCCAGAGGCATGGGTGCACTGTGTTTACCTATCACGGGTGTGCTGTCTGGCGCTCATGGCTTGAGTCATAGTCAGAGAGCTGTTCTGTCTCTGGCTCTATGCGCGAGATGGGGAGGAGATTTACCGCCTCCGTATGATGATCTGGAGAGACGGTTGAAGGGGTTATTGAAGAATCAAGAGATTTGGTGGGCGACGTATCTAGGACGAGTCGCAGCTTTGGTCGGGAGTCTATATCCTGCTGGACGGATTGGTGCGAAAAGAAGGTTGAAACTGAAGGCGTATTGGGCTGACGGGTTGGGTAAGAAGGGCCTGGCTCAAGGGGTGGTACTGGAAGTCAAGTGTCTGAAAGACGATGTCTTGACAGAGCCAGCGATTCTGAATCCTATGATTGACGAGATTGAAAAGTTGGGAAAGAAGAAGAACAAGGCTGGTGGGGAGCATGGGTTTGGTGTTCCTGTTGATATCAGGGTTGAGAGGGTGTTGTCGGTGACTTCAGTTTAGTCAATAATGGTAATGAATGAAATGGGAAGGGAGGAAAGATATAAAGATGGCTGCTGCTGATGCCGCTCAGAACGATTGAACCCTCTGAATTCTTTTTCTTCTTCTTCCATGTCTCACATTGTTTCAAGGCGCAGGTCTCATGATCATATCAACCACACACACACACACACACAACACACCCACACAAGTATATTGTATTCTAGATATAGGCTGCGAATTGCGTCAGATTGGGCAAGATATATGGAGGCTGAAACATGACCGAACCAACTGTGCGTCGGTTCGCACCACCCAGGATAGCCTCATGACACGATAATTGTATAGGAACTAGCGGCTCTGGACCTGGATCAGCAACTACAACCACATCTCCTAACCGGTGAACTACTCTTGCCATGGATGGATGACCCGGCAGCGATGATACGCTCCTCAGATCCGAGCGGTCCAATGAGACTCTCGGGACAAGTGGCCATAGTCGTACCTGGCATGGCCACAGTTGTTGTGTGGGATGTATGTCTGGAGGACAAGCAACAGAAGGCACATGAGCAGATTCGACCCGCTGGTCGAAAAGAGCATCATGCGACTCCTCGACCTGGCGGAATTATTGAATACACCGGAGTTGATAAGCGACCTCATAGCCTATGTTCAAAACAAGGAGGAAAGTCGCAATGGCCTCGACAAGTGTCTCTCATCGGAGCAAATGTCAGACTTCGCGTGGGGCAGGGGTTGTCCCGTCGAGTTCCAAGACCTGTGCGATCATTGGCGATGTCATCGTCTTTCAAGGAATCGAGGAGAAGACTCTCATTGTCAGAAAGCCGACCGTCGACGTCTTCAAATTGGAACATTGGACGAGCGGTTGCACTTCCCAGAGTAATCGTGGAAAGAAGCGGCGTAGAGAGTTGAAGAATGCTTTGAAGGTAAAGGGGATTGGTCAGAGTCTGGTGGAGTGGGTTGAGGCTGAGAAGTGCGAACCGTCGTTGGTCGAGGTTACTTGTAAACACTTTTTCGGACCCTGAAGCGGGAAGGTGGGTTCGGAGAAGGGTTTCTTGCGTAAAGTAATTAATTCATATTGTTTGCAGCTTCACTACAGTAACATTTTCAATAGATACAAAGTATCACGTTCCAATTCGATTCAGTCCGGTCCAGTCCAGTTCAGTCGACGCGTTCAAGGGGTTCAGCACACATCTTGGGAAAGAACTTCTCATTTCTAGGACAGCCACATATTGTTTTTTTCTCTCTTTTACTTTTGCCACACGCCTAATTTCCTTATCACGCGTTCGTTGGTGCTTCTCTCCTCTTCAAAGTTCTCGCTTCGACGAATATGTGTGCCGAATACGAATTCATGTAACAACCTAGGACACAATCCCAGCCACGGCCGCGCACCACAAATTTTGTTCTTCGTGGCGGTGAGGCGCCGTTAGACGAATACGAGGTGTATCCTCCTTTATTTACTCCGTACTCCGTGAGAGTATACGTGAATTCAGGGTTCGATTTAGTACGGGATGTTGGTGATCATTGCTTCCGAACTGACTTCCTATTACGGTTAGATTCCTTTTTCTTTGGTTCCGTATAGTGGAGTGTTTTTTTCTTCTGGTTTTTGCCGGCCACGTTTCAAAGATCAACATCCGTTTTGTATTCTGTATTTTACAAGATAGTAATGGTAGTAAGAAATGTCCATTTACTGACAAGTTGCAGTACTGGTACAGATATGTGGCGGTAAGTGTGTATGTCTCCGTGCCTGAGTTATGTATGGTTTTTCCCCCCCTGACTGGCCCGGTAAACCAAAAGAAGCAATCGGTTCGGCTTATCATCCAACATTCCAACCGACAGTACGGAATAAAAGATTCAAACGTGATACCGACAAACGAAGAAAAATACTCGGTATCGTCACCGCTAGCAAGACCAAGTACGAGTACAGTATTATCAGTGAACAATAATGAGGCGCTGACAATGATTGAGTTCTAGGGTCTACACTCCGTCAAAGGTGAGGAATTCTTGCTTTAAGCAACGCCACAGAGGTCTCAGAAAACCCCCTTGTTTTACGTCTTTTTTGCTGTACAGAACACAGTCACCTATCCTGTTCTGTACGTTACTATGCATTACCGATAAAATGTATGTACTCCGTACTCCGTACTCCGTCCGGGAGATGTCAAGGTCAGGAAAGACGGAACGATAGCAAAGCTTTTGCCTCTTTCGGAAACTTCCGCATTCCTCTCGCCGACCAAACTACTGTACAGTACGCGAGTTGTTATTCCCCGGTCCACTACCTTGACCAAAAGACTTGGTGTACGGAGTACATTTCCAGATGATCCTACAATAGTGGACTCGTAAGGTCTGTCTCTCGATACAAGTCTCTTACACAGGAGGGGGACTTTTCATCGAGCGAACAGAGAGAAAATCTTTCAATGAGTGTCGGTTCCATTCCTCTATTGCAAAAGGACTTGGCAAGATCTTTCTTTCTTCGAACAAAATACTCGTAGAAGCCTGCCCTCTCCCCCCCCCCGGGGGAAATCAACCTCACCGGAAGTATTGCGCCGGTTGAATTCGATCACTGATCGACGACTGATCAATAATGACACGACGGGAAAACAAGCTTGACCCTAAACCAATGCATGTCATCCCAGACGGAAGGGATGTCAAAGTCGGCAAAACGCCACCAACCAACCAACCAACCCCTTGACTTTCTCGTATTGTATTCGACTTTCCCACACCGCTTTCCCACATTTTTGTACGGGAGTATGTACTCCGTACAAGTTGGTGATCGTCACGTCAAACAACAACAACACATTTCCTGAAGCGGAAACAGCTTTGGCAATGTCGGTCGATGAAAACTTGTCCAAACTTGACCAACAAGGCAAGTTGGTTACTCTGTACGGTTAGAGTCTCTACCATAGGTGTGTTTTCTATCCTGTATGGTTGGAAATGCCTTGTTTGTCTCTTGTGATTTAATTGTCTCGTGGCTTCAAGTTCAGATGTATTGGTTTTTCCATCTTACTTCTCACCCTTTTGCCATAGAGCGACTTCCTTTTGTGGAAATGAGGTTGTCCTGTTTCAAAGACTGGGTATTACCACTGACCGACTTCTTTCGCTGTCTCACCGTATCACCGCCGTCGAGCAATACACATCACTATCAGTCTGTACAGTACATTGATGGTCGGAACTGCAAGTACCTCTGTCCTTCGTTGGTCAAAGTGCGTGGCTAGGTAGTAAAAGCACAAAGTATTACAGCTGTCTTCATAGGATCATCACAATGACAACTACAGTGACTACTGTGATATGCTCTTCTCCTTCTCATCTAGGTAGGTCCCTTGGCCGTAAGAAATCCAAAATCACAACCCAAATGGGATTGATTGACTTCTCTCTCGTACAACCCCCGATAACCTCTTCGATCACGTCTTGAGATCCATTGTTCAGATTGACCGCCCTGATCCGCCGCAGCCGCCCGTCGCTTACGCTCAGCTATTCTCCTGGCGATTTCCTCCTCTTCGACGTCGAGTTTCAAAATCCTCTTTTCGACGTCACACACAATCTTATCGCCCGTCCGGACCACCCCAAACACGGAATCCAAATCGGCGGACTCGGGTGAGATGTGCAACGTGATGGTCCCCCCGGCCGTCCCGCTCATCCTCCCGTCGCTTATCCGGAGCATGTCCAGCACCCCCTGTCTGCCTAGTTTCTGAGGGATGGGGATCAGCCCTGCCTCGGGCATCCCCGGGTTCCCTACGGGACCTATACTCTTGAGCACGAGGACAGAGTCCTCACTGACATCCAAATCCGGATCGTCGATACGCTTGGCCATGTCAGCCGTATTTTCAAACACGCAAGCCGATCCTCGGTGGTGTAATAGTTTCCGGTTCTTTGACGCCGACGCTTTCATGACGGCGCCGTTGGGACACACGTTGCCGTACAAGACCACCAGACTCGATTTCGGGTAGAGGGGGTCTTCGAGCGAACGTATAATTTGTCTCGAATATGGAAACGTCTTGAACGGCGTGCTGGCCAACACTTCCCCCAAGGTCCGTCCGTTGATCGTCCTCGCCTCGAGATGTAATAGTGGTTTCAGGGTGTGTAGCAACGCCAACATCCCACCGGCGTTGTGGAAATCCGTCATGTAGTTGTCCCCGCTCGGTTTGAGGTCGACGAGCAAAGGTGTCTTCTTGCCAATCTCGTCAAACGTCTCGAGGTCGATCGTGTCGGCCACTTTGGGGTGCCTGTTGATGATGGCCAGTAGGTGGACGACCGCGTTGGTACTTCCACCTATCGCCTGGAGTACCGTGATGGCGTTGATGAAGCTTTCCCGCGTGAGGAGATCCTGCGGCCTCATCCTTTCCTCGTTCAACATCGCCACGGCGTTTCTCCCGGCCTGTTCGGCGACCCTCAGTCGGGCGGAACTGACCGCCGCCGCCGTCGCCCCGGCCCTCAACTCGAGCAGACCCAGCCCGGCGGTGACGCATGCCATCGTCGAGGCCGTCCCCATGACTCCGCATGTGCCACCGGTCGGGGCCAACTCCTCGTTGACCGACATGATGTCCTCGACGTCGGCCCCCCCGGCGCGGTACTTGGCCCAGTAACTCCTGCAGTCCGTGCACGCCCCTACCCTCGACCCTTCCACGGAGCCGGGCATCATCGGGCCCGTGATCAGCGGCACGGCAGGCTTGTCGGCGCTGATGCCGCCCATCAGTTGCGCGGGGACGGTCTTGTCGCACCCCCCGATCATGACCACGGCGTCGACGGGTTGCGCCCTGATCATCTCCTCGGTGTCCATGCTCATGAGGTTGCGCAGGTACATGCTGGTCGGACTCGCGAAGCTCTCGTGGACGCTGATGGTCGGGAAGTCGACGGGCAGTCCCCCCGACGCCAGGACGCCTCGTTTCACGGATTCGATGAGCTGCGGCACGTTCGAGTGGCACGGGTTGAAGGACGAGTACGTGTTGATGATGCCTATGATGGGCGACGACAGTGCCGAGTCGGAATACCCCAAGGCTTTGATGAAGACTTTTCGCAAGAACAACGAAAAATGTGCATCTCCGTACGACGTCAGTCCCGACCTCAAACCGGACGTGGATGTGATGGGTCGAGACAGGTCGTAGTCGGCCGAGATGCTGTCCTTGGTTTCTTCTTGTTTGCGGCCGTTGGTACCGTCCGGAGAAGCCATATTGTTTGTTGTTGAGCATGTAAAAGAAAATTGGTTGACAAAGGTTTGTCGCTCGATCTCGCTCGATATCTCAAAGTCAAGAATTACTTACTGTGTACCTACTTTACTGTACAGTGTATATGTCGCCATCGGTAATGGTCATCATGTTGGTCTCGATTGGAGGACTCTGAAGATATGAGTGCTCGAGTCACCAAGTCGAGCGGGGATTCTTTAGGGTTGACTCGGAGAATGACCCGATATGCCCGTGTTGATCAAGGCTTGATCCTCAACGAGCTCATGTACAAAGCAATTTACATACTCGACGGAGGGTATTCTCTAGTCAAGGAGTTGGGTTTGTAATTACAGATCAGACTGTGACCATGAACAAACAAACGCAAGTAAAAAAGTGTCGTAGTCCAAATGTGAGAATTTGTGAACACTAGTACTACAGAGTACGTTGGTGGGCGACAACGGGGTGGAGAAGGCTCCGTGCCCAATAACCCACACAACGCTGACGCAAATTCTCTTATTCATAAGTTTAATCTCGTGAATTCTGTTCCAACAAGCAGCAAAGCCTGCCCGGCTAGCTCAATCGGTAGAGCGGTGAGTTCAATTCATACAAACTATCCACCTTCAAAATACTGATAATTTCTCAGTGAGACTCTTATACGAGAGGACACATCTCAAGGTTGTGGGTTCGACCCCCACGTCGGGCTCAAGTCCCAGACATTTGCGATTGCGATATTCTTTTTTGTATATTTTTTGCACTTTTTCTTTAAAGTGTAGAATGGGTCAGACACAGATCATTTTTGGGGGATCCAAGGAACACTTGGCGTCATGTGACTAGTGTTGCTTTTTGTTCACTTCCCGACTCTTCGCGGACCGCGCACTCCAATGGATGACTAATTCCTCGATATCGTCTTTTCACATATTACACCCATGTTCCACAAAGAGACCCATCTATGGTGTGAAGTGTGGGTGTCTGGAGTCGCCGACATCTCTGAAAATCCTCTGCTTCGGGATTCATACATTGCTCCAACCATGTAGACTGTCTGTGTCCTCTGATGATCTGGAACCAGGTCGATTATCAAGCCTGACATCTCGGACTGGAAGCAGTTTCTCATATAAAACTGACGATGAATCGAGAGTCATACCGTGGTGTCTGCAGTGCTAATTTATCCAGCCTCGTCAAAAACTATGGAATTACTTGAGCTCGACTCTTTGGAAATCACGGCAATCATCAACGATGAGATTGACTTGATTTCTCCTTCTCAGCATCCTAATGTCCATCAACCAGGGTCTTTTGCGGGTGTTCCCCTTGAATTTCATCACACAGAACCGAAATGGACAAAATCCCGTGGCGGTGCGTCCATGGAGATGCGCATGGATAGTATCTGCTGTGGCGCACATGGATTGAGTCTCCTTCTTGCAGGTCAATCAAAGTCATAGTCGTGAGACATGCAGCTGACTTTGATCTCCAGAAAGCTACAAGGGGCAACACCACCCGCACGCTTCTGTTCGACGCAGGCCCGGAAGGGGAGGCATTAGAACGCAATGTCGGACGTCTTGGCTTGAAAGACAATGCCATTGGCGAGGTCGAGATCATTGTATTGTCACACTGGCATCGAGATCACTCTGGTGGGTTGATCAAGGCCATCGAGATGGTCAATGCTGCGAGACCCAAGAATGCCACTGGATCGTCATTGTCTGGGCCGGTGGTTGATGTCCCTACAGACCGCCCTCTGTACCGTGGAATTGCGACGCCCAATGGTCCGATTTGCCTCGAGGCCGATCCTACAGCGGATGAACTCATCGGTGCGGGTGCCGACGTGGTTGACGACGGTGAGAGCCATGTTGTGATGGATGGCTTCTTCGCCGTGACGGGTCCGATTCCTCGATCGACGATTTATGAAACTGGAATCCCTGGTGGTTTGCGGTTCGATGGACCCAAAGGGCAAGAAGGGGGCCAGTGGATCAAAGACGAAGAGATCAAGGAAGAAAGAGTCGTGGTCTGTCGGATCAAGGGTAAAGGTCTTGTGATTTTCACCGGGTGTTCGCATGCAGGCATCATCAACATCACAGATTACGTTTTGGACACTTTTTCTACAGAGGCAAGAAAGTCACACGATTTCTACGCCCTTGTAGGTGGGTACCATCTGGCGGACGCCTCGGAAGATCGACTGCAAAACACGCTTGTGGACCTGACGAAGCTGAAGCCATGTCTTTTGATGCCAGGACATTGCACGGGTTGGAGGTTCAGAGCACTTCTCGAACAAGAGCCACTGGCGTCAGCTGAGGATACAGATGGACATCGTCAGAGACGGACGCTCAAAGGCCGGACGGTCCCTGTGTTTGCGGGTAATAAATACTGCATCTCCGGCAGCAGTTGAACAATTGAAGACATCTCATCATCGATGTTGTGCCATTTCTAAGTCATTCGTTAAACAATTTAAATACATCGTAGCGTAGCATAGGTACGCAGCACTTTGCCAAATTTCTGGTCTCCTTCCTCACTTCATCACAAAATCACACAATCCGTGCTGCTCATGACCAATTTCTTCTCCAATTATCCCCGGCGACCTTTCTCTTCTTCGCCTTGATTCCGTCGCCAATACACTCGACCACATCACTCACCTCGGTCCCTCGCTTCCTGCTCTCCACCCTTTCCTCGCCGAGTACCGTGTCGTCGGCGATGAGCTTGTAGACCTCGGCGATGCCATCAAACACGCCGTGCGTTTCTCCGAGCACGTCCTTGCCGAAGCCTCCTTCCTCGACGAACGTCTCATTGATCTGCCTCATCTCGTCGACCCAACGGTACGCTTTTGGCGGCATACCTGTGAGCCCGCTCTTGGCCGCGGCGAGCGCCCCCGGGTTGAACTCTCTCAAGTGCTCCTCCAGAGCCGGGAGAACGCCCGCTTGATGGGCCGTCGTGAAGGAGAGAATGCTCAGCGCTATCATGCCTTTGCTCAAACTGGCGAAGCAGGCCTTGAGAGCCGACGCGGCGCCGATGGTGTCGCCGACGACGCGGACGTTGAGGAGCTCGGTGAAATCGGAGGGAAGCACCTCTGAATGTCGAGGACCGGAGAGGACGATCGACGGTCGTTTCCACGTCTGATCTTCCCGGAGTGACGGCGGGCCGCCGATGATGCCGCCGTCGAGAAAGTCGACCCCGACGGGCTGCAGCTCGGGCTGCTCAGACTCGGAGTCTGCACGGTGGAAGCTGAACGACCGTCTGATACCCTGGAGGCGCGGCGACGTCGGTAGGTGATTGCTGGGAGTGCTGAAAAGGGCGCCGATGGCCCTGGTCGTGCGTGGACTGACGGCGTTGAGGTCGACATAGGTCAGTTTCCGACCGAGGCCCGTCCTCTCCTGTCTACGCTTGATGGCCGTGTGGGAGTGGCACGCCTGGTGTGCTCGCTGGGCCGTGGCGACGGCGTCTCGTGGGGGCACGATACTGAGAATGATGTCGGACTCGGCGACCAGTGCTTCGTCCGTGTCGAGCGCCTTGATCTGCGCCGACTTTATCCGATTGAGAGTATGTTGACTACATTTGATGGCATCAAAAAATTCGTCAACGAATGGTTCAATGTTGTCGGTGATGGCAACTCGTCAACAAGATTTCAACAATGTCGATGAAATCCAAAATCCTCCCCCAAAAAGTGCCATCTGAGGAAAGCATAGAATACGCGCTGCAAATGCAAATGCATCATGACAGTCTTGAACCTACCTTCGACCTGCCCCGACTGTGTAGACTTCGTAGCCGTGGTGACGAAGTAGCCGCGCTATTCCGACACCCATGTCGCCAATCGACAAGATCCCTACGCTGGGTTTCGGGGACGTGGATGAGGTGGCCATGGCTGCTGGTTGAGGCATCGAACGGATGTTTGCAATTGTCAGTAGATTCTCAGGAGTGCGCGTATGTGATGAAGATAGAAAGGCTCATGGATCGGCACATAAAACGGTCATTTACTGCCCACGGTTCAAATTCCGCGCGTATTAAAACCAGGCCGTACTATGGAGTAGGTAATCGATCAATTCGATATCGCTTCACGTGCACAATTCTAACAAATGAATACCTGAGTATGATTGAAGTAGCATAACTGTTTATTCGAATCAGTTTACTCCAGTCATATGTACAAGGCCATTCCAGTATTCATGCCAACCCATTGTTGACTCTGCCATGGCTAGAACTAAGATCTTATTTCTTTTCCTCTTTCTTCTCCTCTGGTTTGGGTGTAGGTAACTTGAATTCCTCCGGTTTCCTATCCTCGCCAGTACCAACCTGTTCCCAAGCGCTCGTGCCACCTTCAAAGTTACGGTATGCCTGGGTCATCTCAAGTGGTTCCACCACGATTCTCTTCTTCTCCTCGTCGTATCTAATCTCAGTGTATCCAGTCAGGGGGAAATCCTTCCGTAGAGGATGTCCATCAAAGCCATAGTCGGTCATAATTCTTCGCAGATCGGGGTGGCCAGTGAAAAAGACACCAAACATGTCGTAGACCTCTCGCTCATACCAGTTTGCACCGTCGTAGAGGGAAGTAATCGAAGGAACAGGGGTCGCCTCATCGGCGTATGTCTTGACTCTTATCCTCGAGTTGTGTCGCACACTGAGGAGGTTGTAAACGACCTCGAATCGGTAGTTTTTAGTGGGAAAGTCGACTGCAGTTATATCGCTGACCATGGTGTACTCTGCCGCCGTGTGGTTCTTCAAGAAAGTGAAAACTGGGATAACGCCAGTAGGAGTGATGTAGATGCATAGTTCATCCTTCCATACAGAGAATTGCTGGATGTACTTCGGAAGGCAGGACATGAGATATTGTCCATACTGGTGCATGGGTAGTGCTTTGTCGGCGTACTTGTCTGCATCGTTGACGATGGGAGCAGACAGCTTGCCCATTGCTATACACTCAGTCAGTGTCCGTCGATCAATCCACACAGGCAAAGGGGACTCACGCCGCCGGGGAGCCTTTCGCAGTTCTGAGAGGAGATCTGAAGGTGCATCTCGCAGCTTCTGCTCGTTATCCTTTTCCGCGCATCGCCTGGTCGACTGAGAGATGGAAACGCGCTGAACGTTTCTGGCTGATTGTTGAGCTCCAATGAGCGGCCTCTTGCTTACCAGGCGCAGCATTGTCTTTGTCGAAGCCATATTGGGCGCCTGGTCTACCTCATTCACCTTGGATTCGACGTGAACCCTCTCTTGAAGTCATGAAGCTTCCCGAGCGCAGCCAAGACAGGTGCCGAGCTAGTCCGCTTCCGGCTTAGGCCGCTCTCGTCACTTGCCTGGCTGCGGAAAGAACATTCTAAGCATCTGCAATCTCGCCTCGCTGGGAACCTTTTCAGCAAATCACCTTTTCATCGTAAAGATTCGTCGACGAGTGTCTAGATCTCATCGCCTTACATCCCTTACCGAACGAGTAACAACTTCACACGCGTCGTGGCCAGCAAATTCCAGGTCATCAAACAGTGCATGGAGAACATTCTTCATCTGCGACGTGTGGTGCTGGAGTCGAAAGAGGCGGTTCACATTATCAGAATATCATCGTATTCACCGATATGAGTCGATCGCAGGATACTGTCATCGATGATGACGAAGAGACATGGTAAGATCCGCAGTGCAACACCAGCAAAGGCGAGAAGTCTGACCTGTTTATAGCCCATTATGTATCGAAGAGTTTGACCTTTCAGACAAGAATTTCCGCCCGTGTCCTTGCGGCTACCAGGTACGTCCTTGATGTCATTCCCCTTACTCTCTAGCTGACCCTCTTGTTAGATCTGTCAATTCTGCTTCAATAGTCTCAAAGTCTTAAACGACAAGAGCACTTGCCCTAATTGCCGACGGCCCTATGATGAAAAAACGATTCAATACAAGATCCCAACGGCAGAAGAGTTCAAGCTCGATCAGTTGAACAAGAACAAGAAGCAGGCAGCTGCGAAACGAAAAGAGACTGAGAAACGCGAGGTCGAGACTTCTGTACGACGGAACTTGGCTGGCGTTCGTGTCAAACAGCAGAACCTCGTCTATGTCATTGGCTTGATACCGTCGGTCAAGGATGAGCAGTCTCTTCTACAGACGTTACGTGGTCCAGACTATTTTGGCCAATATGGCGAGATTGAGAAGATTGTTGTCAGCAAACCAAAACCCGGAATAACCAGCCAGGGTATCGGCGTCTACGTGACATACGCGCGCAAAGAAGATGCAGCGACATGCATAAACAGTGTTGATGGCTCTCTCAACGGTGACCGGGTCCTGCGGGCGCAGTTTGGTACCACGAAATATTGTTCTGCTTTCCTGCGTGGCGAGGTTTGCAACAACAAAAATTGTAGCTTCCTGCACGAGACTGGAGAAGACGGCCAAAACAGCTCCTTGCAGAACGAGTCGCATGGTGTCAAAGCCAGAACGGCCCCCGGTCAAATTATACCACCTGCAAGACCCTTATCTGCTACTCAAGTCACTCAACCTATGGCACGACAAAGTAGTAAAGAGGATGACAACATTAGAAAGGACAGCAGCGATGGTTCAGCACTTCCCACCACGGCAAGTTGGGCCAATTCCAATGCTCCTGTGGCTCGAACGAGGCGTGCAAGTCAAGCAAATAGCCGAGCTACCCCAAGTCCTCAGATGGTCCACGCTACGCCAGCCGTCCAGAAGCTCGAAGAACCCAAGCCCAGGGAAGCTTCAAGTCAACCATCACCAGCCTCGTCCGTTAAGAAACCGTCGACCAAGGCCCAACCACCTGCCGCGAAGCCAAAAGCCAAGCCAGTCGATCCTATTCAAGAACATTTTGAAGCGGTCTTGCGAAGTATATCCCCTCATGCGGCTTTCAACTACGACGACTCTTGCCTCAGCCCAGAGATAAGAGCTGCTGTTGCTGATATGCCATCTTTTATCGACCCTTACGGCGGATTCAAACGACGAGCCATGCGCGAAAGAGAAGAGCTTGAACGTTTGAGGCATGAAGCTGAAGCGAAGGCTAAACTTGAGGCGCAGGCCACGTCGACAGCCGAAGATGCTCTCGATGAAGATAACATGGTAGCTGGGAGCCTCGCACTGGGGGGTGAGCCTGAAGACGACCCGAGAAGTTCTTCGGCTCGTGGCGCCATCGGTCGTCCCTCTCAAACGTCTGATAATGCCCGCAGTCTCACCCCTCAACGACAACAACTTGCTTTTCTGAATGCTGGCGGTAGTCAAGCTCCAGGCCTTGGCCAAAATACCGCATTCGAGATGTCCGACTTTGACAGACGTGGTCCTCAATATAGTCAAGCTCAATACGAACAGATCAGCAATCACCAACGACATGGTTCACGATATTTCAACAACGATGCCAAGGCCAGCACCGCCAGCCGATTTCAATCAGCCCAATCCTCCTTTTATTCGAGTGGTGTCCAGGGACCACCTCCTGGCTTGCCCACTGCTGGAACTCCTCCAGTCAGCGGCGGTGGCATGTTCGCGCACGGCCAGAATTTCACAAACCCGGGGTTCGGTGCATCAAAAGATACAAACGCTGAGATCTTCTCGAGGAATAGAAGTGGGACAAATCAAGGTCATGAGATTTCTAAGCGTGAGTTACTCCTTTCTTTACAAAACAACCCCCTTCGTTCACCTCCACTATCGGCCCCTGCCCCTGGCGTCCTAAACCAGCTGTATGGTCAACATCAAGGAACGTACCAAGACCCTAGTCTCGTCAAGCAGAGGAAAAAGGGGAAGAAGCACAGACATGCTAACACTTCCTCTTCAGGAGGCGGTGTAGAGCATCTTGCGGACCCGAGCATTGTGTCCACCAGAATGCACCAGGGCAACACCACAGGGCAGGGGCTTTTTGGAGGTCAACAAGGTGGGTACCAGCAGACAAGCGTGATGTACGGCGGCAGCGGCGGCGGGTATTCTCGATGGTGATCACACGACATTTTTCTTTTCATGACAGGCTTTCCTTTCTACTTTGATTGGGTTTTTATGTTTGGCGTTGGTGGTTGCACTTTTCTTTCTCGGAGCAGCGAGCAAAGCATAAGCCAGTAGCTGAACGGCGAAAGCTTCGTGGAGTCAACAGCATGGGGTTACTGCAATTGTAAATGCTACCACAACCTTTTTCTGTCAGCAACAGGCTTTTCTTTTTCAGCAGACACCCAATCGTCTCGGTTTACGACCACAGGAATCTTATGTATGTTAGTACCCTTCTCTGGCCACAGACTACATGGTCATGCAGATCAAAAATGATTTTCTTACACTTCATTCAGGGGCTTGTATGACAATCATGTAGACATGCTGAAAGAGACGAGATGCCTGTTGCGAGAGCCTTACTGTGTCGACTGTGTCGTCAAGTCGTATATACATACCCGCCGCTGTGTCAAGCCGACCGCCTCGTTTTTTCTTTCTACTCTTTGCTTTGATGGGACCCGTCGCTGACTTGTCCTATAGTAGACGAAAAGAACTTTCCACCGTTGCCTCTCCGCTTGGATACCCAGCCAACGCCTTTGCATTCGCGAGTCTCATCTCACCACAGCTTGGGCTCTGGTGCTCGATCATCTACACCTAAAATTCCTCCTGGCTTCGAGAGAATCTCGACTCCAAAGATTCCGCCAGGCTTTGAGCTGTCTCATGCTCACCCGCCACTGTCACGACATGAATCGCCTTCTGGTTCGCAGGCTCCTACGCAACGAAGTATCTCAAGAGCCTCGGGAGCTATTGCTCCTGCCGTACCTTTGGTGCCTTTAGGTCCTCGTTCGAGTACGCCTCAAACAAAGCTCTCTGAAACCCCTAAGGAGGATCCAAAGGATGCCGACACCGTCGAAATCTCTGATCTTCATGTTCACAAGCGAGGAAATGAAGCCAGTGAAATTAGTTTAGGATCACCAAAGCTCCGGCCCACACGCACCAAAGAAACTGTGCCTGACTTATCTGTCAAGTCTGAAGGAACGCCGGCAAAAAACAAAGAATCTCCCTCGAAATCACCCGCCACGAAAGGCAAGGGAAAGGACAGCAGTCAGAAATCCGGAATGACTGGAGTTCCTGCTTCCCCGGCTGCGGCGACAGCGGGTATCTCTACCTCGACGACTGCTCCAGAAAAGTCCGCAACCCCGATACTAGATTCAAGCGTCGCAGGAACCCCGGGGACCATGAGCCCTCAAGCACCTACACCGGTTGCGACGACTCCTTCAGAGGCATCTAAGCCGTCGGTTTCAAGACCTAGAACGTTGCGACTGACTACAGGCTCGACGTCGAAAGTCGCCGAGCAACTTCCAGCAGTAGTAGCAGCGGAAAAAGCGAGTGCATTCCCTCCAATCTCAGCTGGAAAGAAAGGGTCCAGAAGACCCTCGTTGGCTTCGATCCAGCATAGTAGACCTTCGACGCCTGCAGTATCAGAGAGACCATCCCATGATGCCTCCCGAGCGAGTAGTCCGCCCCCTAGCATTGTGGGCTCTGCGCCCGAACGGAACAAAAGCAAGGCTCAGCAGAAAAAGGATCGCAAAGAGAAGGCCAAAAAAGTGTCTGAAGTCACCGAGTCTGCAAGCACTTCGACAACACCAGCCATTGAAGAAGTTGCCCCAGTCATCGCCAGACAGAAGAAGCAAAAGAAAAAGGCCGACAACAATACACCGGCGACTGTGGCCGAGACCAAGAGTTCAAAACAGCAAGAACCGATTGAGAAGCCGAAAGCAGACAGTGTCAGTAGAAAGACGCCTGTTCAAATACAGGAAAAGGATCAACTCAACGCGGTCGCAAAGGCCGAGAGGGTCGTACCTTCTCCTACCCCTTCGACACCTCAAGAAGGGCCTGAGCCGAAAGTGGATGAGCATGTCCAAAAGCCTTATATGCTTCGCGATCTGTACAACGAAGCTGCAAAAGCTGCAGATCGCGGGGATAATTCTGGCACTACCATACAGAAGTTGCTGAACGAACATGTCTCACCAACGTCCAAGATCATTCAATCCATGATCCAGTCCGGAGATCTCACCAAAGATCATCCATGGCTTAATCCTCCCTCCTTCACTAACGCAGCGTATAAGTTGCCACCTGACAGCCGTCGCGGCCAAGAGTACCTTGATGCGAATGGCTACAGTGCAACCGCGGCGTTCGGGTATGTCTACTTACCACTCAAGGAGAAACAAGCTCTCCGGGACAGCCAAGCAGTCAGTGTCGCCGATGCTGGTGACCGAGCCAACGATGTGTTGAAGCGATGCCTCGTGACACCGAACGGATGGGTCCTCCGACATCTCTCTGCAGACGAGGAGGCCAAGGTTCTGGAGCTTGAGGAGCGTCGACAGATGTACATGGAAGAATTCGGTGACGTAGGTACCATGACCGGTCTTGGTGTTTTGGAAGCGGACGATTTTGTCAATCTTGGAGGTGGTATGGACCGACTTAGCCGACATGGAGAGCGACATGGAGTGGTATGGGTCATGGGTGAAGGCGAAGGCGATATGGGTGAAGATGACGAATTCGAACCCTTTGACGGCGAAGATGGCGAACTTGATGGCGAGATCGGCTTTAGCGAAGACGATGAAGAGGTATTCGAAGATGACGGGCTCGAAGACGATGCCGCCGAAGGGTCATTCCGAGACCATGTCAATATGCCTGGTGCATGGGATAATCCACCACGTCCGGCCAGTGGAAGAGTCACCTCTCTCCCAGGACTGGGACCGCACTCGAAGACCACAGCGCCACTTAGAATGCCTGGCACAACTGGTCCACAGGGATCGTCGGCATTGCGAAAAGATGGCCATGCTGGCGGGGATGAGAATACCGGCGCCGGCGCTAGCCAAACGGGCAATGTCATCGTCAACCTTCGAGCTCTAGACCATGAGGCGCTTCAGCGACGCGTGGCCGAAAAGCACAAGGAAATGGAGGCCTCGAAGAAAAACATGGAAAAGCTTGAGAAAATGTGGAATAAGAAGAGCAAGGATATTGGGCGATATCGAGAAACGTTGGTAAAGGGCTAGAAACCTGACGATGAAACCTCTCCGTCGGCTTCGAAACTCAAGAGTCAATGGACCGAGGTGCAGCCAGGACCAAAAGATTCAACAATCCGGAGGTACCAATTGCCCTTTCGCAAAGAAGGGAAGGATTCTGAGGAGCTAGCAAGTTATGCTCTTAAAATTGGAATCCGGATGTCCTCTGGAGAAGTCTTCTCTGAGCGGGTAAAGATTAACGACTCACATGCCCTAGCAACAAAGGAGCAACAAGAAGTAGCCAGAGAATTGGCCAGCAAAAACAACAGGCGATATGTACCAACATCCGAAATCAATGGAATGACTCTCTCAAGTCCGATCATTTGGATGATTCCTAACCTGACTCCATTCGTGAGGACTCGAGGCATTCGGCCAGATGATATGGCGATATCAACAGCTGAGCTTATTCGTGCTTATCGATCTTGTGTGGAGATGAAATGACGATTGAATTGGGAGTGAGAGGGTATTGTTGGAGTATTCAGACTGAGTATGGATATCCGTTTGAGTATGAGGTTGTGTATGAGTATTGATATTGGTACGGGAAATAGGACTACCTAGGGGTAGGGTATTCATATTTCGATATCGAATTGGTTAGAATAAATTCGCCATGCTCGTCTCTTCAGACTTTCAGTGTATACAACTATACTCCTATGTGCTCTTCAATATAGTGTATTCGTAAACATGAATAGACATGGGAGACACAAAGAGACACATGAACCTGATGACCGTGCTATAACTGGCTGCCTTCCTCTTAGGAATTACCTCAATATTAATCAAACTTGTGGCCTTTGAGACACTTTGGATACGGGACATGTTTTGAGGTGTATTGGCTGCCATTCATTTCTCATGATAACGTCCCTCTCTTTTGGCCTGTGTATTGGCCCCAGCCGTCGCAGATGTTCCCACATACACACACCCTGGGCCCTCAACAAGCCTGGACACAGCTCCCTTTGACGCTACGTTGGTCTAGAGCCCGAAAGGCATTCGTGTCAATTGGACCATGCACATGTGTGATCGACAGATGGTAGTGTCAGAACTAGCACGACAAGGACTAAACTGGATTGAGTCTCAAGATGCCCAACCGACCTGACGTCTCGGCTGGGATGGCCCTTTTGTCGTGTCTCGGACACTACATTTGCCCTTTTCGCTCAGGGAAGTGCACGCAAAACGCCCCCCAAAACTATCCTAGGGCCTTGTTGGCTACATGTAAAGAAACAAGCTGAGCCACTTGGTCCACGCCGAGTTGGTTCAGGGATTCCAACGAGAAATATCCCAGGAAATTCGCAGACGCGAGCATCGCCGAGCTCTCTCCGATTCGTACGGCCCCCAATGTGCGATTGATGAGATCTCTTGTTGACGTTTCGATATCCGCATTAGAGCGACGATGGACGTGTTGGGTTGGGTTGGATTGGGTCGGGCATCCTTGCTCTACTACGCAGTTCCCTCCCGACGGCGAGACCACACGCTACTCCGCGGGCCATGATGGCATCTTCAGGAGAGCTTGTTGTCCTGGAAGGGTATCCCCTGTCGTGGTGTCACTTCCCCGAAAGTCTAAAGAATCCTTGAGTGGGCAATCTCTCAGGACAGCCACTCGACTCTCTCCTGCAGCTCAACGATCAACCAGGACCGGTGGAACGAACCTGGGCGTCATCGCATGGGCTCCCACAAAGTGTCGCCAACGATGTTGTGTTGAATTGACCTCCGGAAGTATGCTGCTACAAATGTGCGATGGGGCCAAGCTTCACCTTCACCCGGCCACTCTTCCCCCCTTCTCAGCCTCGTGTGTCTCCAGGGAGCCGTTCAACCCGCCGCTTGAAACTCATATTTGAAGAGTCCGATCTCCTGATGATTGTGGCACCGATCCCCATCTAAAACAGTGGCCCAAAGCACCGGGACCGTCATCGTTGTCAAAAAGCCAGTGAAGCTTCCTGCCCTTTTGTACTTCTGCAACCCTTCTTCACCACTCCAACATCTGTGCAACGGCGAAGAAAGCGGAATCTCTGTGCGTCTTTGACAAGATTGTTGCATTTCGGCACACACACACTTGGCTGGGGCATTCGGAATGTTTCCCTACTCACCCGCCCAAAGCCATCGATCCTCCACTGCATCACACTCTCCAGTTGCCTCTCCGATCAGAACTGGCAATGCTTGCCAGGCTTGCAAGAAGAGGAAGACAAAGGTTAGTCTCTGCTCTCTCTCTCTCTCTCTCCCGTTCTAAGAGCGCACACCTGTGTTGGGCTTTTGTGTACTGAAACGTCGGCTCTCTTTAGTGTACCGGTCAACCGGGACCGTGTGCAAACTGCAGCAGGACCGGGACTTACTGTCATTTCGACATAAAGCTCGACGGTCGCCGCAAGCACGCCTATGAAGCGGCCGAGATCCAATATCGGCAACAATTCATCCTCGACGCCTTGCTTCGTAGCATCAAGTACAATGATGCCACGCTCGTCCAAGCACTGGTCGAGGTCATACGGGCCGGGAGGCCTTTGTCCGAAATCGCCCATGTTCTACAGGACAACATCAAATCTTTGCAAGATAAGATGCTGGCGCGCGAGCACAAGGTCACCATATCGGATCTGATATCACTTGCATTGAGTTGTCTGTCGGACTCGGACTTTCGTCCTCACGGGAACAGCAAATTGTCCATTCAGCACCACCCCCGCGAGGCCCGCCTGAAAATCCCCGTCTGTGGAAGTGCGGGAGAAATGGTTTGCGATGATGAGCCGCCTGCGAGACTTGTCTCCAATGAGCGACCACTCGTGGATGACGCAGCCAGCAGCGGCACGTCGTACCCAATTTCCTCTCCCGCAAAGTCCAAGAAACGTTGCCAAAGGGCTTCGAAGGCTGCCCGTACCACGTCTCGAGGCAGAAGTCCGGAGGCTTCTGCTTCGTCTCCTCGTCCCCGTGACCGTCCTCCTCCAACTCCATCGTCGGCACCGTTGGAATATTCCCAGAGTATGTAGAGCGTTGCTGCCCGTCCAAAAGGTTCCAAGACTCTCGACTGACATACCATTCGATAGATTTTCCAACAGCGAACGGGTGGAGTGTCGAAACAAGTCCTTCACACTCGCAAAGTTACCGAGAGCAACAAGAGCCGGTGGTTTACACCCCAACACCACCAATCTTTGCGTCTTACGATCACATGGGTCAAGGGTATACGCACCAGGTTCCCTTGGGCTACGGTCCCATCTGTCCGCCGCCTCAACACTCAGCGAGTCCGCGAGTTCATTACGTCGATGATCATCAATTCAGCAACACTACATGTCCCGCGGAAGGTTTTTGCGATTCCTCGCCCCAATTCGGTCAAATCAGTCCGAAACACGAATATCGTGTCGGCCCTCAACCACCACCACCACCACCGTCTCACCAGCAGCAGGGAGAGTTTCTACAGGGGTATTATGGATGCTCGACATCATTTGTGACCGGGTGGCCGCCCAACCAGGCGTCATGGGCAAGTCATGCATAACTATTTTGGTTCATCAATATCTCAAAAAGCAGGCCCCCCAACAACTATTTTGTCGGTTCCTTTTCATCATTTTCCTACGGAGTACGAATACGAGTATGGGGGATCAAGGTATGAGGTACACACAGGTAACGGAGTAGTAGTAGCGTGGTTTGTCTTTACAAAAAAAAAGTTCTCGAGGCTATGGAATTATATTCCGTATACTTCTTTCTTCTTTTCTTGGGTCAATGTATGGCTTGTATGCGTATCGGTTGTCGGCGTCTTTCATTTTCGCTAGGCTTGCATATTCGCTTCGCTTCGCTTCTCTTCTGGGGCCCTGAGATCATGTCGATGATCTGATTGTTTGGCTTTGCAGAAAATAAAAGTGGTGCCTGACGATTGATGGCTTCAACGGTGGCTGACCTTGGTCAGAGTCGGTCTCCTCATCGGAACGAAAAAAAAAGGTTATCGAGTGATTATCCCGTGGATATCGGATCACGATTCAGTCGAAACTATAGAGTATATTTTGATCGTAGATCCGACGTTGGGTGATACTCCCGTAGAGAAACAAAAAAGGGGAGCCATCTCGCGAAACGCACCGCCATCTGGAAAGCCCTCCTCCCCTCCCCGCCGCCGGCACGTCAAACGGGCAAGGTTTGGGGTTCGTGCCGTGTTGTCCGCGTGTTGTCTCGAAGAGGTTGTCCCAGTAGGTAGTAAGGAGTACATAAGAGTGGAAATAAAACTAGCTCACCAGGCCAGCCCTGTGGGTGGCCTGGGTAATAGTGCTGGTGGATGTCATCTTGAGATGACGGGCTGTGCCCTCGCCTGATCCCGCGCCTCCGCTGAAGGTCCCAAAACGCTTGTTTTCTTTTCTTTTTTTCTTACTTCCCTTTAGCCGAAAGATCGGAAGGCAAATATATCCGTCGTGTTTTTGGAAGAACGTTGATGGACCATCGTTTCGAAACGGATCTACTGTCCACAGCGGACAAACGTCTAGGTGGATATTAGACAAGTCGTATCGGGAAATGGCGTGGGCTGGATCCAGTTATATTGTGGCTTACATCTTCGTCTCATTACAATATTTCTAGACCGTTAGTAGTGGATTTGATCCGGATAAACAGGCTTTTTCTGTCTGTGATCGATCAGATCCGTTCTTTCCATAGCCCTTACAGTACGCCGCCTCGTACCGGGAGAGTAACGGGGGGGTCCCAAGTGGGAATTGATTTGCATCATCATCATCATCATCCAAAATTTACCATGTAGAGATAGTACTGAACAAGTACTCATTTGGGGGGGGAAGGGGGATACAATGGCATTTTTAGGAGATCGCCCATGTCTATCGTGGTGATCAATTACTACTTCTTTTCATACCGAAGTCGTGACCCTGTACTCCCAACTCCTACTCCACACGGTGGTCTAGACCAACAATTTGGCAAAGTTGTACAGTATGTTTTCTCGCCAACTAGTCTCGGCCATACTATACTGTAGGGTCTACAATAATACGGTGTACGGAATGAACGGGGCAAAAAGATTCCCCCCCATCATTTTCTTCTCGGTTCAAGAAAGTTTTGGTCATGGACATGGATCCCTTGTCGATGTTCTCGAGAGTATCTCTCGCCCGCATTGGTGTCTCGTTTTGAGGTCCCCCCTTCGCATCATGCATGCATGCATGCATGACCACGACAAAGACACGTTTCGTCTCGGGCGCACGCGTTGAGAACAAACTTGACTAGTCCGTACTTGTAGAAAGTGGTCTTTTGTTTCTTCGGATGGGCATTTTTTGTCCCCCCCCCCGCGCCCCCCCTTGGCTTTCATATGCTCTACGCGAGAAACCGAAACGTTCGAATGAGATGAGCCGTCACCACCACCTTCTTGACAAATACCCAGGTGAATAGTTTGTAACCGGAGAATCAATCTTATCCGGCGCATTACTTTACCCGAATGAGAACATTTTCCTAATACCTCATCATCTTGAGATCTAATTATTCCTTACTTATCCACATGATGGTCTCAACGCGTGAGTAGATCAGGACCAGTACTCGACACTCTCGAGACTCCTCAACTACACATACACAGGTACTGTACTTGTACTCCATACGGATCAACCGATCTGATATCCTTTTTCTTTTCTTGTGTGTGAGTTTCGAGCAAGAGTAGTGGTCTAGAAAGGTCAAGGGAGTTTCCAAAAAAAGGTTGTTCCCCGTTCATGACTCTCTCTCTCTCTCTCTCTCTCTCTCTCTCTCTTTCTGCATCTCCCTCTTTTTGTACCCCTTGTACCCTTGTATACTACTTGAAGTACCTCTTTATTTTTGCCTTTTCGTACTTTTTTAAACCTTTTACCGCATTCGGACCTTACTGGCCTGAGCTTCAACAGCAGAAAAGAAAACAAAAAAGGACAAGGCTGGTGAGGTAGGCAGTAGTACTACGGAGATGATTTCCATTGACTTTTTGCTTTCGACTTGTCTTTTTACCTTTGCCCTCCCTCTTTCTCGATTGACTGGCACTGACAACACTGACAACATTGACACCTTGACAGGTTCCAGGTAGGAAGGATCATCTTACTCCCTTCTTCTGTAAATCAGGACATTCTCGTCTCTCCATGGCATCGAACATTTCCACATCGACAAATCTAATCAAGTCCCCATGGATCTCTACAGAGAGTATTTCTACACCGACACCTTTTGTCCTTCTTCACCTTTTCCCCACCTTTTCTTGTCATGACTGAGCAAGAGGTCGGTCCAGACTCTCATTTACATCTATTGGATCCAGTACTGTCACTCTCTGGTGGTACCCAGAATTCGTATCACGGTCGACAATGGAAGCGGTGAAGACTGTCCAGTGCTTTGGCTATGGGTGTGTTTTTTGGGGGGTTGAAAGGGTGAGAACCTTTCCGTCACCGACTTTCAGACATCTTACATGATACGCTACGAGTTTTACCATTACCTGAGGTCGTCACTTTGTCACTCGTCATTATGATTCGATCTCCCGGCGTCCGGTAGATGGGGAATCTACTCTATCTGAATCGGTTCAGTCGCGGGATCCGAACACTCCCCAGTGTTCCGTAACTCGTTCATATGGTTTTGTTTTTTTTCAAACTCGGTTCGTAAAAGTCAACTCGAACTCATTTCTGATGTTTTGGCTTTTGGTTTTGACCTTGGGGGCTTTGACTTTTTTTCCTCTCTGAAAGTTGAGTTTTTAGGCAGAGGAGGTTGGGTTCACAGAGTATACTATGTGTATGTGTATCTGAGAGAGAGAGAGAGTGTGTGTGTGTGTGCTGTAGATTTGTATGAGAGAGTATGTGAGTGAGGTTTCTGTGCATGTACATGTGGGATGTACTTCAGTTCACGTTTCTCATCCATTCATACCCATCTATCAATACACCATCAAACACCTCTGCTGATGACATTGTGACACACAAAGTCCCCCATGACATATATACTCGGACAGATATTCCAGAAAACTTCGCCCGGTATTTATTCGTTTCAACTCGTCTCCCTTCGTAATAGTATACTTCTTCTTCTTCGTCTCCAAATAGGTCCGCAGTCTGGAGAGGGAGTGTTCTTCTTGGCCGCCTTGGTCACCTCGTAAGCCATGTCTCGAATGTGCGTGGCCGAGGCAGCGGCGGCCAGCGCCTTTGCCCTTGACCTTTTGAGATCCGATACAAAGGATTTACCCCAAACGGCACTATCAAGAAAGGTGTGTCAGTCATACGTTCTGCAAATCATGGGAGTTTGCGTGAAACCCAATTCCTCACCTTGATTTCTTCCAGACATACTCTTCCGATTTCTCATGGTTCACACTCCTCTCGTGCATCTCCATGGTCAACGCACGACCGAGGGCGTCGACGGTGCCGTTCACGTCCCACGGGTTGAACGAGACACTCCCTCGCAGGGCCTCGGCGGCCCCGGCGAATTCCGAGAGGAGCAAGACGCCACGTCGAAATCTCTGCGTGGCGACGTATTCGTACGAAACCAGGTTCATCCCGTCCCGGATCGACGAGACAAAACAGACGTCCGAGGCAGCGTACATGGTAATCGGTTCGTCAAAAGGGCACACTCTGATGTAGGAAGTGTACGGGTTTGTAGTCATCCGAACCTGGATTTATCGTCTAGTTTGAGACATTCTAGAGGGGCGTTTGTCACAGAGCGCGGAGGAACTCACCATATTTGGTGTTCAGCCGGTCGACCTGCCGATGAAGTTCATCCGCCAGTGCCTTGTAGTCCTTGACGGTTTCTCGACTAGGTACGGCGACCTGAATCATCGTCACCAGACCTACCCAGGAAGGGTTTCGGTCGAGAATAGATTCCAGAGCTTTCAACTTTTGCGGGATACCCTTGATGTAGTCAAGTCTGTCCACGCCGATGATGAGTTTCGAGACCCTGTATCGGCTCCGGAACTTTTCGACTCTCTCGTCCACGTCGGGTTTCTGCACGTGTTCGACAAATTTAGGTACGTCGATGCCGATAGGGTACACGCCGAGGTCGATGAAGTTACCGTCCCTCTGGATTCCGGAAGGGAACTGCTTGAACCCCAAATAGTCACCACAAATGCGCTTGAAGTTCTGGGCGTAAGCTTGGGTGTGAAAACCGAACAAGCGACACCGAAGGACGCCTTCGATAAGCTCCTCCCAGTGCGGCACAACCTTGAACATGTCGGCCGTCGGGAAGGGAGTGTGTAGAAAGAAACCGATGGTGAGCTGTTTGCCTCTGTCGGCCGCCGCTTCGTACAACATGGTGGGCAAAAGCATGAGGTGGTAATCGTGGACCCAGACGACATCTCCCTCGTCGACCTCCTCCACCAGCTTGTCTGCAAAGGCCTTGTTGACTTTGCGATAGGCCTGCCATTCGTTCTGGTCAAAGCGTATGGCATTTGGTTGATAGTGCAGGAGTGGCCACATGGTCGAGTTCGAGAACCCATTGTCGTATAACTCGGCAACGTCGCCCGCCACTGGTACAGGAATGGCACCGTGATGCTGTCTTAGACTTTGGGCGATCTCTAGCTCCTCAGACTTGGGAATTTCGAGACCAGGCCATCCATACCATAGCATCTGGTTGTCGCGCTTGACACCACTTATGCCCGTCGCCAGACCGCCAGAAGATCTCTTGAACTCATATTTGCCGTCACTGCTTCTCTTCAAAGTGACAGGGAGGCGGTTAGAGACGACAATAAGACGTTGGTCGAATGGAAGGGTAGGTGGTGTAGAGGAACACGGAGTCGCTGGCGGTGTTTCCATGTCACGAGGGATTCAAGTATGTTTCGTAACACTGAGTGCAAACAAAATTTCTGGGACCGTTAAGTCAGATAGAACTATCAGCACGCCTTTATACGTAGTATAACACCGAGAAGAATCGATTTCCACGCTGCTCGGGTCAATGAACCGGCCCTGATCAATGATTGTCGGAGAGGGCAAAGTTGTCGTTTTCTGCCCTTCTTGCGTACCCTCGAAGAACAGGCAGTGAGGCTTGACCTAAGAGAGCACATGGTGTACGAAAAGACTGGATCTGCAAGGAACTGGCGCCGTGTAATCATCCACCATCGTTGCCGTGCCGGTGGAAGCGGTTCCAAGTGGTCGGGAGACTTACGGTACCTGGTTCGTATTTCCGCTCTGAGCTTTGCGTCGGTCAGCCCCATGTCACCAACAAGGCGGAAGATTCGATGAACAAATCCATCATATGACGATGAAGTAGAGCAAGACGCCAGCGGGCTGGCATCATGTAGCTACGACCAGTCCAGGGGCAAGGCATTCTCCGTAAAATGACAAGCGATTGGGCGGGGAGTTCGGGGCGACGTATCTGATGCAAGATCTGCGACAAAGCCATGGGTCCTGAGGGAACGAAAGAGAGGACGTATGAACTCGTACTCGTAGCTACTGATAGCGTCGAGGAGAAAATTTCATGTTGTCTCCCCGTGTGTGGTCCGGGATTCCCGTACTGTACAATAAGCGGCCAAAGAGTCTTACGACAATGATTGGTTCGGACATCTTGACGTCGGAATCATCAAGGACTTATCTATCGGAGGCTCGTTCCGGTGGGCATTGAAGATGGTCTTTTCTCTAGCCAACAATATCTACGAATACTACGGAGCGACTTGTTCGTTTGATGCGAGTATTCTCCTCCCGGCTCTTTCGTCCATGGAAATGATCTTCCCAAGGACATGAAAGTTGCCTCAGTGGACAGAGACTCGAACTATTACAACGTCACACTGCTAACGTTCAACACACCCTTTGCATTCACAAGCTCCTGCTTGACATGCTCTCCAACCTCCTTGTCTACACCCAGGATCATCAGCGCTTCATTGGTCTCCTCAGCTGGCAAGGTCTTTGCGCTACTGGCGAACGTTGCCGGCGCCACGCTCATGAAATTAATATTCACACCCTCCTTACCCAGAATGCTTCCCACGAGTCCAATCTTGCCTGGTGAATCGTAATTGTGGCAAATCAACAGCGTTCCGTCAGGCACGAAGCTCGTCGAGAAGCGATCGACGCGTGAAATGAAGGGCGAATTGTCGCTACAATACCCTGCGATGATGTGTTGTTTGCTGGATGCCTGTCCTTCCGTCGCTCCCATGGTTGCCGTCCGAGCGTCATTCCCGGCACGATTTAGACTCGGTGCGCGTGAAGGACTCCTGGCCACGAGCGTGACGAGACTCGAGTAAGCCAGGGTGGTGGGGTCGCGACTCTTTTGTTCGTTGACAAAGATTCCTCGTTCCTTTGCCACCATCTCCGCGTTCACAATGTTCACATTGAAACCTTCAGCATCGGAGATGGGCGAGGTAAGACCCTTGATGAGTGCCGCAAAGAGTGGTTTCGTGCTGGACATCTGTGCAATTTCACCCTCGTAGACCAGATCAAAAGTATTCAGGTTGTGACCGACAGGCTGGGTTGGGGATGTAAAATGCTGGGTATAGAGGGATCCCATTCTGTTTTAATTGTTAAAGGCAAAGAGTTAGCCCAGATGGACGAAACGTAACCTCGCTCGATGAACCGTGGGGGTACTTACTTCTCAACAAGTTTCACAAAAGGCTGAAGCGTCTTGTACTCCGCCGGCAGAATGATGGGCGCATTGACAGCACTCCTGGGCAAATCTCCTGCGAGAATCTGCAGGACCTGCTCGCATACGTCGATGGACACATTCTCTTGGGCTTCGACCGTACTTGCGCCGAGATGTGGTGTGGCGATACATCTGGGATGTGCAATAAGCTTCCCGGCCACACTGTCTGGCGCTGGGGGTTCGGTAGTGAACACATCGATCGCCGCACCAGCTATTTGTCCGCTCTCAAGGGCCGCCAGGAGGGCGACTTCGTCAACAATACCACCTCTCGCGACATTGAGGATGCGCGCACCCCGTTTCATGGTGTCAAGCTCAGACGAGGACAGCATACCACGTGTCGAAGCAAGCATCGGGGTGTGAATGGTGAGGAAGTCGACTTGAGGGAGAAGGGCCGCGAGCGAGTCAACGAGGGTGACGTTAGCAGCGGTTGCAACAGCCGCAGAAGCATACGGGTCAGCGGCGACAACGTTCATGCCGAGTCCACGAGCCATGCGTGCCACAATGAGGCCAACTACCCAGCTGTGTCAGTCTTTTGTTGTAGAGCCAGGCCGCCGATGAAATACCTTTGCCCAAACCAACCACTCCAAGTGTCTTTCCTTTGACTTCGACCCCCACCAGTCGACTTCTTTCCCACTTTCCAGCTTTGACACTGGCGCAAGCATCAGGCACGTTCCGAGCCATACTCATTAGTAACGCGATGGTGTGCTCTGCAGCAGCCTGAATATTTCCACTGGGGGAATTGACAACGACAATGCCCAATCTCGTAGCCGCAGGAACGTCGACATTGTCGACACCGACACCGGCACGAGCAACGACCTTGAGTTTTCGCGCAGCATGGAGCACATCGGCTGAGACTTTTGTCTCGGAGCGGACAAGTAGAGCATCATAGTCTGGGATGATCTCGATGAGTTGCTCTGGCGTCAAGCCTTTCTTTTCGTCGACGTCTAGCGTTTGGCGAAGAAGTGCGAGACCGTCCTGGGAGAGTTTCTCAGGACAAAGAACGCGGGGACGAGCATTGTGTCCATTCGGAGCTGCCATTATTGCGAACGTTGGCGAATTTGGAAGAGAGAGTAAGTGACTCGAAACGTAATGGCGGTGTCACAGGCTATTAAGACACGTGTATGTATGGCAACCTGGTCGAACGATTTCTAGCACTTTTATTTGCGACGCCGAGGGGAATAGAAGTGAAAGAACCGAGAGCTCCTTGAGAACCAATTTTATGTATTCCTTTTTGTCCCAAATACAGACAACTTTGAGCAACAAAATGCAAGCAAGTGAGAGAAACGGTGGTACATATTTTTGAGCCAGTAGAAGACAAGAGAGTCGAGCACACATTCTCTCACCCCATTGATTCAATTTTCTGCGTCAGCTGCAAAGGATAATCCAACCAGATCACAGCAGGGAGACGGAGGAACTGACAAGCCAAATGAAGGGTGTTGGGGGGAGGAACGCGGGGGCATCGAAGTGGCCGATGTCGCTGCCCCACGATTCCCTCGCGCCCCCAATAGGCACCCGGATCTGATCTGGGGAAAAAAAGAACACACAACATCGGCCGTAAAACGCTGACGATCAACACGCAGTACCACAAACTTGGAAAACATATCATTCTGAGCCTAGTATTCCAGAGACTGCTCGAATAAGCCTCGCAGCTGCTCTCGTTCCTGGTTGACTTCCTCGCTCAAACTGGGCGCCAGCATCAAAACTCGTTTCTGGGGCAAGGTACCTTCGACCAAATCATCAATGCTCTCCTTCGTGAAACCCAGGGGCTTCAATCCTCGAGGCTGATCTCCAAGCTTGATCAGGAACTCAGCAAGTGCCTCACTGAGGATTTCTCCCGCACTTTCCTTCTTGACGTTGGAAATGTCCTTGCCAAAGCACTCGGCGGCTGCCAGATGTCGGTCAGGATTGCTGGGTCCGGTGAATTTGAACACTGCTGGTGCCGTCACAGCGACACTGACACCGTGAGGGATGATTGGCGTCTCAATCTGGTATCCTGAATGCTTGTAGCCGGGGTTTTGGCCGCTGATGGGATAACTCATGCCATGACAGAGATGCACGCCTGCGTTGCCGAAGCCGACACCAGCAAGCGTGGCGGCGAGCAACATCTCGCTCTGTGCCTCGAAATCCTCGGGATCCTTAGTGGCTCGTGGTAGGTATTTCACCGTGGAGTGCAAAGCCTTCAGGGAGAAGATGTCGGAAATTGGGTTGGCACCTTGGTATGCTGGTCGGTTAATCGGGTTCGTGGGTCTTGGAGATCTCTCGTGATATGGAATGGCAGTCCAAGACTCGAGCGAATGGCAGAGCACGTCCAGACCTGACGAGGCGTGTACAGCAGAAGGCATTGTTCGGGTGTTCAGAGGATCACAAATACCCAGCGTTGGCTTGAGGTTTCTGTGCGCAATGCCAGTCTTTGCTCGCTTCTCTACCAGGTCGAAGATTGCTGTCCCGGTAGTCTCGGAGCCCGTGCCTGCGGTAGTGGGCACAGCGACAAGAGGCTTCAGCTTCTTAGTGATGGGCAGACCCTTTCCCAGAGGAGCGTTGACAAAGTCCAGAAAGTCTGCTTCAGGATAGCAAGTGTACAGGTTCATCAGCTTGGCTGTGTCAATGACCGAGCCACCTCCCACCGCGAGGAACGCATCTGGTTGGTATGGTTTGGCAAAAGCGATGGCATCTTTTACGGAGCTGTCTTTGGGTTCCACACGGCACTTGTCGTATACTGTGAACTCGATCCCTTCGGCGTTGAGTCCCTCAATCACCTGCTTCATTGCATTCAACTTGGACACGTTCCCATCCGTCACCACGCAGACCCGCTTAGCGCCCATATTCTTCATGTCCATGCCCACCTCTTTTGTGCAACCCGGTCCAAAGCGAATAGAGGAAGCTGCCATCTCAAAAGCATATTCTTTTGTTCGCGAATAGTCGATCGGAGTGGCCAGTCTTCGCTTGGCTTCACCGAATACAGAGGGAGCATGATGGAAGTTGGGGTTCGAATGGCAGGGACAATTTGGAGGGTGACCATATTGAATGGCTCGCAGCAGAGAGGTCGACCTCTGTGCAGCTGACCTTGCAACTCGAATTGCCGGTGAGAAGGACATTGTGGAAAATGCTGAGGTTCGAAGAGAAGGACAAGGTGCGGGATCAGGCGTATGGGCAGAGAGGAGATGCTTTACTTCCACTGACAGACTCGCGACCCTTTCAGTTTCTTCACAATGACACTGGGAGACGAAGCAGGATATAATACATAAGAAGGCAGTCAAGACGCGAGTAGCAAGCAACAGAAAAGGCCAATGGGAAAGTGATTGACAGGACTAGACTGAGAGGAGAATGGAGGAGGCGGAGGAGGGCCGAGGTCTGCTACTCGTACACAAGATTGTGGGGGAAGTGGGAGCTTTCCCGGGGCTGTGGTTGGGCATCAGCAATGCCTAAACAAGCTGTGGACGCCCTTGGTTCGATGTTGCAGGGTTTGTCATCGGCTTCAAACCGAACGCTCTCCGTGCCAGGAGGTGATGAAGAAGAAGTGCGACGGGACAATACACTAAAGACGGGAAATGCTTGATACACAGGCTGAAGGGGAGGGGAAGAAGTCCGACGAGCACTGGGAGAATTTGGTAAGACGATACCGGATTTGTCTGACGATGCTTGACATGCTGTATCTCTTCGCCATGGTAGCTTGTCAAGAACCTGTCAGACACCATCTCTCGTTCTGCCGCATGTTTCGGTGCAGAATGTGCCGTTCTGCCCCTCTTTGGGCCCTTTTAACTCGTGCAACGTTCCCCCCCTCGCGAGCTCTACTAATTTATGCCCCACGTCATTGCTTGATTTCATCACCACCGACAATGAGAGGGAATGAAGACACCAAAATGCTCCCATTGACTCGTACGGAGATACTCCGCCTGCCTGCGATACCCATAAAGTGCATTCGTGTTCCTGTTCTTACTGACATTTCGTCAATCATGCAAACTTTTTCTCTTTGATATAATCTTCTCTTGAAAGCCCATGATCTCTCGTGTAACAGCTCGATTACAACAGTTAGCCGGTCTCTTTCCCGTATCCGCATCCCGAATAAATTCACCTCTGTCAACAATCACACCCACAAAAACATACACCACGATGGTCGACCATTCGAAATGGAAGTTCAACCATACCATGCTGCGGGTGAAGGATCCCCAGAAGTCACTCGAGTACTACAAACTACTTGGCCTGAGTCTGGTCAACAAACTCGAATTTCCGGATAACAAGTTTGACCTGTACTTCTTGGGTAAGTCTCTTCGTACTCAAACATGGCGTAGAACTTATTATAGCTACGCGTTTAAAAACACTTTGCTGACCGATTCATAGCCTACGATGGTCCTCACTCAGCCTCTCCAGGCAGCCACTGGACTGACCGTGAAGGTGTCCTCGAGCTCACCCACAACTATGGTACGGAGAGCGACGCCAACTTTACCATCAACAACGGCAACAAAGACCCACACAAGGGGTTTGGACACATTTGTGTGAGCGTGGACAATCTCCAAGCCGCGTGCCAGAGGATCGAGGATGCGGGCTACAAATTCCAGAAAAAACTCACGGATGGGCGCATGCGGAGTATCGCGTTTGCCCTTGACCCCGACGGGTACTGGGTCGAGATAATCGGGCAAAAGAACGTTGACGAGACAAAGGACATCACCACGACCGACACTTCGGCATACCGATTTAACCACAGCATGATCCGCGTCAAGGACCCGGAGAAGAGTCTGAAATTCTACCAAGATGTCATGGGTATGACTCTCCTCCGTACTTCGGAGCAAAAGGAGGCCAAGTTCACACTGTACTTCCTCGGATACCCCGGCGACTTTGCCATTCCCAAGCCAGAAGATACCCCGAACGGAGTCAACCCTCTGGCTCAGAAGGAAGGGTTGCTGGAGTTGACCTGGAACTACGGCACAGAGACACAAGAAGGCAAAGTCTACCACAACGGCAACGATGAACCTCAAGGATTTGGACACATCTGCATCAGTGTCGATGACCTTGACAAGGCATGCCAGTTCATGGAGGATAAACAGGTGAACTGGAAGAAGCGGTTGACCGATGGCAGGATGAAGAATGTGGCCTTTGTTCTGGACCCGGATGACTACTGGATCGAGATCATCCAGAATGAGAAGCTGAAGAAAACTAGCGATTGGTAGTTTCAGGTTCAGTAAGAGATAACACTTGACTTCCAACGAGAACAACTGTACAAGATATGGACTTCAAGAACGATTTGCAATTCGACTGCCAAGCCTCGCTTCTCACGAGATGCGGTTGCCTCGTTTGCCTTTCGTTGTCTCGTATTCCCTCCCACTATTTTTCCAACTGCACTTCCATATGCTGATGAGACCAGTCTCGGTTGTGCACCGCCACTATTGTAGCCTCATTGTCGATCCAGAGGGCTGGTCAATATCTCGGCCATGCCCTGACGTTGTGCCCTTTCTTGCTCAGCCCCAAGTCAACAACCCTGCCTTGGGCTGATGCTATCTCGATCAATCAACATGACAAGGAAGAACTCAAGAAAGTGATTCCCCAAATGAGTTTTATATATCGGCGAGCTGCAGAGGTGATCATTTGGCTTGGGACAAGTGGGCTGCCTGGAAATTGGGAGTTAGAGGGAGCGATTCCATGGATGGAGAACCGGGCTGCCTCCACGTCTGTTATGTCCGACAATCTTCACCGAGAAGAGTGGCATGTGATTGTATATCTGCTGAATAAGCTGATGCACGCTGATTACTGGAAAAGGACATGGGTCATTCAAGAGATTGAGGAAGCTGTGACAATTTCTGTGAGATTTCGCAGGTTCTCCTTGTCGTGGAATGCCTTTCATGCTGCGGTCAAGGCTTACAAGGGTCAATTCCCACGGGCGCATTATACGCAGGAGGTCAGCAAGTTCGGTGACCTGAGGAAGGACCGCCTTGCCGGTCAAACATATGCGCTCTCAGACCTGTTCATGTTGTTTCATGATACGTTTTGCAAGGTTTCGCATGACAAGATATATGCATTCCTGGGGATGTCATCGGATGATTCGGCAGATCTTATTACAGTCGACTATGAGAAACCTCTCTCACAGCTATACGCCGGTGTTGTGCGATTCCTTGCGACCTCATCATTTGAGAGAGAGGTCAAGCAGTTTGGCCTTGTCCACATGAGCGCTCTAGTACGCCAGGTGTTGACAAGAAGAGCAGTAGAGGCCGAGATAAAACATCTAGTGCCGGTTTTAAGCCTCGAGAAAAAGAAGAATACATGGATGTACCGCGAAGAGCTGCACAAAACAGCTCATTGGTCCCATTCGCTGCCAGAACAGATACAGATTTGGACAGATCACAGCCAGTCAATAACGGTTGAGGCCAAAGGCTCCATGAAAGGCCGGATCAAATCATTTGGGCCTACTATTGACGAATTTCTAGGATCGGTCCCGGCAAGCAAGGCTTGGAAGATAGACATAATGCGGGCTTTTGAAGAGGAGTCTAGAACGAGATTGTCGGCCTTGTACGAGAGCCTACATGATCTTGTTAGTCGACACGGTACTTTCGCATCACTTCAATCGACAGCAAGTTTCAAGGTTACAAACGCATCGGCAGAGGGCGACACGCCAGGGCCGGCAAGACTGTTCGTTGGCTCAGAAGAATTGTTGGGGATTGCATCACCCAAAGCAAGGATCGATGACCATATCGTACAATTTCAAGACTCTCAGTCCATGGCCGTGGTGCGGCCTACCGAAGATTGGGTAACAGTACATGAAGTCGAAATCGTTGGTCGTTGCAGTATTGTCCATGGAGGTTACAGCCAGGAGTGGTACACACCTCGAGAACGAGACATGTTTCCTGATTATGGGCTTGCCCCACCGGTGAAGGTCAAGATGGATCTCGATACTTTGACCAGTTTGACTCTTGACTCTCTGGTTCTTGATTGAGTGTTTCGAGGGAAAATTTGCCTCTGTTCTTTTATTAAAAGTCAAGCTGGAAAACAAGGATCGTCGCCCGAGGAGGACGGAATGGGAAGAATGTTTACCCAAGTAGATAGAACCTGGTCAGTCTGAAGAGAAACTCGAGTAGACAGGTTTGACAGTACTGAAATGGATATTTGCGCATGACTCCGGGAAATAATAGCTACAAGTGCCCATTGAAGCCGCTGTTGTGTCTTGTTCATGAAATGCATCGACAAGCTCGAGGCTATTTATCAAGGACCATCCATGATGGAAGAACTCAGTCGAATGTAATCTTTTTCCCGGCAAACGTCGCCTGGTTTTGTTCGTTTTGTGTCTTTCTCTTCTTGGCCGCTTCCCAAGATGGATGTAAAGGACCTTGATCGTCTCCTCGTTTCTTGGGTCGTGGTGCCTCCTCTTTCCTGGTCCTTCTTGTATCTTTTCGTTCCATGTTTTGACCACGTCTGACGTTACCATGACCGTGACCGTGACCACCGCCGGGACGAAACCGATCTCTCCCACCTCGTTGGTGGCTACCGTCGACCGCACCTCTATGAGCGTCCCACCCTGAGTTTCTGTCTCCCTTGTTGTCCTTGGCCGCCACCAAATGTTTGGCCATTTTTCCAAATTTCTTTTCCGCAATTTTTTGTCGGGCCCTCTGACCACGACGGTTGTTACGAGGTTTGGCAGACGGTGGACCTCTGTGACCATGATCATCATCACGGTCGTCGTCGTCGTCGTCATCATCACCTGATTCTGAACCAGAATAATAACCTCCTAGACTTAGTGACGGCAAGAATGACGTCGTCGTCGTCGTTGTTGCGGTCGTTTGTGTCTTTTTGGACCGACTAGGTGGTTCCGGACTGAGAGAAACAGAAACAGAAACAGAAATGTCATCTCTTGGTGATCGTCCACCACCACGAGTGATGTTGTGACCTGTCGGCAAATCAGAATCATCCTCACCGTCGTCGTTGTCTTCGTCACCGTCTTCATCATCGTCAGAAGAAGCCAATCGATCTTGATGTTCGTTGAGTAAACGATCCATTTCACCGTCGGAAAGATATTCGGCGTTTTCGTCTTCTTCTGACTCGTCATCATCGACAGACTGTTTGTCCGAAAACCCATCGAATGACTCGTCTGGACCATTGACGTCGTCGGTAGAAGCTAACAACTTCTGTTGATCATCGGCAGATCCAGAATCGTGCTGAGTCTCGGGCTCAAGCTTGGAGTTTCCATTCTTACTCGTCCTTTGACCCTCCGACTCACCCTTTCCCGCCGCCGCCGACACGCCGAGAACGTCAAACAAACCGTTCAAAATCCCCGGCAGAACCTGCTTGGCGGGTGCCGAGTTGAACAGTCTTCCCAGCACGTTCCCCTCGGCAGTGGATTTGGGTTGCTCGAGGCTTGGGTTCACTCCGTACAGGCTGACGACGACCGGGTGGGATTTCGTCCGGGTCGACTTCACGAGCTGTTTGACGAGGTACTGTTTCGCGGTTCGTTCGAGGTCGAGTTGTTTGAGGACGATCACCTCCTCCCTCAGCCGGAGCAACTGGTGAGGTTTGTCGGTGGCGGATTTTTGGCGCCTCCCGAGTTTCTGTCTCTCGAACCCTCGTGCCAGTTTCAGTGAAGCGTGGAGGGATTTGATCCCGTGGCCTAGTGTCTTTTTGAGTCGCGAGATTTGACCAGACAGCACCGGGTCTTTTGAGGTTTGGTTTTTGTTGTTACCATCATCATGCAGACCGTCCTCATCTCCTTCGGCTTCACGTTTTCTTTTGCCCATAGCTCTGACAATCTACGTGGACGGTCGGAGTCCTGATCGTCGTGAAGCGGATAAAAAAAAAGTTCTTGGGGGAAACGGAGTTACTGGGATACGCTTGGAGTGACAATGGCGCTAATTTTCAGACAATTGTTTAGTCCGAGAACGGTATAGTGTAGCCTCGTCACACATATGTACATGAGTACGAGTACGAGTACTCCGTCCATACGGAGTACCTCGGTACCTTAAGTACATGTGAGGATGCTGAACCAATGCGCATGGAGAGATGGTGTCGAACAGTACAGGGCACTATCTACGTGCGAGGTTCATACCACGTTCGAAGCGAACTTCAACAGTCACAAGAAGGATATCCGTAGTTTGCAATTCAGTACCCATCAACATCTGGGAATCGACCAGTAATGCTAGGGTGAAAAAAAAATCGATTGGCATGGATAAACAGTAAGATCAAACATTTGCCGGCTGTGTCGTTTGTAGAATAAAGAAGGTGGTATCAACGAATCTTCATGACTTGTTCTCCCGCTCAAACCAAAACCTTTTGCACCTGTGTACTCCGTATTGTCAAGCCATCTCCACGGCACCTCCTTGTACATTCGTTCTTGTTCTTGCCTTTTTATCTGTAACGAGTTCAGCATGCTGGTGGTGGTGGTGCTGCGACATTTGGTCCTGCTTGGTGTACATACTATGTCCGTCTGATGACGGGATGTCACTGTATTTTGACGCTTCGACTGTTGGGGGTATGGTACTGGATGTGTGTTGCCTAGCTCTTGCTCGTTTCCTTTTTCTCGAGCACACGAGGAAAGCGGCGACAAGAAACGCAATCAGGGCCACGGCACCGACTACGATACCTGCTATCACGCCTCCAGAAAGTGAATTGTATTTTGACGTAGCGGACGCCACAACTGGCGCTGCGGTAGTAGATGATTCCGTCGCTGTCGCTGGTGTCGTCGCGGATCGTGCTGTGGATGTGGCTGCTGCCGTAGTGGTGGCTTTCTGCAACACGTTTGTCAGGAGTAGACACTTGGAAAGAAATCATTGTAAGAAATAACGTACGGCAATCGACGACATTGGTGATGCCATCGCGTCACTGACTTCACCTGCCGAGCTGTTGATATCGAATGTCCAATGACTGCCATCCTCGGCCGTGTTCATCACAGGGATGATGTCTGCAGCGGAATTGTTGCTCACGCCCAGATACTGAAAAACCCCGACAGCCATGTTGACGAGTTTCCTGGTGCCGTCTGGCCAGACGGTAATGTTCCATTGTTGGGTGAGGTCTCCGCTCGAAGGTAGTAGTTGAGGTTTTGAGTCGGCGGCAGTTTTGAGGGCGAGCTGATAGCCGGCGCCATAGTCGTAATTTCGAAGGAAATAAACGCCTTCTTGGAAGAAGACCTGCCAGTTTTGAGACGAGACACCTTTCGAATCTAAAAACAACGCCGCCGGGATGTCTTCTGGATTGTGGCCGCCGTCATTTAGGTATACACCTTTGGGATATCGATCAGAAGATAGCAGATAATACGAATTTGAATCGAAGAGGTTGGACATGATGAATCTGGCACTTCTCGTCTCGGTTTGTTTTGATGCTGACTTCACGATGTGGCCAAAGGGAGAAGAGAAAGATTGTACTCCGTACAAGACACCAGGGAAGGCGGTATTGTGAAATTGGATAAAGCCAAGGCGTTTACAGGACCTTGGACCTCTTCGGATACGGAGTAGACCAATATACTGTTCCAAGAACCCAACCTCCCTCCACCCTGGACGGTATTGCCCAGGGTGGCTCAGTCCCGATCATCCGATGGGGGGCGTGTCTACCTGTGTCATGTAGTAAAACTGGCCCCCAGATTCAACCATTTTGTACATACATACTCCGTACCGAAGCCAACCGAAAAAGGCTTTGCACCTGCTAACTCATCATGAGCCCAACAAGATGCTTGGATTCTGATCCACTAGAATACCGGACCGCTTTGTGGTTTGCCGAAAGGGCCATAAATTAATTGGCGTTATCCGTACTGCCTCAGTCTTGAAGCCAATGATCCAGACTTCAGGGGCTGATCGGTATGAAACTGTACAAGGATGTCCTGCTAGCGGGCGCTTAAATGGGGCTTGTTCATTCGAACCGTTTCTTTAGTCATGGCGCCGTGGTACCCCGTAGTGAGGTATGAAATGGCACAAAGAAGCTGTTCACCTTTACTCTGTAAATACTCTGTACAGGACTAATCCTGATTTCCAGTCACGCGTGGAAGAACATCACCGAGGGGGAAGATCTCGATAATCTTTTGAGAGCCTGGATTAGCAGGCAGGCGTCCTACATCTCAAATTCTCAGGTCATTCAAAAATACCGCAACACAAAATTCAAGAGGTGCGACCAGTGCTGTTGCTCTTCAAGGTCTCATGTTTGTTTGATCCAGGTTGGCTTAGCAGACGTTGGATGTTCAAGCAAATGTGCTCCCTTGTAACAGCTTATGTAAGGGGTGACGAGTCCATATCCGGATTGGGAATAGAGGATTTCCGGTCAGAAATGTCTGGGAGCTGATCACGTGAGACCGAAGTCCCTCCCTACAACCCATGCACAACTTGTACGAGTGCGAGCACACCTCACTCATCGGGCCATCCGTCAGCAGAAGAATGGGACAGGCATTCTACAATGCTCTCTCGTCATATCATTCGACTGCCGTATGACCGAAGGGAAGGTACTTCAACACATAATTGGCTGCGTCGCCTTTGGATGGCTGAGGCTGAGGGGGGCCACTAGGGTGCGGCTGAGCTTCGACATCATTCTCAAGAACTGTCTGCCTTACGCCAACATCATTCATCAGCTATTTCTCTCAATTTCTCACCACCGAGATTGAATCTAACATTTCTTCTCTCATAGTTTCAGACAGTCAAGCTACATTTGGACACCTCGCAATCTAAATAACAAAATCTAAAGTCGGAATCAGCAGATACATACCCTGACAGCCAGTATGGCATTTAACGTATCAAAGAGTTTACTCATTTTCCTATCCATAGCTGGATTTTGGACTCTCTGGGTGTTTCCATACCAGAATGGCCTTCTCAAGATCTTGGGGGATCAGAGTCGACCGGGGGCGGTCATTCCAGGCCCGACCGCAGCACCCATGAAACAGACCTACACTGGCATTGGACCCGTTGATAAGCAATTGACTACACTGGTCAGCTTCTTCTACACAGCAATAGACGGCAATCGAGCAGACGTGTCACTCTCGTTCCTTGACTTGGGAGGCCAGGTCCTCGCGGCATGGGTTCTCATCATGATCGAAGGCCTACGGGTCGGCAATCAGCGCAAGTTCTTCCTTACGGCGTAAGTTTCCAATCCGAATCAAGCCAATCTGGCATTGTCGCTGATGTAAAACAGCACGACGTTCTTTGGAGTCGGAGTGGCAATCATCGGATATGCATGCGTAGCACCTTTGTGGTTTGCACTTCATTTGTGGCTATCGCCTACTGCCACCAATCCAAAGGATTACCAACTCATTGTCGACGTACCGGTCAAGCTCGCCATCGCGCCGATTAGTATTTTGGTTGGCTTCGGACTTCCTTCACTGCTCATGTGTTTACCAGCGCCTGACGTGATCTCTTTCGAGACCAAGCAAACCTGGGCAGGTATTCAGCAGGGCTGGGCGATCTGGATAGGCATCACACAGTTCATTCTATCGACAGTGGCGATGACCGTGGACCAGCGAGCGTCGATACTTACAGAGGCCGACAAGAGGAGCCAGACAATCAAGTACCTGCGTCGAGCTTATGCTTTTGCAATTGCATCGTCAGCCGGCTCACATCTCGGCGCGTGGATTTTGTCACTCCTCGCGTACGCCTTTCCCGTGCTGTTCAGCACAAAATATCTATCCCAGCTGCAGCCGGCTCATATCTTCGTGCCGGTCTGGCCATTTGGTCCGCATGAGGTTTCCACCCTGGCGGATGGTGCGCTCTGGTTCTTGCAATGGGACATTGTCGTTGGAGTCACATCTACCTTGCTTTGGGGTCTTGTACTGCGTGGGGCAGCGAAACAGGACAAGACGACGGTCCTTCAATTCGTCGTTGGAGCTGTCAAGACCGGTATCGTCACTGTGGTGCTGGGTCCATGTGGAGCTGCAGCAGTGGCTCTGTGGGCTCGTGATGAGATGGTCTTTGGCAAGTCGAACGCGAAGAGTGAGAAGAAGCGTTCTTGAGCATGCCCCAGGTCCGATGTAAAGCTCACTCGCGTCAAAAGAAAGTTGGTCAGTTTGATGCGCGGTATCCAATGGCAAACTCTATACAGGTGTTGGTAATTGCGTGAGAGCATATGGTCTTCAGCTTGAATTGATATCCCCTGTCATTGTCTTCAACGATCAGGAAATGACGACATTCATAAACTCAAACCACTTCGTACACGTCGTACATATCTTCAGCGATGCCGGAGAGTCGATTGGGGCCCAAGGGGGGGCATCCGAGGGGGGCGGAATGCAATGGGTTGATGATACTAAGTGTCGGGCATCATCCCCGCACCAAGGTGATATCCCTCTGTAAATGCAAGCGGATGAGGCTTGGATCGATAGTAATTATATATAATATACAAAGTAATACCTAGCCAAGTCAAGACGCAGAGAACCACTTCGGATCATGGCGGGACGTGGAAACATTGATACGCAGAATGGCCTTGGGAGCACTGAAGCTCTTGTTGTTTCCCAAAAGGGAGGTCAGTTCGAACTAAAGGAGGTTCAGCTGAAGGAAATGCGCAGCAACGAGGTCGTGGTTAGGATGGTAGCCACGGGGATCTGTCATACGGATTTGGCAACAGTACATGTGGGTGGATCATGCGTCTAGGTCTTGTCGACTTAAGACATCCTTAACAGATCGTCTCGCTCACTCCCTGACAGGGCTTCAAAGGGCCAGGTCTACCCGCAATCTTGGGTCATGAAGGCTCTGGTGTTGTCGAACAAGTCGGCTCAGATGTCAAGCATGTCGAGGTTGGTGATCACGTATTGCTGACGTATAATGCTTGCCTGGATTGTACATCTTGCCGGCGAGGCAACTACTCGTATTGCAAGCACGCACAGCAGTTAAGCTTTGGGGGTTCACGGTTGGATGGCACGAGGACTTTCTCTTGCAATGGTAAAGACATAAGCTCGCCCTATTTTGGTCAGTCCTCCTTTGCGAAGCGATCCATTGTGGGTGGCTTCTGTGCGGTCAAAGTCGATAAGTCGCTGCCGCTGGAGATCTTATGCTGTATTGGGTGTGGAATCCAGACGGGCGCCGGCACAGTTTTGAACGTTCTCAAACCGCAGCTCGGGTCCTCGATTGCTGTATTTGGTGTTGGTGGTGTAGGACTGGCAGCTATAGTAAGTGTTATGCAAGATCCGGACAATCAAAACTCCATGACTTCCATGCCATGCAAAAACCGGTTTCACCGCGGCTTATTCCCCGGGTTTTGCGATGACCGATGCTTCCTCTGATACTCCTTGGCTCCCTGCATGGTTTGAAGGAGATACTGATGTATTTGCAGATGGCGGCGAAAAACTTCACTCCTGCCACAAAAATTATTGCGATTGATGTTCAGGACTCGCGGCTGGAGATGGCTAAAGAACTGGGTGCAACACATGTTCTGAACTCCAAGGGCCGTGATATTGTCGAGCTTATCCATTCCGTTACAGATGGCGATGGCGTCGACTATGCTCTGGATGCGACTGGCAATGTTGCAGTGGTTCAGGCCATGATAGATTCGACGGCAAATAGTGGGATAGCTGCCACAGTCGGCGGTGTGCCTGCAGGACAGCACGTCAAGATTGAGCCGGGAAGTTGGCTCGCCCGGAATGTTAGTTACATTGGATCTTGTCAAGGTTCATCCGTGCCTCAAAAGGTAAGTCTAGAAGGGAAGAGAGGTGTGCACACAAGACAGCGTAGATCATTTGTGCTGACCTTGATTCAAATTGCAGTTCATCCCAGCTCTGGCAGAGTTCTGGAGGCAAGGCAGATTCCCCATCGATCGACTCACCAAGTCTTACTCATATAAGGAGGTGAATCAGGCGATTGATGATATGCATCATGGTCAAACCATCAAACCTGTCTTGATCTGGGCTGATTGAGGCCAGGCTGTTCATGGGAATAAGAGTAAGGTGAGGCATGTGAAATTCTGCGACAAATGGTCCCCCAGCGGATGGCCACGGGAAGATATTAGATACCTGATTTACCTACCTGCCTAGGTATCTTAGGGACTAAGAAGCCGATAAGCACTTATCAAACTTCACGTAGCAATACTCACTAGGTACCTAAAACAACTTAGGGTAGGCTCCTACCCGAAAGTCTGGTAGGTGCAATGGTACAATAGGACGGCCACTGGACGCTAAATTTCCCCGAAGTTGCGCCCATAACATTTTGCAATTTTATCTGCATTGTGAATTCCCACTCATTCCCCCTTACAGTTTCCCCTGGATCAGACCGTTTCCCTATCAATCATCCATCCTCCGTACTTCTGAAACTCTTTAAATAGCTATTTGCTTACAGTACACAGTGGAGGCTCCACGTCATGGCACACTACCGAGAGGTCAAGCATCAACTAAATAGAAGCCTTTTGCTTGTTCCATGACCCTGTTTCCCACCACGGGAAGTGTCCTCGTTTCTCGCGCCAACCCTGGCCGTTCACTATGCATTCTGTAGGAGCATTGACGGCTTTGACTCTAGTTACCTCTTGTCTTGCTTCCCCTGGCTATCTCAAGCTCGATTTTCAGAAAAGGCATCGATATGAAGCATGGCTGGCTCGTAGAGCAGAGGTGGATGATACTGTGGACGGTGTTTTGACCCAAGCTGCCACCAAACTTGAATATCTGGTCAACATCACCGTGGGAACACCTCCACAGAGTCTTGGGGTTACCTTGGACACTGGGTCGTCGGACCTTTGGATTCCAGCAACCTCGAGTGCTTTGTGCAAGAAAGGTCAGTGTGATGCTGGCAGCTTTACATCAACTCAATCAAGCACGTACAAAGTTGTCGAACGGGGCGGCTTTAACATTGTAAGTCGATTGTCTGCAACGGCCTACGTCCAACTCGAGACTGATATTCTGGCAGACCTATGCCGCACCCGGCGACACCGATGCAGGCGATTGGGTGATGGATACCGTAACAGTCGGAGGATCACCCTCTATCAAAAGCCAACAATTTGGGCTGGCGACATCCCTCTTCGATCCTCATGGGGTGATGGGCATTGGCTATGCCAGCAATGAAGCACAAAACCCAGAGAATGTGTACCCAACAGTCCTGGACAACATGAAGTCGGATGGCATCATCGATCGGAAAGCCTACAGCCTTTATCTGAACGACCTTCAAGCCAATACCGGCGCTGTCATATTCGGCGGAGTAGACCCTTCAAAATACACAGGCGACCTAATAGCTTTACCCTTCCAGGTGAGAAATCATTGGGTTAACTTGTGTTGACATGTATCCTAACATACCCATAGGAAGGCCCAACTGGAGATTTCACGGAGTTCTATGTGACACTGACTGGAGTCTCTTTCACCGACCATGCTGGCTCTACAACACAATTGACGCCACAAGGGTACGCCCAGGCGGTCTTGCTTGACTCGGGAACTAGCGAGACACTCCTCACTGACGAGGTGTTTTCGGCTATAGCTAACGGATTTGGAGCTGTCGATATTGGGGACGACGACTACGTCGTTCCGTGTAGCTATGCGACGGCAAATGGCAGTATCAATTATTCTTTCGGCGGCGAGGGTGGCATCAATATCAGCGTCCCTATCTCGCAGCTTGTCGGGGAGCTAGATATTCCACCAAAGAATTTCGGCGACCAATCCGGCGGGTGTGACTTTGGCTTTGGTCCTCCAATCGATGGGGTCTCAATACTTGGGGATACCTTCCTCAGGAGTGTCTACGCTGTCTTTGATCTTGATAACAACCTTGCTGCTTTGGCTCAGGCGGCCGAGAACAGGACCGACACCTCCAGCATTGCAGCCATATCGTCAGGAACTAGCATACCGGGAGCCTCAATGACGGCGACTGCGACAGGTACCCAACTTTCAGGGGCAGCGACCACTGAATTGCCAGCCGTGCCTACGGCAAGTATACAGGGAACTGCGCTGGTTTTGCCAGGCACGCCGACGTTCAACGTCGGCGTGACTGTGACTAAAGGGAGCTCGACCGCGACATCGTCGTCTTCTGGATCAGCAAACGCCGCCACGCCAGGTGCGGTGTTACTCGGTTTAGGGTTGGCTGCTGGTATTCTGGGCGTTTCATGAGGGGTTTCGATGTGAGTAGGAAACGTAGGACACAGTAAGGGAATGGTCAAGGATCACCGAAAGACAAAAGAAGATCGTGCTGTCAAGTCCGGGGACCCACGAGGCTCACCGCATTTTGCAAGGAATGCCGATGGACGATAAGACGTTGGGCTAATCATATGCCATGCGCGAGCGCGTCGGCCGTTAATTACGCGATCCTCTCGTCCATGCAAACACATACACACACTGTAGTACGAGTACATAGACATCTGTTTTCCCTTCATTTCCCATTTTACGCGTACTATCCATGTCAAAGTTGTCATTGCACCCGTGCAAGAAAATGGCTCTGTGGGTGTCCGCGGCTCGTAGCAGCACGAGGCTGTGTGATTGGCCGCAAGAGGCTGCCTCGAGCAACTACTGTTCCGCACATTTATCGCACATGCACCATAGGTCGTCGCGACATCATTATGCGTATCATCACCCCTCCATGTTCTACCAAATCCCTCAACTCGTCTCCTTCTCACTGTCCAAACAACTACACTTACCATCTAGCACGCGCATCTATCATTGAGACCACCAAGACTCACCTCCATACCATACCCGCTCCCTACGTGCAAGTCTGAAGATGACCGCCTGACTCCAACGCTCTTTTAAAGTAATCCGCACCCCTCCCTTGCATCCGTTGAACGCGCCTTTAAACAAGCCGTGATCCAGTCGAGGTCACAGCGAGGCGCAATCAGCAGCGTCGGAGGCGAACCCAATTCTTGGTACCACATGAGCCAAAATCTCTGGCGCTATCTTCTCGAAGATGATGTCGATACATTTCGACAACACCTGGCGAACGCCACCATCGCTGCCGGTGCGCCGAGGGCGTCTGCTGCTGGACAAGGAGGATATACCACACTGAAGGTTGGCAGTCCAGGTAGTCTGGCGATTTCGCCCAAGACACCTCTGAAATTGCGAAAGAGTTCTGGATACATTCCCTCCAGCGCAGGTGCTGGCAAGGCCGGTGGTGTAATTGTGACTCGAGCGGAACTGAATGCGAAAGACAACTTCGGCAGGACACTGCTGCACCATGCCGCATCTTTACAGACCGATCATGCCCTTCCGTTCGTAAAGACACTGCTGGACTTGCCATTCATCGATCTCTACGCCCAGGACACGGAATCGGGATGGACTGCATTACACCGGGCCCTGTATTTTGGCAATATTTCTGCGGCCCAGGCCCTGATGGTGCGTGACATTCAGGATGCAACTGACTACACTACCACCACCGCCCGTACGCATGCTGGCGGTCTGGTCAAGATCAAGGACCATGAGGGCAATAGCCCCTTCGAGGTCTTTGGCCTAACCATTGCACCTCGCCAACTTCAAGAAGATCCCTCGTCCCTTCCAGCTGGCATCGACGACAATGAGAGTGTCATCAGCATGGACTACGATGACGCTCAAGATCATGAGCGACACAGACCTCATGTCCATCCTCAGGTCAATCTCGATGGAGATGAAGTCTACGCTTTTGGCAGCAATAAGAATCTTTCCTTAGGTGTCGGAGATGGTGACGATCGACAGTTCCCTGAGCGACTGCAGTTTTCAAGGCCTGCACACTTACTTCAGCGTTTGCTTGAGGATCACCAGACGACAAGGCAAAAGACTGTTACTGATGACGACCTGACAGGTAGCATCGGACACTTTGGTTCCCTAGACGATCTGCCTGCTATAATCCGTTACAAGCCCATCGCCATTCAGAATATGTCCATGGCTAAATTGCACACCGCCGTTCTGACCACTGACCCAATCTCAAACCTCTACATATGCGGATTCGGGGCAGGGGGTCGTTTGGGCACAGGCGACGAAAACACCTCGTTCACCTACAAGTGCATCCAGGCTGGGGGCCTGTCCAAGAGACATGTCTCCGCCATAGCTCTTGGGCAGGACCACACTGTGGCTGTGTGCTCCCAAGGTGAAGTCTACACCTGGGGGAGCAACCGGTATGGCCAATTAGGATATTCTCTCCCAGAAGTTCCTAAAAACGAAATACCAATGCAGTTGACACCGCGACAGTTGTACGGCTATATCAAGAAAGAACTTGTGATTGGTGCCGCTGCATCAGCAATTCATTCGGCCGTTTTCACATCGACAGCACTCTATACATTTGGCAAAAATGAAGGCCAGTTGGGTTTGATGGATGCGGATGCACGCTCACTGGAGCTGCAAGACCTTCCTCGCCGAGTTGGTGTTTCAATACTACAATCCCCGATCCAATCTGTCAGCGCAATAGACCGTGCTACTATTGTTTTGCTGACTACGCACGACGTGGTTGTCTTTACACATTATGGCTGGACAAGAGTATCTTTCCCTCTTGAAAGCTTCAGCAACTATTACCTCCAGGAAAGGACCGCCACAAGACTCAACATGGAGACAAATTATATCAAGCAGATAACTGGAGGTGGCAACACGATTTGTGCCATGTCTTCTTTTGGTGAAGTTTATTCAATTGATGTGCCAAGGGTATCAGAGAATGTCCCGTCTAATACCTCAACGACGAATCCGACAAAGGCTCGTAACGCGTTGGCTCCCCCAACACGACTGTGGTCCATTCGAAAATCCCACATGTCGGCTATCGATGTAGCCGTTGGCCAGGACGGCTCCATTGTCTTGTGTACCGCTTCTGGTTCAGTTTGGCGGAAGGAGAAGCGAGCAAACATAAAGTCCGTTCGAGAAAAGCATACGGGACTCGCGAGAACAAAAGATTACAAATTTGTTCGCGTTCCCAACTTGACACGAGCAATTGCTGTAAGGAGTAATGCTTTCGGAGCCTTTATGGCAATGCGGAAAGACTGTTCGGTCACACGTGAGCAGATTGTACCGCAGCCTCCATCTTTGTGGGATGATATGCTTCCACTGTTGGCATTCGCCCAATATGGGGGATCACAGGGTGACTCTGCGTATGCTACTTCACTCCGATCGGCTTTGATCACTCAACCGGGCGCCGAACAAGAAGTCTTGAGTATTTGCGAACGCTACGACCCGTTGCCAGACAATCAATTCGACCTCTGGATAACATCCAATACGACGGATGTGCGCATTCCCACTCATGGGTTCATTCTCAAAGCACGCAGCCGAGTCATGTGTAGTGCGTTGACAGAATTTCAGGAGACTTATTATTATACCATCCCTGATGTTCTATCAATCGAGTACGGTGCTGATGGACAAATTCAACTCACCCTTCAAGGTGCTGACTTCTTGACGGTCGCCAATCTCGTGATGTATCTCTACACCGAGAACATCGCCGATGTTTGGCACTATACGTCTAAAGCGTTGCAATCGGCAGCGCGCTATCGCTCAGTTCGACTCGAGTTGATGAAGATCGCAACTCATCTCGAGCTCCGACAGCTTGAGCAAGCCGTTAGAGTCATGACTGATCCTGCACGGACTCTGAACAACGACATGGAACGGGCTGTTCTTGACGCCGATTTTTTCTCCGACGCAGACCTGCTTGTCGAGCTCGCGGATGAAGTAACCCTGCCAGCACACAGCGTACTCTTGTGCACCCGATGTCCCTTCTTCAATGGCCTGTTCAACGGGCGAGCCAGGGGAATGTGGATGGCTTCACGACGTCATGCTGCAGCAGAAGAGTCAGAGGCGGTGAAAGTTGATCTGAAGCACATGAGTGAAAGAGTTTTCAGCATGGTCCTTCGCCATCTCTACGCAGATACTGGTGAGGAACTGTTCGATGACGTTGTTACGGACACCCTGGAAGAATTCATCGATATAATCATCGAGGTCATGTTTGCTGCCAACGAATTGATGATCGACCGCCTTGCCCAAATATGTCAACAAGTCCTTGGCAAATTTGTCAATGTGAGGAACGTTTGCACATTGTTGAATACCGTCTCTGAATGTACAGTCGATGCCTTTAAACATGCAGCGCTCGAGTACATCTGCCTCAACCTTGAAAGCATGCTTGAGATGAGACTTCTAGACGAGCTGGATGAAGATCTCTTGGCTGAGCTTGATGATGTCGTGCAAGCAAATCAACTGGCTTTCCTGCCATTTGCACGAAGTGAGCGAGCAGATGAAGAACTTCTTGAAACGCATCCAGAGCTTCTGGAGAAGATCGAAATCTGTCGACAGCGCAGAATCGATTCGATGAGACTGAGGTCAAGATTGAGCGAAGATGAAGAACGCCATGCTTCGGCTACCAAGTTCAGGGTTGGGAGCCTAGACAGGCAGATATCATCCTCCTACCAGAAGTCGCCCCTGCCAAATCCAGGAAATGAATCTCCTCTCAGCACTCCGAGTCCTAGTCCGGCTATTGTTCCAAATGATGCTGGCGATGATCTACCCTTCGATATGGATGATGTCACGCCAGACTTATTGCCAGCAGCATTTCAGCAGGAGATAGGGTCGCAAACCAGGTCACCGCCGATACAACAATATATTTCTGTAAGACACAAGTCCGAAACTGTTGGCCCTCGATCATCTACAACTCCTCAACCTCCTCGAGCTGAGATTACAAACTCAAATCGAGTTCAGTCAGAAGATGTCTTGCCCATGGTCAGCCCGCATGTAGCTGTCACGGGTTTTGACACTCCGAGAACGGCCTGGAATTTGCCGACGCAAAATTCTCCCCACAGCGGTCTGAAGGATATCATGGCACAAGCCTCGGCTTCGCGTGTGTCGACCCTTACGCAGGCCGTGCGTGCAGGTTCGACAGGTCCAAGGGGTGGTGCGAAGATGTCTCAGAAAGAACGTAAACGGCAACAACAGATGATCAAGGATGAAGAAGCAAAGACGTCACATTCGACTGCAGCTCTAAAGGATCCAAAAGCAAAGGCACCCTCCCCATGGCAGACACTAGCCCAGCCGTCGAAGCCTGCCGCTCCAGCCGGTTCAGCCATCACGGATGGTGTTGTAGGCAACGAGCGAAAGATCCCTGCAAGACCAGCAATGACCATGCGACAGACTGTTGCAGGCAGTGTTCCAGCCAGCAATGCAGATGATCAGACCGCGAAAAGTGGTGCAGGACCACCGCAGCTCGCCTCTTCCCCGAAGTCCGTGGCGCCGCAGATCCAGTCCATTCGCCACACCCCATTGCCTTCTCGAGTCAATTCGGCAATCGATGCTCGGACTTCCATGACAGAGATCCTGGCACAGCAACAATTCGAGAAGACAGCGGTCAAGGAGGCCGTAGCCAAGAGATCACTGCAAGACATCCAGCAAGAGCAAGAGTTTCAACAATGGTGGGACAATGAGAGCCGGCGGGTACAAGAAGAGGCTCAAAGTCATGTAGCAGCTGGTCATCGCGGCAAAAGTGGTCGCGGACGAGGCGGACAACGTCGCGGCAGTGGGAAGGGAAGGGCGTCGGCAGGCCCAGAAGCAGGTGGCCGGGAGAAGACCGTTTCAGCAGCCTCTTCAACGGTGCGCGGAGATTTTGGTTCAGGACGAGGCAGTGGCCGAGGCACGGGACCTGGAAACACCCAGCGGCGAGGAGCAAGGCATCAACCATCCAGACACAGTACGACGTAATCTTGGTACGGTAGACATTTGTACATTCCATAGAATATGTATTTGTATTACGGTAATATTGAATAGATTTACTCAGCGACTCGACGAAACCCACCCTACTTGGTGATGCAGCATCACGAATCATTCCAGGCTCCTATTTGCACAAAAGTGTCTTGCAGGGGAATCGTGCGCCGTGATAGGGAAAGAGTCCACCCGGGGGGTCTAGTGCCTGCAGCCTGTTGTCCCTGCGATCTTGATGAATCACAGGCGGCTGATAAGTACAAACTTCTGGCCAGCCTAAGTCCATGGGATGTCAAAGTGGGATATCTAAGGTATGTGTCGGTGGTTCTCCCCGGGTTGGTTAGTCGAGTGGGTATCACTGCCGGGCGGCTTCACGGGAGTATCCAAGGGTCCTTTTTGCCAGATGCAGGAGGGCACCTTGTCCGGGCTATGTGTTCAAAGCCCGTCGTGGGGTAGAGATCGTTGGTGAACAGAAGGCAATGGGCCCAGCAAGGAGTTTGGGGAGTGAGACAGGCGCTGTGAGCTAAAGCTGGTAACTCAGGCAGAGCTGTCCTGAAGGACGGGAAGTCGACAGAAGGGCAGTGAGAGAAGGGGAAAGATCTCAGAATCTGCGGAAGCTTCTGTATGTGTGTGCTGTCTACTGTACGGTGAGCCATGACTTTGTGATCTGGTCCGCTGTGGGTGGACAGTCCGGATGCCTCTGTACTCACAGGTGTGTTGTTTACTGTTGAGAGGCCAGAAAAGCTGCAGGAGCTGCAGTCATGCCACGACGGCAGGGGAACGGCTCACCAAGGGCAGTGGGCAAGTCCTCATACGAAGCTGTAGCCCACGATGAAAAGCTTGGGGGCTACTCCTTAGGCACGGCTCTGCATGCTTTGGGGCAGCCTATCAGGCAGTCTTCTGGGGGCTTCGATCCCTGCGATTCTCCGTTCCATTTGCTCAGGGCATGTCGTGCCTGCGCCCATGGTGCAGAAGCCCGCGCAGGCCCCCTGTCAAAGCTGCTGAAGAATGGCAGTGAGCCTCCAGTCAAGCCCCCGGTCAAGCGCGGTGGCCCTGGTCATTCCCCCCAATAGCCAACGTCCTCTGTGGTGCTAGCACGTCGAGGCGAGCGTCACCGAACGAAGCTATCGCTGCTTCAAAAAAGACCGTGTCAAGCTCACCGGCTGCATGACATGGTCAATTCTCCTCCTCCACAGACCATTCACCGTTCAATGCGGCCGCGCTCCTCACAGGCACTTGACCCGCTACGGCGCATCTCTTGCTGCTATTGCGCCTGTCACTCGGTTTGATATCGTCCAGTGCCCATCAGTTCAACATCATTCCATTTCCATTTCCACTCAATCGAATCATTCAATGACTCTTGCTTTCCGCCTTCGCTAAAGTGCAGGTCGATCCGTCTTTCTTTTCTACCGACTTGCTGCCTGGCTTTTCTATTTGGCCCTTCACCACACGACCATCATCCAGGACCCAGCCTCACAAGCCTGACCACCCATTTCTCCACCTGCATCGCCAGGCGTGACCGTTTTCCAACCACGAATCACATGCGGCCACCGTCATATGCCTGCGACTCGAGACCACTGTGAACCTCACACTCAACCCTTTGCTGATAACCGTCCTACGTCGCAACCATGACTCCTTCATCTACCTAGTCGACCCACTGCCATCGCTAGAGCTATTGAACACACCTTTGTTCTCATCGAATACCCTTGATTGCTACATTCCCTCGCCAATAGCCTTGCCAGTAAACTCTCCTACACACACCGTGGGCTTTTGAAAGCATGGACGGCTATCGGATACCTGCGATTCACCAACCAGCTCTCCCCAGCTAGACAGACATCGTGCCTCTGCTCTTGGTATCTCTCCTACTCAGCCCATTCACACCATGCATCAACATCCACGCCCTCCCCCCGCCTCTGCCTCCCCTGCCGCCTCAGAACAAACCAACCCTACCCGCACCAACAACCCCAGAGATCGCGACGTCCAGGCACTCCGAACAGATTCACCTTTGACCCAGGGCTCTGGCTCTTCCGAAGACTTTGCTGCAGCACGGCAAGAACAACCTGCGGACAATACCGCCGGCCAGATGCAGAGACTCAACCAGGTTGTCCAGAACTTCCATACCAAGGCCGCTTTGATCATTCTCCACTCCAGAGTCGAATTGTCCCCGGCCTACTCTCAGAAGACGGACTCAAAACGAGTCAACCGATGGTTTAACCTCGATGTGGAAGAGACAGAGGACTACAAGGATCATATCAAGAGGTGGAAGACGTGTGATGTGGAAGGGAACCGACCTGCTCCTCTGGTCATCGAGATCTTCCTGACGACGGAGCCTCTGCAGCAAGGCCAACGACTCGTCATTGTCGACGAGGATGGGAAAAGATGGGATGTACAGAATACCTTATCAGCGGCTCACAATACTTCTCACTCCAGCCAGCGGCGGTCGACGGATGCGAACGAAATCCTCCTCGAACGGTGGACCATCGAACTAGGTGATGCCAACGGGCCGATGCCCTCGGACTTGGCAACCCTTCTGCCCTTGGTATACAAGAAGAGCATCGTCCTGTTCCGGTCCCTCTACACCTATAGCAACTTTCTACCCGCATGGAAACTGGCTAGAAAGGTCGGCAAAGGCCGGGCACATATGGCGTTAAAGCTGGGCTATCGTCTAGTCGACGGATCACGCCTGAGGAATCAATCACGTTCAGACAATCTCAATCTGAGACTCTTCGACAGCAATTCTGATGTCGTTTTGCTCTACGACTTCGGCTTGACCGACTCGCCTGCAGGGCCGTTTTCGGTCAAGGTGGAATATCGACAGCACTGCGACTTCCGGATAGACGACTCTGAAGAGTTGTTGAGTTCCAGGTTCTTAGGAGCCGATGATGAACTGTTCAGACCGTCCCTTCCTGCCGATCGGACTTCTCGGACTGAACTCGGCTCGTTACCTAACGACCGACGGCAAAATCTGTTAGAACGCCCGGAACTTGGACTTGCATACGGCAGTTTGTCGACTTTTCACCAAGCGGGAATTGGCACAGGCACCAGTCCAATATCTGCACTGCGGAATGCTCAGGATTTCAATGCAAGCTCACCGCCTACACCTGAATCACCCAGGCCAGCACATGCCCACGCTGTCTCACAAAGTTCACGCAACTCTCTGCGCGCGGTGGCAGCCAACCGAAGGAGCTCTTTCTCTGTACAACCCTTCAAGACACCAACACTCTCAGCTTCACCCTTGGGGTCGTCTCCTCTTGCATCGTCACCGCGCACGCACGTTGTTAGACCTCCTGCCCTGGGCTCTCTAACGGAAGAGCGTATCCCAACCTCGACTGCTACTGCTGCCGCAGTTGCTGGTAGACGAACCGGGTCGCTTGTTTCGGAACATGCCGTTGCGTCTTCAGCATCTAGCTCACCAAAACCTGCTCCGACCAGATACAGTAGCAGCTTTAGCCATCGACGGGCACGCCTGTCCTCTGGCGGCACCACCGTCCGCACAGACGACGATCAGAACAGCAGTGGTCGGGCCAGCGCTTCATCTTCTGCTCAGCCTGGGTCAGGCCTGATGACAGAAGCAGCCACTGGTGGTGGAAGTTCGGGCTCTGTAGCAGAAGATGATGGCGAAAACATTTCAGATTTCCTGAAGATGCTGGAATTACAGAAAGACCTGTTGGGATCTGTATCCTCGGCTACTGTGGAGGCAAATACAAGACGGACTGCAGCAGCGTTGAACCGCTTTCACCGATTGCGAGACTCCAACACGGCATTGTCTGAGTCTATGTCCTCGTCAATGATGCTCCAGAGGTCGTCGGCATCTTCCAGTCGGCAACTGTCTGGTGTTCCACCCATGGTAGCCGCAACTTCAGTCTCGACATCTTCTTCCCCTGGAAAGCCGATCTCGCCTCATACGCCTCATACTCCATTTGCGCCTTCCAGGCTCAGTGCTGCTTATAGCCATGACGACACGGACCCGACGCATCTCACTGTCGAGGAGACACCTTCGCCGTCTGATGCAGCCACAGAAGAGACTGCACAAGGCCGCTCGACTGCCAATGTTCCTGCTATTGACATTCCTAACTCCCCGAGACCGTTCCTACCAGGCTACCAGCGTTCGAGCTCAGCCCAGCGCCGACCTTTGAGCTCTGACGAAGACATTGCTGATCTGTATGGCATGCGAAGTCACAGCATGGGAGCTGACCGAAGGAACAACCGACCAGAATCTGGCCCTCAAGAAGAGGGGGATGAATCGGCCAATGCTGAACACAGACCACGGACGAATTCATCTAGAGCCCTTGACAGGGGTTCGCAGGTGCATCGACATTCCGGTCTAGCCACAGTGGTTACCGATGGTGGTGCTTCGGAGCCTTCCTCCAACCGTTCTTCTGTCACTGCCCATCGTTCCCGGGGTACTCGGGGCGGTCTTGTACGACCAATTCCAGCCGCACAGGGATCGGGGTCAAGCTTCGGTGGCACGGCGGGCAGCGCTGAGCATGTCGATAGCAGTACCAGTGATTCGTGGGGCCGAGGAGGAAGACGAAGCGGCAGCCGACCAGAAAGTAAATTTGACGAAGATGAATTCCTCCCTTTTGCGATGGAAAGGAGCGATTTCAATACTACTGGCAGATCTGATCCACCAGGTGCCAGCGAAAGATGAGTTTTCTTCAATATCACATATTACGATGACGACCTCAATACCTCCACATGATCCGGTGTATGGAATAGAACGACACCGGTGATAGGTTTGCAATTTTTTTCTTTTCCACGGCGTTTCTGCGTGGATTGGCTTCGCATGTGCATTTCCATGATGACTGTTGATTTATACCTGTCGAGACTTGGATGAAGGGATTGTTTTAGTCGTGACAGGCTATTTGAGCGTTTCAGCGCGAAATGTTCTCCGTCATGCAATTGCTCCAAGTGTTTGTTTTGGATGAGACCAATCACGGGGTTGGTTGGTGCAGCAGCTCAACGAAGGGTCACTGAATTGGTCATGCAGCATTGAGATTCAACAAGTCGCGAGGCTGTATGTATGTGATCGGCGTCAGAGCTTAGTTGAGGCGTCCACGTACAGGGGTGGCTTTCTTGCATCTCATCTCTTGAGATTCCCATCGGGTTGTGCTTTGGTTTATCTGGACGGTCAAATCAAGAGGAAGTCGGTTCACACGGTACCAGGACGGTATAAGAATGGTGTGTCGGTGTGATATACTATTTGTACGTGTAGGTAATATGGACAAGACTTGAACCCAAGGGCGGAGGCTGGTTTGCAGGACAAAGTGACCCTGGGTACACACAAGTACGAGTGTTTACTCTTACTCTGTTGGGGACAAATGGATGACGGGGAAAGGGGGAAATGAACTGGCTATTAGACTGTGATGATATAACTCTGTAGCAAGCGATTGAAATCCGAGTTGACATTTACTTGAGTTGCAAGTTGTTTATTCTATAGAGTCAGTAAGGAGTGTGAATATCCATCCCAAGAAGCCATTCTCGTTGGATATTATTGTACGGGAGCACGGAGTATATATACAGAGTAGACTGTTTTACACGCCTCAAATGTTGATCATCCCATCATCACTCGGAGGCCGGAGAAGAGAATCTCAGATGGAAGTTGATTAGGATTCGGAAGGGCCCCGACCGACCCCCTGCAAGACGACGCACTATTCTCCATGTTTGGGGCTCATTCAGGGCCATTTGGTGGAGTGCGAAGGACCGACAAGGCGCAGTTTTGGCATCTTTTGCATGATTGGGCGTTTTTTGACCCTGAGGCTTGACACTAACAAAGGCCCAAGAAATGCCCACGAATACTGACTGGTAAACAAGTTTTGTTTCTATTTTGGTCTCTCCTCCTCCTCTTCCGCCCTTTTTCAGCCTCGTTTCAACTGCTCGTCTTTTTGTCTTACTCCGTAGAGTCTTTTGTTTTTGTCGCAGTCCAACTTGACGCCTTTTACTCCGTACTGATCATTCATTTACTGACTTCATTCATTTCACGTCTACTTTCGTGCTTTATCGACGGCGTTGTTCTCAATCTTGTCTTGGTTTCTTCCTTTCTCCCAGAGAATCAACATTGCGACGATACTGTCTTCGTACATCAAACGTCTCATCCCCTCCCCCTTTGTATGTGTTGTGTGTTTCAGAGACCCTCTCCACTAGGCACTACCTGCACGGGTGGGCGTGCGTAACACACGGGGATCACTCAGAAAAAGTGTCTGAGCGTTCTCTCACAAGACTCCGTAGGGAGTACGCAACTGCACCGCAACACACACAGGCCCAAGCCCAACAAGACACGAACCAGCGCCACCACCACGCCAACCTCCCCCCCCCCCCTGCCCGAAACTGTACTCCATACGGGTGAGTTACTCCATACAAGATCTACGCGGTCGAGACTACTACATATCCCATCTTCACCCTCTCGCGCGCGAGAGTTGACCTTCTCCTTCTCAACATGTCAACTACCACCAAAATGAGAAGTCGACCACAAGTCTACCCTGGACTTGCCTTCCACGTCATTCGAGCAATCGCGTTCGTCAGTGCCACCATCGTTTCTGGTATCTTGATTTATTTCTGTATACAATTGAAGCATGACGGTTTCAAATTACCATGGACATTTATCGTGGTACGTTGTTTTCTTCTTCTTTCTTTCTGACTTTTGTGGTCTTTGCCGAATGTACCTGATTGAAAATACTGACCTGATTCTGTGAACCTGTCTAGATCCTCCTATCTTCCCTCCTCTCCCTCTTGGCCTTGTTGGTTACCTCGGTCATCTACGCCGTCGCCTTCCTCAACCCCCTCCTGAACCTCATCTCAAACTCTTCGGTTTTGTTGGTGTGGACGGTCGGCATCGCCCTGTTGACTTACAACATGTACGGAACCCTGGGTCACTCTTGTTCCAGGTCGAACTGGGCCAACGACGACGGGATGATGATCTGTCGTACCTACAAGGCGTTTTATTCTTTCAACATCTTTGGGTGGTTGGCTCAAGTGGCCTTGATCATTCTCGACGTCAGGAGTCGCAGGAAACAAACGGCACAGGGTCGTTATAACAAGATGATGGCGGCCAACGCCGCGGCGGACGACAAGGATCTCGTCAGGTTGAACCAACTGGATCCCTACAACCCTTACGGTAGTGCGGTCACCGGCGTCGCCGGAGTAGGGGGAGAGGGAAGACCGGATGATGCGACGGGTGCGACGAGAGCTCGGTCAGACACGACGCAATCACTTTCGCAGTCACAACCGTTGTACCATTCACGATCACACAGTCAGGACGACGTACCGTACGGCGTGACGGGTTATTCGAGACAAATGTACAGCAGACCGACACCCGCTCGAGCCCCTGCACCGACGTACTCGAATTCGAATTCGACTTCGGCGTACAATGGGGGTTACAATTACAACGACCCCAGTTACGACGACACCAACAGTTACAATCACAATTACAATTCGGGATATGGACAACAGGGACAGATGAGAATGGATCATTTCAACAACTCCGGAACAGGTGGTGGATCGTGGCACCCTCAAAGTTACTCGAATGGTGGTTATGGATATGGACCACAACGATGAAAAATAAATTAAATTAAAAACAAAAGGGATACCCTTTTGTAAGAGATGAACAAAATAAAATCAGATGTGATGATAATCAAAATGATACCTGGTATGAAATGAACCAAAACTCACTTTCTTCCACAAAAGACTTGCTTGACAGAAAGACTTGCGCGTGAACTCCGTCCTCACATACGGAGTAGGTACTTGTCATACCGTAGTCCGTGATGTTTCGTTCGTAATCACCCTACACTTTCCGATTTCATACTCTCTACCCTGTATCGAATTGACAAACCTCAAAAGTCCAGAAGTTCCAAATATGTACATCATTTGACGGGGAAAAAGAAAGGCGAAGCAAAAAAGAAAGAAAAAATAGAGTGAAAGACTCGGTAAAGTTTAGGTCAGAGTTAGGTTAGGTTAGGTAGGTACATGAGTACATGGGAGGGAGGTATTTTAGATGCCACCACTTTTGCCCGAGGGCCGAAGTCAACGCAAGGGACTTTCTCGACCGTGTCCATTTCCTGGGACGAACGAAGATATGGCGGCGGCTGACAACCTGAATCCTGGTGCTGCTGATGACGACGACGATGATCCTCCTCCTCCACCGACGGAAGATACACCACCACCACCACCACCACCGGTCTTTGACATCGGTGGTGAAGTGGGTGTAGAAAAAGAAAGCATGTCGGGTGTGTTTCTGCCACTGGGTACGGCACTATTCGCCGCTCCGGTACCGCCACCATTCCCGTCTGGAAACAACAACAACGACGTCCCTCCTCCCACTCCGCCCCCTCCGATGCTCCTCGGCGGTGGCTTCCATCCATACTTTGTACCTTTGCGCCAAATGTCGTCGATCATCTGTTCGACAATCCCCGCGTCCTCGTACTCTTGAAACTTGCGCCAGAGTCTCAAGGCCATCCGAGCATCCTCGATACTGTCATGACCGTCCCCTCCGCCGGCGGCGGCGGCGGCGGCAACCTGGCCGTCGTCCGGCACGACCTCTTCTTGGATGTATTCTCTAAACACGGCCCAGGCCAGGTACCGCAGGGAGAAGCGTCGATTCTTGCCCGGCGCGAGGTACAAGTATTGAGTGTCGACCGTCTGAGATTTGGGCACGTGGATGTTGGCCTTGCGGAAGTCCGACGCCAGGCCGTGCCCGACAAACACGCAACCCAGGTTCAACAAGATCCAAAGCTTCTTGTACGCCACCTTGAGCGGGACGAGGTTGTGCTGGGACACCTGCGGGTCGAGATCGCCCGGTCGAATACCCGAATATTGGGTCTTGTAGTCCACGATCGGTTCGTATATGGTGATGTAATCGTCCAGAAACGGCACGCCTTCCTCCTCCCCTTGGCCGCGCAACACGCTCACGCGTGCGAGACCGGACTTGGCCGGTCGAATGGTCTCCTGTGTGCCGTCTGCCTTGACGTTGATCTCGGCTCGTTCCAATTCGACAAACTCTGTGTCCAACGCGATGGGTGTCCCTCGCTGGGGATGCTCTTGGGGCGTCAAGATCCTGCATTCGTCCTTGGGATATCGGCCGTTGATGCTGTAATGTTGGTAGAGCAGTGTGGTGTCGAGATTGTCTTTCCACGTCTGGTCAATCTTTCCGTGCGCACTCTTGACCTGGTAGGCGATCACACTCGGCATCTTCCAATTTTGATTGAAATGCAGCGCCTCTCTAGGGTCGACCGGTGTCACCAAAAAGTCGTTGAAGAGATGCCAGTTGGGGAACACCTTGTGGTTGTGGGATGTGTCTGATGTCGGGTTGGACACCTCGACATTGACCATGCTGACAAGGTGAGGTACGTGTCTTTCACTAGAGTCAATCTCGGCCACAAAACCAACCAGCTCGTAAACCACCAGGTTAGGCGACTTGTTCCGGATGTGGAGTGCCAGATCAGACCCTTCAAAAACATAGACGACTCGGTCTTGAACTATAATACCGATTTCCGACGGCAGCCAGCCCGGTGTCTCCCACAACGTACGGACGGGGTCATTGCTACCGAGAGCCGTATTGATGATTAGAGCCGACGGTAGCTGTTGGACGGTCTTTCGTATAGCCAATTGCTGATATTTCCGGCACCTGCTACACCAGCCTCGGTTCCTGGCCTCTCGTTCGATCGTGGATTTGAGGAGAGAAGAAAATTTGAGATATCTCATCGGATGCTTTGGGTCAATCTGAGGATACATCAGGTCCTGAACGTACGTGCCTGCAGGCTTGGTAGTTTCATTGTTGCAGGCCATGCAACGGATAACTTCAAAGGCGTTGCTGGCAAGGACATCGTCGATCCCTGCACTACTCCCTGCCATGGTGACATAGTCGTGTGCGACTTGCTTGAGAAAGAAACGATTGACGGCCTGGATCGTGGTAGACAAACTGATTCCATTGGCCAAAGCCAAATGTTCAAAAAGACTGAGATTCGCCGCCTCTCGAGAAGCTCCAAAAGCTCGGAGTAGATTTGTCGCTTGGCAGTTCTGGCCCTTGGCCTTTTCGAGCATATCAAACAGGAAGCCGAACTCACAGAGAAGACAATTGCTGGTGACACATGAGGTAGCTGCATGTTGTATAGCAACGTTACGAACCAGAGGGACGAATCGATACAGTTGTAAGAGTGAGTTGATGAAGGAGTTCGCGATGTGTGTCTCCAAGCCAGAATACGGCGTTTTGTTGTAGAACCGAAAATCAAAATCGTCTACACCAAATCTGCTGTATTTGATTTCGACGTTGCTATATTTTAGCATCCGTTCCTCGTCAGTTTGAGCACGACCATTCAGCGAGACTCCTGCCAAAACTTCGGCTGCATCTGATAGTTTGCTACCGGGACCATCTGAGGTTGATTCTTTGGCTTTCTCACTCAAGAACTTCGGAACTGCAATGGTGGCCGGTGTATGACTCGCTCTGGTATCTTCAACTTGGTGTCGCAGCAGTTTTCGCGGGTTAATGTTAGGGGCATAGTGCCCCATTTCGGCCGGTTGCAGATGAAAAAGAAGTGAAGATTCTACCGGCGGAGGTGGTGATCCAACCTCAAAGACCATGTGGCTAGGCCATGCGGAAAGTAAAGGTTCGGAATAGTAAGGCATTCCGATCGAGTTTAGTGGCGAGTCGTTCCAATCAACGTGAGGAATTTGTTGAGGCAACGGGTCGGCGAACTCGGTTTTCTGACTTATATTGTTAAACCTGACTTTAGAGGGTGAGCCCCAGAGATATAGCAGGCCATTGGTGTCAGTGATGACGACCGCATCCCCAGAAGACGCAATCTCCATCCCAAGCATGAATTGAACGTTTGCTTGTTTGAGCATAACATTGACTGGGTTCATCAGGTCCACCACCTGCATTTGGCCTGTTTGCGACGCGACGAACCCAGTTGTTTGTAGCTTCGGATGTAAACGCACGTATGCGGCGCCCGCATGAAATGGAATTGGCGGAAGCGAGGTCAACATCTTCAGATCATAGACATTGGCCAGAGGATCGACAATCGGGACACCCAATTGACGAACTGAGAAGCCACATGTGACCAAAAAATCGTTCCGAGCATCCATGTCATTGATGGCAGTTGAATGAGCCTTCCATTTCTTGATGACTGAATAGTCTGACAGGTTAAGGACGTGGACATTACCGTCGTCGGTGGCGGCGCAAATATGTCGCCATTTCTTCATCAGAGTATATTTGGCCTCGGAGGCGTGTTCGGAGATAATTTGACCTTTCTCGATATCGATGATGAAGAAGGTACTTTGACATCCGGCAACCAGGATAAGATTGTTTGTTGCGGCAAACGTCATACACCGTAAACTGTTCATCAGCCGATGCGAGATATGCCATTGCGTCAAGCCTCGTCGGGTGATGAAATGAACACTAGATGTTGATAAAGATATGATACCCTTTTCATGGACCAATAGTTGTTTGACCGGGCCTTCACCCAAATGAGCTTTGACCGAAACATATCTTTGGAGGTCGCGGCCATAAAATGATGTGACCCGGCCCTGATGAGATGCAAGATGAGCGGATTTACCCAGCAGAATACAGTATACCAAAATAGAGGGCCACATACCTGATCATTACCAACCCATATTAATTCTTGGAGGTCATCAAAAGCGACCGCACTGGCAGGGGTAGGAATTGCATGCAATCCCGACGATGGCACCGCGATGCGAGTGATTTCATCCCAATCAGCCTCCATGGGCGCGTGAATGGTCTAGACGCTTTGTTGTTTCTCATGGATCCGGAGGGCGGAGCATTATGAAGAAAGTAATGATGGAAAGTCCACGACAAACAGTCGTATCTCGAAGTTGATTCTAGTTTATCTGTTTGAGAACGACGTCGAGATGGATGTCAAATGGTGGCTGAAGCTGTGGCTTCTGTTATTGATTCAGCCCCGCCTTCTTATTGGCTGCACCGCACCTCCTCCAATTTCTACCTGCGATCATATGAATAATGGTTCTTCTTCAAATTGACAATTCCATGAGTTGTAAAAAGACTACGAGTATATGCATGAATTGAGGTGGTGTCTCCTGCTAACATCTAAAGCATTTTCCACTGCTGGCGCCTGGATAACTTCGATCGACCCGTGATAGAAGTACGAGTCTGGCCTATTCGTGCCACGCCATCGATCTGTGCCTGAATTTACATCTACGCTTGATCGCACTTGCCACTGTTTTCCTCTTCTCTTGGTTCCCTCTACAATTTCTTGATAGGTCGCAAAACCCGTGCGTGCACTTGGACCGGTGTCTCCCAAAGCACAAATATCACAACACAATGGCGAGCTACGAAAGTGAGAATGCATGCTTCATCACCAATGTTGAACAATGAGCTAACTTTGGGATAGCTGAACATGCAACGGACTCCCCCAGTCAAGAACAAACCCAGCCTCGAAGACCAGACATGTCCTCATTCCTAAGCCATCTCTCTGAAGTGAGCCCGTCGGATGACCGCCATAGGCCTGATGCGGTTCCGGTACCAGCAGACGTTTCGGCCCTTTTTCGCTCTCTCGCAGAAGCCTTCCAAACAATGCAAAGAGATAATGACAATGCCGATTCAGACCTTCTCGGCAACCTCATTGACACATTGATGGAGTCAGCGGAACATCCTCCTCGAGAAGTGAAAGGTGTGGATGAAGAGTACATTGCAGCATTGGAACGTGTCAATATCAAGAAAGTCAAGAAGGATGCAGACTGTCCCATCTGTGGAAATCCCTTCATTGAAGATCCACATCCGCTTCTAGTCAGGCTGCCGTGCCATCCCACTCATATCTTTGACCTTGAATGTGTCAGGCCTTGGCTGTTGCTGAACGGGACTTGTCCAATGGATAGAGTCGACCTAGCACATCGGGAAAGGGATCGAAAACAGAAACTACTGGATGATATCAAGAAAAATGCCGCCCCCGAGGATGAAGAGGAGGAATGGGATGGACTGTATGGCTGATGAAGAGATCACAGGCGATTTGGAATCTGTCTGTGAATGAATATTGATCGGTGGAGACGTCCGACACGTCTACGAACCAAGCAACGCATTTGGCGAGCATCAGGTGATGGTGTGACGGGAAACTCTTCCCAAAGGTCCCTCGTACGATGCTGGCGTACTCGTCTCCCGTCGCTCAATCGAACAAAATGATGTGTCGGGTTGGTTTCTTACCAGATTCGTCGTCTTCCGCTGGAAATGCGGCACAGCCGGATCAGGGTTGAGACACCTTTACATCGCTGTTAAGGACTCGGCTTGCGCTCACATACCTTGCATTCTCCTCCCACACTTCGGAAAGATCAATGGTGGCCAATGAGGGAAAAGAAAGCGGCAAGAATTAGACGCTATAGGTTGTCATCCAAATCATACCTATTCCCTTAAGGATTGTTTACCATGCTTGTCATCATCAAAGCTATTCTTCACCATGACTTGACTCCATTGTCGTCTTGGCCAAAAGCTCCCCATGAGATGGTTGAAAATAGCAATTGCTTCCTCTTTCGCGACTGGGAAGTGATGCAAGCCAGAAGGGTCTATGTTCCCACCACTACGAAAGTTTGATGGTCGATGGGAGTGAGGTTTCCGTCCAAATGAAAACTCGATGTCAAAGCCAATGATCTACGGGAATGCGGCACAGAGCCGTGTTCTGACCTCGAATGTTCCGTGCCCTTTTGGGCATCTTTCGATCTTTGTGTTGGAGATGTGAGACAGGCATCAAGTGTATGAGGAGCGACATCCCCCCACCGAGATATAGCGGACAAATTAACAGTAAGTTGACTCGATTAGCGACTTTGTCGACCAACACGTTGCTGCGGAGTGCATGTAAGTTGTGCATAAGTGCGTGAAAGGGCTGCAATCATTCCTTGGAGATTTGGGCAGATGAGGATACCAGCGGCTTACAGTGTGCCTGCTATGAGGATGTAGTCCACCCATCCTGGAGTAAGAAACATGATTCCTTGGAATTCGTCGGGTTGCCTTTCTCGTTGCTCCGCTGGAATGACATGCTCTTGTGTATTCTATGCTGATAGGTCGAGGGCCTCGGATCAGTACACCCTTCCGAGACTCGGCCAGTCGTAATGCGGGTGACGCTGCAGGATGATGGTGTGTGGACGTACGTTGCGTAAGACGAGTCACGGCAGGCAGTGGAGAGAAGAATTCTCTTCGCAGAGACATACTGTGGGTGTAAAGACGGGACAAGCATACCTATGTACCTAGAGTACGAATCCCTAACTACTGGAGGTATGGATACGAGTGCCTTGTATTCGTAGGGTTGCCCGTGCATACGAGGCACTCATACTTGGCCAATAAAGGTATGACGTGTGAGGCTAAATTTAGATGCCACGACACATGCTGCGGCGAAGCAGAAATCACTTGCGCGTACGGAGTACTTCCTACAGTTCTCGTACTGACAGTGCATTTCACGCGAATCCTCACTATCATGCCCTGCGAATACGATGCATCATCACCAACCACCTATCTCACAAGTCCTTCCTACATTATCACTCAGGCCGTAAGGATCGCATCCATCTCATGCCTGCCACCAAAGATATTTGTAGGCGGAGTATGCCGTCAGCACCACAAGTAAACCGCCCATAAGCAAGCAACGATGTGAGCGATGCCGGTTGACTAGTCCGAGTAAGAAAATCGGCTGGAGAATCATACATGCACCCCACTTGACAAGAACGTTTTTCTGACCGTCGTGCCTGGGTCCAACCTGCAGGAGTGATGCCTTACTCGCCCACGGTTGCATTGGTGAGCGTCAAGTTCTTATGCATGTCTCAACACGACATACCATACGGAGTAAAGGCCTTCCTCGATGTGAAGGCTCAGAGGATCCGCATGGCCACGTTAAGGCCCACATCAAGCCCAAAAGAACTAAGCTTCGCCAAACGAGACTCGTATTCCCAGTCTCTTCTTACATGATGGCAATTGCACATCTCATCCTGCCTGGCCATGCAACATACATGGCGGTGCCGAAACTTTTCCTGCTGTTCGCCTCTTAACTAAGGGTACCTAAGACAGGTTGTGGCTGGGGTGGATTTCATCCCCATCAAATCCTCGCTTACGACCCAGTTTCTAGTACACCTTTACGGTTCTACTTGATCCGAATTCTCCGGTGGCCGCTAACATCGGTCGCCACGTTGATTCTTCTGTGGCGATGGATGAAATTTCACTGAAGGAGCAGAAAGCCAACTATCGATTCTAAAGGCTGTCTCGGATGACTCAAGACTAGGTTCCAGTCACGGCCTGGAGGATGCATCCAGCAGTTCCTGCGACGCTCTTCGCTCAAGCTCCTCCCTCTTCTAAGTAAGTCGATATCTGAAATTTTCTAAATATGGGGTTTGCTGTTCAAATGACGAGCTTTGTGAGGACAATCAGGCTGGCCCCAGAGGCGCAAGGCTGCTCTCGTGTCCAGAGCTGACAGTGTTGGGGGCTTGTCTGACAAGGGTTTCTTTTCCTGGACAAAAGACGAAAACCCTAGCCCAGCCGACAACAATGCCTCCACAGATCATGGCGATCCTACCTCTCCAAGGCTGTTCTCTCTGAACCTTGTCAAGCCGAATCATCGATCTTGGCTGGAGAGTACGAATTTTAGCATCATGGTCCACCCAGGCGGAGCAAGTCCCACACTCTCCAGTAAGCGCAATGCAGCCTGAGTGAACCACTGCAATGCTTCACGGCCCGGCTCAGCCTAGATGCTATGCTGATGACGATACGAGCATGATCAGCCTGGAGGTATAAGAAGGTGAGAGCACGCCCAAGTGTGACCAGTCTCTTTTCCCAACAAACCACAGTGCTCATTCGCTCATCCCAAATAAATCCTCTGTTTCTTTTCTTGTTGAATTCACATTCGCTATATTGCCTCACAACATGGCAAGCAAGTCTCTCGTTCTACTCTCGGTCATTGCGCCAGCCCTTGGTGCTGTCCTTCCTCGAGGTCAAGAGTCCCAGGCCAGTAGCCAAACCTGGGGTGACTGGGGTTCGTCGACCACTGTCCCGACAACGACTGTCCAAACGACGCAACCAACAACTACTCAAGCTTCTTCTCAGTGGAGCGATTGGACTACCACAACCACGGTCCAGCCAACTACGACCACTCAAGCTTCTTCTTCTCAATGGAACGATTGGACCTCGACCACAACCACCGTGAAGCCCACCACCACCCAAGCGACGACCACATCGGCCTCGCAATGGAATGACTGGACCACAACCACAACCACCGTG